AGGATAGGATAGGATAGGATAGGATAGGATAGGATAGGATAGGATAGAATAGAATAGAATAGAACAGAACAGAATATCTGAGTTGGAAGGGACCTTGGAGGTCATCTAGTCCAATCCCCTGCTTAGGCAGGAAACCCTATATCATTTCAGACAAATGGTTATCCAACATCTTCTTAAAAACTTCCAGTGTTGGAACATTCACAACTTCTGCAGGCAAGTTGTTCCACTGATGAATTGTTCTAACTGTCAGGAAATTTCTCCTTAATTCCAAGTTGCTTCTCTCCTTGATTAGTTTCCACCCGTTGTTTCTTGTCCTGCCCTCTGTGGGCACGAGCGCCGTTGCCAGCTGCCCTTCCAGGTCCTTTCGCGCTCATGTGCACCAGACAGCTGGTCCCGCCTGCATGCGCACCAGCAAACTGCTTTCTTCCGGGTTCCAGTGGCTGCATGAGAGAAGCTGGCCTGTGCGCTGGACCAGCTGTCCGCTGCGCACGCGCACGATGGAACCTGGAGAAGCAGCTGGCAACAGCTCACATGCCCACAGAGAGGGCTCTTCATGCCACCTCTGGCACACGGACAAAAGGCAACTGAATTTAAGAGTGAACTGAATCTGTTTCATCCCCATTCAAATTATTGCAGATTGTGTTTTCCTCCTTTACACAATTTGGAACAACGCATACATTCTTCAAGATGCCGGTAAAAGAAACCCCATATTTAGATAAATATTTCCTCTGCATTTTTCCCCTATAAAATGAGAGAGAACTGGAGAAGAAGGGAGACCTGAGGAAATTTTTAATACAGCAAACTTAAGGAAGGGAAGATTGAAAATAACATCTAGAGGGATTTTCGTTTTGCCGTTTTATGATCCTTGAAAAAAAAAAAATCTTACAGGTTAAGTGTGTTTAATGTAACACATTAATCAAATCTTTTTTTTTCCCTCTGACATTTGCTTCAACATTTTATCACCTCAGATATTCTGCTTTCCCTCTCTTTTTTTTCTCCCTTAGCTAAAACGATTTAAGCAGCATCGTTCCATTATTGGACTGATTGGTTAATGCTAAGAAGAAGAAGAAAGAGGAAACAATTGGAAACGGATAACATATTTCTTATTTTGATCTTTCCTGCATTAATATATTTGCAAAAAAAATAATAATGTAGAAGTGTCACTTCTGTAGTAAATAGTAATTTGTTATTGGTTCAGTGTCTTTCCCTTTAATTGTCTACAATACAAAGTCGGGGTTTATTCCTGACTAACGAAAGTTATAAACACAGGTAGTTCTTGACTTAGAATCATTAGTTTAGTAACCATTTGAAGTTACAATGGCACTGAAACAATAGACTTACAACCAGTCTTTGTGCTTACAACTCAGTGGTGAGTTTCAACATTTTTTTACTATCGGTTCTGTGGGTGTGGCTTGGTGGGCATGGCATGGCTTGGTGGGCATGGCAGGGGAAGGATACTGTAAAATCTCCATTCCCTCCCCAATCCAGGGAAAGAATACTGCAAAATCCCCATTTCTTCCCAATCAGCTGGGACTCGGGAGGCAGAGAATAGATGGGGGCGGGGCCAGTCAGAGTTTTTACTACCGGTTCTCCGAACTACTCAAAATTTCCGCTCCCAGTTCTCCAGAACTGGTCAGAACCTGCTGAAACCCACCTCTGTTACAACTGTTGGCCTACACCTTTAATTGCGTTGCTTAGCCACGGAGGTTCTAGCGCCAATTGTGGTTCTAAATTGAGAATTATCTGTAAGGAAGGCCTGTGTAAACTTTTATCAAAACAAGGACCTCTGATTCTCGTAACTGTTATATCATAACAGCTCCCACCTATAAATCAAAGTTTGTTCTTGGCTTGTGATCCTGGCTTGTTAGAGAGAAATCTAAGTAAGGAACTTGGTCTGAATAAAATGTTAAAGGATCTACAAATAGCCCCGTGAGTCTGCTATTACCGTGTTTCCCCGAAAATACGACCTAACCTGAAAGTACATCCTGGCTTGATTTTTACATGTGTGTTGTGGCTCCGATCACCGAGCCTGTGTTATCAGCAGGAGAGGACTCCGGGAGTGAAGGAGAGGAATTGGCAAGGCTTCCTTCTCCAGGACCCTCCTCTCTGGCAATGCCTCTGGTGTCCTCCGAAGGCCAAGAGATAGGCCCGGGGCCAAGCACTTCCACGCAGCCGCAGATGGACAGTAATGATGATGATGATGATGATGAGTCTTGGCTGGACCCTCGACAGCGTCACAGAGATAAGCGCGCGCAGCAGAGGAAGAGGCATGCCAGGGATTAGGCTGAGTCACCGGACCACACCCCACAAGGTATAAAAGGGGGTGTGGTGGCCATTCAAGCTCTGTGACGAGCAAAAACTGATATTGAACAAACCTCTCTGCATTGCTGGACTTTTTGATATTCTCTTATCTCTTGTGTGTTGGCTTTGAAAAACACTCCCTTCGTAAGTAAAAGACTCTTGGCAGCCAGCCACTGGGTTGCTGCCAATTCTGCTCTTAGAGAAACCTTTGTCGGCTGGTTTATTTCACTATTGACTGTCTGTGGGGGTGCGTGTGTGAGACGGGGACAGAACAATGTGTGCCCAATATAAGCCCTACCCCCAAAGTAAGCCCTAATGAAGACTCCGCCCACTCCAGGTTGCACGGGTAAAAATTAAGCTAGGATGGGGAGGGGGTGTGTGGAGCTGCAGTACTACTTACCTTCGGACAGTTGCAACCAGGCCTTGCACACCCCAACTCCTGCCTTGCCGCCCCATTTCTTCTGCAGCTGACAAGGCTTTCCTGAAGGTCTCTGCAGCCGGCTGCAGAGGCCTTCAGGAAAACCTTGCCGGCCGCAAAAGTTCCTGAAGGCCGCTGACAGCGAAAAGGAGGCCGGGGGTGACGCCCACAAGTGAAGTGAGTCAGTGGATGACATCCCCCCCCTGAAAATAAGACCTGTTGTGGCTCCGTTATCTGAGCCTGTGTCATCGGCAGGAGAGGACTCCGAGAGTGAAGGAGAGGAGTTGGCAAGGCCTCCCTCTCTAGGACCCTCCTCTCTGGCAATGCCTTCGGTGTCTGCCGAAGGGCAAGAGATAGGGCCGGGGTGAAGCACGTCCATGCAGCCACAGATGAACAGTGATGAGGGTAATGAGTCTTGGCTGGATCCACGCCAGAGTCGCAGAGATAAGCGCGCGCAACAGAAGAAAAGGCATGTCCGAGATTAGGCTGAGTCACTGGACCACACCCCACAGGCTATAAAAGGGAGCATGGTGGCCAGTCAAACCTTGTGATGAACAAAGCTGAAAGCTTCCACACCATTCTGCATTGCCGGACTTTTGGCTATAGACTTTGCTGGATTATCTCTGACTTGATTGACTCCGTAATTATTGAGCTGTTTCTTTTGATGTATCAGAAGTGGGGAGAAGTTATCTCTCCTCTTTGTAAATAATAAACTCTTGGCAGGCAGCCACTAGGTTGTTGCCAGGTTCCATTATCATAAGGAAAAGGATTTTGCTGGCTGGTTTGATCTTTAACTCTTGAACGTCTGTTGGTGTGTGTGCGTGTGGTTGGGGACAGAACAAGACCTGGTGCCTTTTTTGGTGGGAAAAATATAAGACAGGGTCTTATTTTCAGGGAAACATGGTATCGAACAAATAATTAAGTTATGCAGGATAACGGAGCTAACCAAACCGTTGTCCCCGAAAAGCCAGATTTTACGAGAATAGTAGCTCTGTGTTTCTTGCTTTTTACCTGTTAGGATGTTCCTTATGTTTTACATCCAGGTATTTCAAGGTGGCAATGAAAGATTGAGCCTGGAACCCCCGGGCTGTGCCAGCCACCACAGGGGTATGGCAGATGGCGCTGTCGGTCCCAATGGTGACTATATTACTCCGTAGGGGAGTGCCCACGTGGCCGACTTTATCCACGGCTTTGGTCACGCACCGTACGTGGAATCTCCGGCTGAAGTAAATGCTGTCCAGCACCTGAGAGGAAGAGGAGGAAGAAAAGAGAGGGGGGGGGAAGGAAGATGGAGGATGCTGAATCCTGACTAGGTGGCACAGTGGCTAAGACACTGAGCTTGTCGATCAGAAAGGTCGGCAGTTCGGCGGTTCAAATCCCTAATACAGGTCTCCTGCGTGAGCAGGGGGTTGGACTAGATGACCTCCAAGGTCCCTTCCAACTCTGTTACTGTGATTACTGTGAATGGGTATGAGCCAGACAATAGCCCTCAGGAACCTTTCCCGTTATCATTATCGTACATTGTCTTTTTGTTTGCTGACATTAAATGAATCACAGCCTTACCACCTTTTTTGGGGGGGGGGCGCGAGGCCATTAAGTGAATCACCGCAGTCATTCAGCAAACCCAGCTTTCCCCCATTGACTTTACTTGTCAGAAGCCAGCTGGGAAGTTCATAAATGGTGAGGTCACTTTGGGATGTTGCATAATATCTGCCTAACACTCCTTATTATTATTTTCCCACCACCACAATCCTGTGAGGTGGGTTGGATTGAGAAAGCGTGACTGGCCTAAAGTCACCCAGCTGCCTTTCATGTCTAAGGGAGACTAGAACTCACAGTCTCCTGATGATTGGCCCAAAGAAACTAATCAAGGAGAGAAGCAACTTAGAACTAAGGAGAAATTTCCTGACAGTGAGAACAATCAACCAGTAGAACCACTTGCCTCCAGAAGTTGTGAATGCTCCAACATTGGAAGTTTTAAAGAAGAGATTGGATAACCATTTGTCTGAAGTGGTGTAGGGTTTCCTGCCTAAGCAGGGGGTTAGACTAGAAGACCTCCAAGGTCCCTTCCAACTCAGTTATTCTATTCTATTCTATTCTATTCTATTCTATTCTATTCTATTCTATTCTATTCTATTCTATTCTATTCTATTCTATTCTATTCTATTCTATTCTATTCTACCCTACCCTATCCTAACCCTACCCTATCCTATTCTATCCTATCCTACCCTACGCTATTCTACTCTACCCTACCCTATTCTATTCTATTCTATTCTGTTCTGTTCTGTTCTATTCTACCCTACCCTACCCTACCCTACCCTATTCTATCCTATCCTATCCTAACCCTACCCTACCCTATTCTACTCTACCCTACCCTACCCTACCCTACCCTACCCTACCCTACCCTACTCTACTCTACTCTACTCTACTCTACTCTGTTCTGTTCTGTTCTGTTCTGTTCTGTTCTGTTTCTACATAGAGCAAGTCGGTTAATATGATAGACTAGAAGGAGTTGCTGTTTTTTTTTTTTTTTAGATCACTCTGTAATTGGACATTGGCAATTTGAAAGGGGCATGAAAGCAGAACCTGCCCAGGACAGGTTACAAAATAAAATTGGAAAACAACAGAAAAAAAAGGGAAGTGGCAAAATAGATGCACAGGAAGGAAGTGGCATTGGCAAAACTGACAAAGAATTTGCAATTATTTCAATGATGTGCCCTTGAGATTACTGATTAGAAAGAGAATGGATTGTTTCTCACCGGAGAAGGCATGCAGAATTTCATTCATTTCTTGATGTTTAGCTACTTCTAATTCACCGTATAACTCCTAATTTATTTGGTGGCATTTAAACTTGCAGAATGTCATCGTAACCTGTATTCGAAAGTGAACCAACCAAATTCAAGCCCCCTTATCAGGGGTGAGCTGCTGGAGGTTCACAGGGGTTCGGGAGAACCTCTAGCTAAGATTTTGTGCAGTTCTGAGAACCCCCAAATCACACTCCTGGCTGGCCCCGCCCATCCTGCCCCGCCTTCCCAGGAATCCCTATGCGGCCCGTTTTGGATGCAGGTAAATGCAGGACGTGTGTGGAGGCTCGGGGAGGGTGAAAAAAGGGCCAACTGGAAGTTTGGGAAGGCCTGCCAGAGGGCCTTCGGAGCCTGGGGAGGCCGTTTTCGCCTTTCCAGAGGCTTGAGGAAAGCTTCCGGAGCCCGGGGAGGGCAAAAACGCCACCCCCACCATGGTGCAGGAAACCAACTAGGCCACACCCACCATGGCCACACCCACTCAGCAACTGGGCAGAGAACCCCTTGCTAAAATTTTTGAAGCCCACCCCTGCCCCTTATCCTTCTGATGATATTGATTTTAATTGATATGTTTTAAATTATGGGCCAAATTCTATTTAATTAGTTTTAAATAATTATTTTAACTTTTGTACAAATGTTTTTATTTTGGCTGTTCACCGCCCTGAGTCCGAAAGGAGAAGGGCGGTATACAAATTTAATAAATAAAATAAAAAATAAAAAATAAAAAATAAATAAATAAATAAATAAATAAATAAATAAATAAATAAATAAATAAATAAATAAATGATAAGTGCTCAGCACAATTCTCTATACCAGGAATGTCAAACTCAATTTTATTGAGGGCCGCATCAGGATTGTGTTTGACCTCGGGGGGCCAAGTGGGCGAGGCAGGGGTGGGCATGGGCAGGATGGGTGTGGCCTGCTCGACATCCTGAGCCCTCTGCCAGCAAAAACAGAGCCTGTGCATGGCTCGTCTGGGCTCCGTTTTCGGCTACAACGTCCTCCTGCAGCCCTCCCGAGCTCCCTTTTCACTGGCAGAGGGCTGCAGGAGGCCGTCACAGCTGAAAACGGAGCCCGGGAGGGCCGCACACAGCCCTCCCAAGCTCTGTTTTTACTGGCAGAGGCACCATGGGGCAGTCCTTCACTGTTTCCGGGGCAGCCCCGGGGGCCAGATTAAGCACTCCGCGGGCCAGATCTTACCACAGGCCTTGAGTTTGACACCCCTGCTCTATACCTACCATGTGATTGACACTGGTGAAGGGGGTATTGTCCGTAATGGTTTCAAAAGGGGATCTGGCTCCGTTTCCATCGGTGGGGGTAGCCACTTCCCAGCTGAACTGTATGGAGGACTGGTTGATCCCAGCCTCACCGCATCGCTCCTTCATCACCGAGTACTTGGGGAAGTGAGAATCGCAAGGGGTAACACAGACCAAGGGGTAGCCTGGAGATGGTGACTTCTTAGCTCCCGTTGTGGTTTCTTCTTCAACGTGGTCGTACTCCGACAGAGTAACCACCTGCAGGGACAACGAAGGCAGAGCAACAAAGATGATTAGGGGCCTGGAGGCTAAAACACATAAAGAACAGTTGCAGGAACTGGGTATGTCTAGTTTAATGAAAAGAAGGACTAGGGGAGACATGATAGCAGTCTTCCAATATCTCAGGGACTGCCACAAAGAAGAGGGAATCAAGCTATTCTCCAAAGCACCTGAGGGCAGGACAAGAAGCAACGGGTGGAAACTAATAAAGGAGAGAAGCAACCTAGAACTAAGGAGACATTTCCTCACAGTGAGAACAATCAGTCAGTGGAACAACTTGCCTCCAGACGTTGTAGGTGCTCCAACACTGGAAATTTTAAGAAGAGATTGGACAACCATTTGTCTGAAATGGTGTAGGGCAGTGATGATTAACCTTTTTGGTGCCGAGTGCCCAAAGCGCGCGAGCATACGCGCAAATGCATATTCGCATGCCTGAACCCCCAAGATGCAATGTGAGCAGCCCCCCCACCTGTGCATGCGCCCTGCCCTCCCACACCCCGTTTTGGCTTCCAAGTTGGTGCAGAAGGCTTTGCAGGCCTAAAACAGGGTGCAGGGGGGCCCCCGTGCTTTGTTTGGGGCCTGGAAAACCTCCTGCACCAACCTGCACCCCCCCATGCATGCGCCCCACCCCACTGTGCATGCACACCTGCATCCCGTAATTTACATCCCCAATCATGCCCCTGTTTCCCCCCTCCCTCCAGGGTGTGTCATCAATCACATTCGCCAATGGGGCAATTTCACGGGTTGTAGAGATCACTCGCCTCCAGCCGCTGTAAGTACCCCTAGGATACAGCCTTGAGAAAGATAAGTGTGGAATGTGCATCTGTGATTGGCTGCTGTGCCATTTCATCAGTTTCCTATCCCCCCCCCTTCCCTATAGCAACTCAAGAGCAGGGCCAGGGATGTTTTGCGAGTTAGCAGAAGTGCAGTAAGGTGGGGACTACCTGTGGTGTTTTGATACCTCCGTGGTGGGTGCATCGAAATGTGGAAATGGACACAGACTTTCCACAGAATAGTAATTCCCACAGTTCAATTCCCACATTTTAGCTTGGGTCAATACGGGCAGTACAAATAGAGAGCAGTGACTCTCAACCTTAAGTCCATACTTCTTAAAGTTGTCAAGGCTGTGAAAGACTAGTACGGGGCCTTGAGAGATGCCACCATTTTAGAAGATGTGAAGGATTATAATTCTCAGCCTTCCACCCCACCGCTGTCTGGCACTTCAGGAGAATTATGGTTCAATAATATCTGAACGCCACCTGTCCTCACTCCTGATTTAAGGTTTTAGAGGTGAATTCAGATCATTCTAAATTAACGTTGTGTAAAACAAATGGAATTAAACAACCTAACGCCAAGGACCAAGGCCTAGTTACCAGCCCATTGCCTGTATACCAGGGGTGTTTTACTTACAGAGATTTTTTTCTTGATTTACAGAGCAAAAATTATGACAAATCCTTACAAACTGCTGGATGAAACCCTATTTATCATCTGCATGCACAGGCCGGTCTTTATTTATTTAATTTGGTGCCTTTAAATCAATCCTGGTGACGGCTTGGATGAGTCCCTGCAGTTTTCATGGCAAGATTTTTCAGAAGTGCCATTGCTTCCTTCCCAGGCTGAAGAGAGGGACTGGCTCAAAATCACCCAGCTGGGTTTCATGGCTAAGGCAGAGCTAGAACTCACGGTCTCCTGGTGATTGGCTCAGAGTCACCCAGCCGGCTTTCATGCCTAAAGCAGGATTAGAGGATTAGGGTTCACCGTCTCTTTTAGATTAGTCCAAAGTCAACAAGGTTGTTTCACGCCTAATGCTAGAACTCACAGGCACCTTGTTTCTAGTCTGCTGCCATGACCATTATATCACATATCTATGACAGATTTGGGTCACTCCATAAAAAAAGCACCTTAGAATCAACTCTTAGCTCATAATTCGAGTTAATGTTTCTTACTATAGGAGGAGCTGGTAAAATGAGGCTTCCGGCTGCTTCTTGGTCCAAAATGGTCACAATTGTGGTGGTGAGGTCCCCCAAAACAGCTTCAATGGGATCATCTGGACCCAAGACCAGAGAAAAGGATTCGTGCCACTCCCGGTCTTCATTGGACATGATCTCCACTTTAAAGAAAACGTGATCCACACCTGCAGGAAAGAACATAAATGTAAGCAAGTTACCGTTCGACAGGACTTTAAATGCACCCATGGGGAATCATTCTATCTATCTATCTATCTATCTATCTATCTATCTATCCATCCATCCATCCATCCATCCATCCATCATCCATCCAATCTATCTATCCATCTATTCTCTATCCATCCATCCAATCTATCTATCCATCTATCTATCCATCTATCATCCATCCATCCAATCTATCTATTCTCTATCCATCCATCCATCGAATCTATCTATCTATCCATCTATCATCCATCCATCCATCCATCCATCCATCCATCCATCGAATCTATTTATCCATCTATTCTCTATCCATCCATCGAATCTATCTATCCGTCTATCTATCCATCTATCATCCATCCATCCATCCAATCTATCTATTCTCTATCCATCCATCCATCCAATCTATCTATCTATCTATCCATCTATCTATCCATCTTCATCCATCCATCCATCCATCCATCCATCCATCCATCCAATCTATCTATCTTTCTTTCTATCTTTCAAATTTATATGGCTGTCCACTCACTCTCAGTGTCTCTGGGCAGTTTCCAAAAATAAAATAAAATAAAAACCCAGTATACAACAATGAAAACAATAATCCCTCACCCCATCCCTCTGGCAAAAGCAATCAGTCAAAGAAGCCACTTGATGGGCTCCATCCCACTCAGGGTTCCCTTTGCCATGGTTCCTTGGCAAAACCTGGGGCTTTGCGAAAGAGTGTCAAAGTGGGGGCCGGTCTAATATCGGGGGAGGGAGGGAGCCACCATGGAGAAGGCCCGTCTTCTGGGTCTCACCAAATATACCTCCTTAGAAGAGGGAACCTGAAATATTCCCTGCCTCCCTGCTCTGGTGGGTTGGGTGGATGCAACCAGGGAAAGATGCTGCTTCAGATAAGCTGGTCAGAAAACCATATAACAGAATAACAGAGTTGGAAGGACGTTGGAGATCTTATAGTCTGATCGCCAGTACAAGCAGGAAATCCTATACCATTCCAGACAAATGCAAATGCTTGTCCAACATCTTCTTAAAAACTTCCAATGTTGGAGCATTCACAACTTCTGGAGGCAAGTTGTTCCACTGGTTAATTATTCTGACTGTCAGGAAATTTCTCCTTAGTTCTAAGTTGCTTCTCTCCTTGATTAGTTTTCATCCATTGCTTCTCATCCTGCCTTCAGGTGCTTTGGAGAATAGCTTGACTCCCTCTTCTTTGTGGTAGCCTCTCAAATATTGGCACACTGCTGTCATGTCTCCCCTAGTCCTTTTTTTCATTCTAGATATTCCCAATTTCTGCAACCGTTCTTCATATATTTTAACCTCCAGTCCCCTAATCACCTTTGTTGCTCTTCTCTGCACTCTTTCTAGAGTCTCAACATCTTTTTTACATCGTGGCGACCAAAACTGGATGCAGTATTTCAAGTGTGGTCTTAGCAAGGCATTATAAAGTGGTATTAACACTTCACGTGATTTTGATTCTATCCCTCTATTAACGCAGCCATGTACGGCTTTAAAGGTGACAACCAGCATCTTGAATTGGACCCAGAAGCAAATTGGCAGCCAGTTCAGCTCCCGCAAGAGAGGTAACACATGTGCACACCTGGGCAAGCACAAAACCATGTGGACTGCAGCATTCTGCACCAACTGGAGCCTCTGAATATTTTTCAAGGGCAGCCCCATGTACAGTGCATTGCAATAGTCAAGACAGGAGGTAATTAGGGTTAAGGCTGTTCCCACTAAAACATTCCTCCTTAAACTTGGCATTATCCCGATGAATTCTAGGGATTCAAGATCCCAGAGTCCCAATACATCTGGAGATGCTTGGTTGGGGAAGACTCCACTAACCCCTTGTGATAAAAGCAAACACAGTTTTATTATTATATTATTATATTATATATTTCTATACTGCCTTTCTCCCTATACCGGACTCAAGGCGGTGTACAGTCAAGAAAAATATAGACACACAAACATCATAAAATTGCTAATTAAAATTATTACTTAGTTTGGTCAATTAAATAAAACCCAGAATTAGATAACATTTTAAAAAATCATTCACATGTTCGTATGTTTAGCCCCGCCTGTTGGAACATCAGAGTTTTGAGGGCATGGCGGAAAGCACGGAGATCAGGGATATTCCGTATCTCCGGGGGCAGTTCATTCCAAAGGGTTGGAGCCCTCACAGAGAAGGCCCTCCCCCTGGGAGTCGCCAGTCGACATAATTTGACTGACGGTACCCTGAGGAGACCCTCCCTGTGAGAACGAACTGGTCGGTGGGAGGCTATTGGTGGCAAAAGACGGTCTCGTAGGTACCCAGGTCCTAAGCCATGGAGCGCTTTAAAGGTGATAACTAACACCTTGAATCGCACCCGGAAGACCACCGGGATCCAGTGCAGCTTGCATAGGAGAGGTGTTACATGGGCACAACGAGCTGCGCCCATAATCACCCGCGCGGCTACGTTCTGGACCAGTTGGAGCCTCCGGGTGCTTTTCAAGGGGAGCCCCATGTAGAGAGCATTACAGTAGTCCATACGGGAGGTAACTAGGGCATGAGTGACTGTGCGCACTCATCATTTATCCCCACATCATCATTTCTCCTTTTTTTAATATACCACGCAACCTGACTGACTGCCTGGCAGGTTTACTAACTGATGCCATTAAAGGATTAATGGTGCCTGTCCGACTTTAATAAAAACCCACGATCCAAATATACTGCTGGTGTTCCTGCTTTGCAGGCATGATTTTTTTTGGGGGGGGGGGGGGTTCTTCCTCGTGAGAGCAGAGTCGCTGATCTTGCTGGATTTTGGGTAGGACCTACCAGGATTGTGATGGACAGCTAGTTCAGAAAAAGAGATAGCAAAACTTGCTCCCTGGAAAAAAAAAAACATAGGAGAACAGAAGTTGTAGGTAGCCGGAAAGCTGGAAGGAGAGGAACCGTGGAGGAAGTGAACCAAGGAACTAAGAAACAGGTAATGAGGGGCCTGCATGGATAAATGATGAGCTGGAGAGCAGATATCCTTTCTATCAATTGCTGTAGGGGTGGGATTCAGCCGGTTCGGACCAGTTCGGGCGAACCAGATGCTAATTTTATACCTGGTTCGCCGAACCGGTAGTTGAAAGGACTGGCTGGCTCTGCCCACCCTGCCCCACCCCTCCCAGGAGTCTCCACGCGGCCTGTTCTGGATGCCAAGTAAGTGCAGGGCCCACTTGGAGGCTCTGGGAGGATGAAAAACGGGCCTACCGGAAGTCCGGAAACAGGCCCGTTTCTGGCCTCCAGAGGGCCTCCGGAGCCCAGGGGAGGCCGGTTTTGGCCTTCCAGAGGCTCAAGGAAAGCCTCCAGAGCCTGGGGAGGGCGAAAACGACCTCCCCGCTGTGATGCAGGAGGCTGAGTAGGCCATGCTCACCATGGCCACGCCCACCCAGCAACCAGGCAGAGAACCGGTTGCTAAAATTTTTGAATCCCACCCCTGAACTGCTGGAAAGAACATTCATCCAGACTTCCTTGAATGAGAGCTTGAGTGCCAAGAATTAGGGGACAAAAATACAGAACCCTGAGGTCCTCTTTTCTTATGAGGGAGTCCCTGAAAAGGTTTTGAACAAGAGTGTCCAACCTGGAGTAACTTTAAGACTTAACAAAGTAACAGAGATGGAAGGGACCTTGGATGTCTTCTAGTCCAATTCTCTGCTCAAGCAGGAGACTCTATATAATTCCTGACAAATGGCTGTCCAATCTCTTCTTAAACAGTGTTGGAGCATCCACAACTTCTGGAGGCCAGTTGTTCCACTGATTCATTGTTCTAACTGTCAGAAAATTTCTCCTTAGTTCTAAGTTGCTTCTCTCCTTGATTAGTTTCCATCCATGGCTTCTTGTCCTGCCTTCAGGTGCTTTGGAGAATAGTTTGACTCCCTCTTCTTTGTGGCAATCCCTGAGATATCGGAACACTGCTATCATGTCACCCCTGGTCCTTCTTTTCATCTAGACAACGTGATTTCTGTTTGTTTGGAGATATAAAAGACAAGTTTAAATTTTGCAGGCAGCTATTAGGGTCTCTTATCTGTGTCTTAAAGGAACTCCGGGGTTCTTCTAGTTGCGGTGAAGACTTAGTGGAAGTCCCGCTGATTTCCCCAAGCGAGAGGTCGGCATCCCATTAATTTTTTCATTGAAATGAATGGGAATTTACTGCACTTCTTCTCTTCCCTTCTTGCTCCCGTGCGTTCTGCAGGGATTTCAGGAAAAACGTGGAAAGCCAAACCTTTGTACCAAGGAAACAGATGGGGAAGATTTAGAAGCCGTAAGATTGCTACGGTCTTAAGGGGCAGCGAGAAGGATTAGCTTCACGTATTGGCACAAAGCAATCGGCTAAATTTCTGTGCCTTTGCTTAAAAGGGCAGAAGGATTTTTAATTCTTTTTCTGGATTTAGGAGTTTGATTGTTGCATCGACAGATCCACCAGGGGGCACAGGCGATAAACACAACAGGCAAACCAACATCTTCATAGTCCTCGACTTACAACCATTCGTTTAGTGTCCGTTCAAAGTTACAACAGCACTGAAAAAAAGTAACTGAGCACCGTTTTTCGCACTGATGACCGTCGCGGCATCCTCATGGTCAGGTGATCAAAATTCGGTTGCTCGGCAACTGTCGTGTATTTATGACTGTTGCAAAGTCCCAGGGTCATGTGATCATTTGTAAACTTCCCAGCCGGCTTCTGTTGAGCAAAGCCAACAGGGGAAGCCGGATTCACTTAACAACCACATGATTCACTTAACAACTGCAGCGCTTCGCTTAGTGACACAGCGAAAAGGTTATAAAATGAGGCACGACTCACTGAATACCCGCCTCGCTTAGCAACGGAAATTTGAGGCTCCTTTTTGGTTGCAGGTTGAGAACTTTCCTGTATTATAAATCTGACAGAGTCCAATTCATTCAATCCATATATAAGAAAACTAAGATCATGGCATCCGGCCCTCTCAATTCCTGGCAAATAGATGGAGGAAAAATGGAGGTAGTGACAGATTTTATTTTCCTGGGCTCCAAGATCACCGCAGATGGGGACTGCAGCCAAGAAATGAAAAGATGCTTCCTCCTGGGGAGGAGAGCTATGGCAAAGCTAGACAGCATTCTAAAAAGCAGAGACATCACCCTGCCATCAAAAGTGTGTATAGTCAAGGCTCTGGTTTTCCCAGTTGCAATGTATGGCTGTGAAAGTTGGACCATAAGGAAGGCTGAGGGCCAAAGAATGGAGGCCTTTGAATGATGGTGCTGGAGCAGTCTCCTGCGAGTCCCTTGGACTGCAAGGCGATCAAACCGGTCAGTCCTAGAGGAGATCAACCCTGACTGCTCTTTAGAAGGCCAGATCCTGAAGAGGAAACTCAAATACTTTGGCTACCCAATGAGAAGGAAGGACTCACTGGAGAAGATCCTAATGCTGGGAAAGATTGAGGGCAAAAGAAGAAGGGAATGGCAGAGAACGAGGTGGCTGGATGAAGTCACTGAAGCAGTCGGAGTGAGCTTAAATGGACTCCGAGGGATGGTAGAGGACAGGAAGGCCTGGAGGAACGTTATCCTTGGGGTCGCGATGGATCGGACACGATTTCGCAACTAACAACAACAAATATTACCAGGGCTAAACTTGAGAACTCGGCTCTTTGGGTAATAATCGATTCCAGATTGAGCTGAGCCATCCCGGGTGCTGCAGCGAACTTTCGAGGTCCTGTTTTGATCTCCTCTCCGGATGACTTTGACATTTAAGAAGCCAACGCCTTCTGGCCCAGGAGGTTCACGAACCTGGTACCCAGCTTCTTCAAACTCGATGGTGGGAGCTGGAATTAGGGAGGAAGCCGAAGGGGGAAAAAAAAAAAGACCTTGGTCAGGTTTCAGACATGAGGAACATTTTAGCTCAGGGGTCCCCAACTCATGGGCCGTGGCCAAGTACCAGGACGTGGCCCGTTTGAAACCAGGCTGCACAAGCAGCTTGCAAATGTGCACAGCTCCACTTGTGTGAGGGCAGGGACAAAGGGAGCTGTGTGCACTGTGTGTGCAGAACCATCCCCTCTCCCCCCACCGCCCCTCCCACCGCCGTTCCGTGAAGCCAGAAAGGATGGGGACCACTGTTTTAGAGCCTCGGTGGCGCAGTGGTTAGAGTGCAGTACTGCAGGCTACTTCTGCTGATCACCCACTGTCAGCAGTTTGGCAGATTGAATCTCAGCAGGCTCAAGGTTGACTCAGCCTTCCATCCTTCCGAGGTGGGTCAAATGAGGACCCAGATTGTTGGGGGGGTGGGCAATAGGCTGACTCTGTAAAACTGCTTAGAGAGGGCTGGAAAGCACCATGAAGTGGTATATAAGTCTAAGTGCTATTGTTCTTCCTCCCTCCCTCCCTCTCTCCCTCCCTCCCTCCCTTCCTTCTTTCTTCTTTCTCTTAATTCCCTTCTCATTCTCCTTCCTGGTGACGCCGTGGTTAGAATGCAATATTGCGGGCTGACTCTGCCCACTGCCAACAGTTCGATCCTGACTGGCTCAAGGTTGACTCAGCCTTCCATCCTTCCGAGGTGGGTCAAATGAGGACCCAGATTGTTGGGGGGGCAATAGGCTGACTCTGTAAAACTGCTTAGAGAGGGCTGGAAAGCACCGTGAAGCGGTATATAAGTCTAAGTGCTATTGCTATTGCTAACTCATCTTGCGGTCCAACAAGACAGTATCTGAAATAACTCAGATTTATTTATTTATTTATTTTTGTTACTGCCAATGATCAATGCCAAGAAACAAAGCACTACCCTAAACTTTTGAGACTACTCGCTTCAGCAGAAACTTTTTAAAGACCCTTAACTAAAATTTAACAGACTCTGCCAAGTAAGGAGAAGTTTACTGACTGATCCTTTTCCTGATGATTATTTTTTTTAAAAAATTGTACTCCAAGTGGCTCAAGGCCCAATTTTTTTTTTTTTTTGCTTTAATTTATATGCCGCCCTTCTCTGGAGACTCAGGGCGGCTTACAATGCGTTAAGCAATAGCCTTCATCCTTTTGTATATTTATACAAAGTCAGCTTATTGCCCCCACAATCTGGGTCCTCATTTCACCTACCTTTGAAAGGATGGAAGGCTGAGTCAACCTTGAGCCTGGTGAGATTTGAACTTGCAATAATTGCAAGCAGCAGATGTTAATAACGGTGCTTTAGTCCACTGTACTACAGGCTCTTTCAGATTATTGGAGATGTTTTAAAAATAAATCAGTTAAGCACAGACAGGACACAAAGACTAACGCAGGTATGGAGAAAAGTTAGCTGAGCAATTGTACGGAGTGACGGAGATTCAGGAGAGGAGGGAAAAAAAGTTGTTCTTTATGTAATGTTAACAACAATTTATTCAGTTATGGAATTTGAATGAGTGAGTGAGTGAGTGGATGGATGGATGGATGAATGTGCTGGAAGGGACTTTGGAGGTCTTCTAGTCCAGCTCCCTGCTCAAGCAGGAGAACCTCTGCTATTTCAGATAAGTGACTGTCTAGACTGATTTGATTCTGATTTGAATCTATTTGATTCTGTAAGACGAGGTGATGACTTCAAAAGGCAATTAGGCAAAGGATAAGGCATCAACAGGTATTGGGCGTAACTGGGCATAATAATTAAATAGATGCCCATATTCAACTACCTTTTCAATATCACATATGGGTAGTCCTCGACTTATGACTGGCCACTTAATGGCCATTCAAAGTTACAACAGGCTCTCCAGGGCTGATATTCACTTACGTTCGCTACCGGTTCGCAAATGTGAGCGCGCACACCACCGAGACTCATAATAATCAACCGATTGTAATAAAACTCAGATGAATACGTATTTGAATACAAGCCCATCCTTCTTACCATCTTCGTCGTTGGAAATAACTACAGTAGCCATATTGCTTTTCCCAACGGTAGCCCCACTCCAGTGGCTGCCTTGGGGTTCACTCAGATATACCCGGAATCTCTCCTCCGGTTCAAAGGCAGAGTCGTCGTTTATAATAATAGTGCAGTTCTTTACCTAAAGTCAAAGATATCATCAGTAAGGATTGGGAGGCAATCCGCACAATTCATTCATTTATAAAGCAATTTATAAAGCAAGATATGCAATTCTATGCAGGTAGTTCTCGAATTACGACCACAATTGAGCCCACAATTTATGTTGCTTCAGTGCGAAATTTGTTAAGTGAATTTTGCCCCATTTTACGACGTCCCTTCTCATGTTTGTCAAGTGAATCGCCGCAGTTGTTAAATTAGTAACGCCGTTGTTAACTGAATCTGGTTTCCCCATCGTCGTTGCTTGTCAGAAAGTCGCAAAAGGGGATCACAGGACCCCGCCGGGACACTGCAACCGTCATAAATATGAGTCAGTTGCCAAGCCATCCAAATATAAAGCATGTGCAATGGTCGTAAGTGTGAACAATTGCCATACGTCGCTTTTTTTCAAAGTTGTAAACTTTGAATGGTCGCTAAATGAACTATTGTAAGTCGAGGATTATCTGTATATTTAATTAAAGTTCCTTTCCACTTTGAGATAGGAAACATGTACCCTAAACTCTAGAACAGTGATGGCTAACCTTTTCCGGACCGAATGCCCAAAGTGCACGCGCGAGTGAATGCACACACACGCCCAAATCCCCAAAATGCAATGTGTGCGTGCACCTGAGCCCCCCCAAATGCAATGCACACGAGGGCCCCGTGCATGCACCCCACGCCCCATGCGTGTGTGCATGGCTACCCGCATGGCCCCCGTCCCCCACACATGCTTGCATGCCCCCTGCATGCTCCCTGCGCATGCGTGGTAGACACCCAAAGACCAGCTGGCTGGCAGGAGGTGCAGACGCATGCACAGCAGAGCTGAACTGGGGCGACTGCTCGCGTGCCATCAGAGAGGGCGCTGCATGCCACCTCTGGCACACATGCCATAGGTTCGCCATCACGGCTCTAGAACATCCTTTAGATCAGAGGTCCCCAACCTTTCGGACCTCAGGGACCCCTAAATTCATACTTTTAAATCCCGTGGACCACTAATAGGATCTGCCTAATGACCGGCTGGGTGGGCGTGGCTAGGTGGTCATGGGACTGGGCGGGCATTGTCAACTCGATGTCACTCACGTCAAGGGATGCCTTGCCGGCCTCTACTCACCCCTCTCCTGTCAGCCACTCCTCACCTGGGGCTCCTTAGGGCCCCAACGGGAAGCAGTTGTTGAAGTTAAGCAGCCACCACGAGAAAGAGTTGGCAAAACAGCTCAGTTCAATTTGGATCTGGCCGAGAAGGAGGCTCAGCAGAAGCACCTCACTGAGGACTAGGAGCTTAGGCTTTCCAAACAGAGGGAAGACTGGCAGGAGTGCAAGACCAGGGACTGGCGCCTGCAGGCTCAGCGGGCTGAGATGGTCAGTCAGTTCCAGGCCATGATGCAGTCCCACTGGAACGAGGCTCTCTGGCTCTTCGCCACAAGCGGTACTTCCCTCCAGCCCAAAGCCCTGCCCCAGGAGGCTGAAGCAGACCCCGAGTCGAATTTTTGCCCCCCTCCATCCCACACAAAAAGACCCCGAAGGGGGAGACTCTCTGCAGCCACACAAATGTTCATTGCATGTATCCGGCCCAGGGGCCGTAGCTTGAGGACCCCTGATTTAGTGCAATATAAAAAATGCAAATAATAATTTTTCTGTGGACCACCCAAATTTTCTCGCGGACCACCAGTGGTCCACGGACCACCAGTTGGTGACCGCTGCTTTAGAGGATAAAACTGCAAATAAATCTTCCAACCATCTCTCCCCCCCCTCCAGGGAACTAACCCCCAGCTCTGCCAATGTTCATGACTCAGCCCTGCATACCTTCCCAAATTGTGCTTCAGCCCCCAGTCCATCTGCCTTAGACCAAGAAAATAAAATAGCATTTAAGTTGAGTCATAACCCACGTTCTGGCAGTCTTTCCATATCGTATGTTTCTTCGTCCAAAAATGTTTTCCTCGCCACAAGTGACAAATTGCAGCAGTTTTGAAACTGGGCCAAGGGCTTTGAGTTGATGGGCTCTCTCTCTCTCTCTCTCTCCCCCCGTCATGTTAAGTCCTCAGTTCTCTGCCAGCTGTATTCACTCACCTTCTCCCCTTTCAAAAATGTGATCCGTGATTCTTCAGCATTTCTCCTTTCCTCAAAATCCTCCATGACTCTTGCGGTCTGACTCTGGGTATGGCACCTGACGGAAGATTCGTAGCTTAAGTCTCCAGAACGGATAACAGGAATGTGTAGGACATGGTCCTTCTCTTTCACGGAGTAGACATCTTTACTGAACTTCATGTTTGGAACTGTAAAGGAGGAGGAGGAGGAGGAGGAGGAGGAAGACAGAGGAAAGGTAGAGAAGGGGAAAGAGAAAGGGAGGAGAAGGAGAAAGAAGAAGAGGAGGAGGAGGAAGAAGAAGAAGATGATGGAGGGGGAGGGGGAGGAGAAAAAAGAAGAAGAAGAAGAAGAAGAAGAAGAAGAAGAAGAAGAAGAAGAAGAAGAAGAAGAAGAAGAAGAAGAAGAAGGAACAAGGAGGAGGAGGAGGAGGAGGAAGAGAAGGAGGAGCAGAAGGAGAAGAAGATGAAACATGGAGGAAGAGAAGAAGGACAATTTAGTGATAGTCAAGGTTACTAATATGCTATCAAATCGTATTAGGAAACAAATAAAAACAATATAAATTGAAAGATACAAGCGACATGATTATAGTAATAAGTGGGAAGAGATAGATACTAGTAAGGAAGAGAATAATATTAATACAGTCTTAGTAAATTATTTGACAGGGTTGAGGGAATTATTTGTTTAGCAGAGTGATGGCGTTCGGGAGAAAACTGTCCTTGTGTCTAGTTGTTCTGATGTGCAGTGCTCTATAGCGTCGTTTTGAGGGTCGGAGTTGAAACAATTTATGTCCAGGATGTGAGGGGTCTGTAGATATTTTCACAGCCCTCTTTTTGACTCGTGCAGTATACAGGTCCTCAATGGAAGGCAGGTTGGTAGCCATTATTTTTTTTCAGTTCTAATTATCCTCTGAAGTCTGTGTCTGTCTTGTTGGGTTGCAGGACCAAACCAGACAGTTATGGAGGTGCAGATGACAGACTCAATAATTAGTTTGGCATTTGCTCATCTACTTACCATCCTGGAAGGTGTCATTAATGGCCACCACTGCTTGGAAAGGTTTGGCCAGCTCTGCTCCTTGAGGGGAACTCAAATAGACCACAAAGGTCTCCACCCCTTCAATCACTGGGGACTGCGCATCATCCAGAATAGTCAAGGTGCAATACTAATGGGGGAAATAAGAGAAATAAAACAGCCCGTTCTGTAAACATATATATGATATTTCTTTGATTTATATAGCCTGGTTTTGTTCTGTACAACTCAAGATGGCGTACATAAAGCTTCCTTCTTCTATTTCTGCAAAATGACAGCCCTGTGAGGCGGGTTGGACTGATAGAGAGTCATCTACCTTGCTTCCGGGTCTAAGGGAGGATTAGAACTCAGGATGACTATTTTCAATCTATCACTACACCAAATTGGTTCTCCATAATGAAGTCAGGCTTAACCCCTAGTCCCGTAATGGGGAATCTATGGCACACGGCAAGCTGATTTTCGGGCCTTCCGGTCCCACCGGAAGTCGGGAAACAGGCCATTTCCAGCCTCCGGAGGGCCTCCGGGGGGGAGGGGAAGGCTGTTTTTGCCCTCCCCAGGCTCCTAGAAAGCCTCTGGAGCCTAGGGAGGGTGAAAAATGGGCCTTTTGGGCCCACCATGCCATCATGTGCCAAAAGTGGGGGGGGTCACGCACATATGCATGGGGGAGCAGGGTGCACTGAATTATGGGTGTGGGTACACACGCGCATGACCTCCCCGCACTCCCCCCACTTTTGGCACGCAACAGCAAAAGGGTTAGCCATGACTACCCTAATCCCTTCTGGGATATATTCACGTTGTTTCCTTTGCAGTCATTATGCTTTCATAATACCATAGAATAACAGAGTTGGGAGGGACCTGGGAGGTCTTCTAGTCCAACGCTCTGCTTGACCAGGTGGCGCAGTGGTTAGAGTGCAGTACTGCAGGATACTTCTGATGACTGTTGGCTGCCTGTAATTTGGCAGTTCGAATCTCACCAGGCTCTCGGTTGACTCAGCCGTCCATCCTTCCGAGGTGGGTAAAATGAGGACCCAGATTGTTGGGGGCAATAGGCTGACTCTGTAAACTGCTTAGAGAGGGCTGCAAAGCATTGTATTGCTATTGCTATACCATTCCAGACAAATGGTTGTCCAATCTCTTCTTAAAAACCTCCAGTGTTGGAGCACCCACAACTTCTGGAGGTATCTTTAAGTCTACAGCTGCTGGATTTGTGGCTGGTTTCTCATCCAAGGCCCAACATGAACCTTGGTAGTACAGTGGTCTAAGGCATACTGTTATTAAGACCAGCTGCCTGCAATTACTGCAGGTTCAAATCTCGCCAAGGCTCAAGGTTGACTCAGCCTTCCATCCTTTCTAAGGTAGGTAAATTGAGGACCCAGTTTGTGGGGGCAATAAGCTGACTTTGTATAAATATACAAAAGTATGAAGGTTATTGCTTAACGCATTGTAAGCTGCCCTGAGTCTCCGGAGAAGGGCGGCATATAATTCAAAAAAAAAAAAAAAAAAAAAAAACTCTGCCTAATTTTGAGATCAGGGGTGAAATTCAGCCGGTTCGATCGAAATCCAGATCGCACGATCCGGTAGGGCCGATTGTGCGAAACCCCGCCCACCCGTGAGGACATCATGCCGTCCCTTTTTTGCGATGATTTTCAGCCTTTGCGCATGTGCAGAAGGCTTTCTGCATACGTGGACAATGGCGCGAGTGAGCGAAGTGAGCGTGCGCCCGGCGCACACACATTTGCAAACCGGTAGGGAAGGTAAGTTAATTTCACCCCTCTTTGAGATCCTCCAATGACACCCAGTTGCCACCAACTCTAATGGCCCCACTAATAAAAAAAAAAACAAAAAACCCTACCCACTCTGTATTAAAATATATGCGAGACAGTGAGGAAGAGAAAGAGAGAGAAAGGAAGACAAAGCATTTTTAGAATACAGCGGCTGAATTTTGATGACATGACTCTGGGGATGCTGCAATGGTCGTTAGTGTGAAAAGCCGTCGTAAATCACTTTTTTCAATGCCGTTGTAACTTCGGTCACTAAACGAATTGCTGTAAGTAGAGGAGCCACCTGCATCTTTGTTTTATTAACCGGTGTCAGCTTTCATTTATAAATCCCTGCTTTCCTTAGAGGCAGAGGTGGGTTTCGGCAGGTTCTGACCAGTTCTGGAGAACCGGTAGTGGAAATTTTGAGTCGTTTGGAGAACCGGTAAATACCACCTCTGACTGGCCCCGCCCCCATCTATTCTCTGCCTCCCGAGTCCCAGCTGATCGGGAGGAAATGGGGATTTTGCAGTAACCTTCCCCTGGAGTGGGGAGGGAATGGGGATTTTACAGTATCCTTCCCCTGCCACGCCCACGAAGCCATGCCACGCCCACCAAGCCACACCCACAGAACCGGTAGTAAAAAAATTTGAAACCCACCACTGCTCAGAGAGTGAAGGAACAGCCAACACCGTTAGATTTTGTGTTTCTCAACCTTGACAGCTAAGTGTGGACTTCAACTCCCAGAATTCCCCTGCGGAGGGGGAAGGGATTAAACTCGCCAAGATCGAAAAACATTGCATGAATTGGATTGCAGCATCCATTTGTATGCATTTCTTAACGAAATACCTCTGTATTTGGCCCTTAGCTTTTTAATTCTGATCTACATAATAACTGCTGAGCTGATAGGTCTCAAGAGGGGGTTCATTGGAGGAGGGGGATGCGAAACTAGTCCATTTCACTATCATCGTCTTGGACAGCTCCCAACAACTATTGGCTGATGGTTACCATTTCCTTTCCCAAGTAAGGTTTACCAGAATAATTTGGAATGGTATCAAGAGTACATCAAAACACATTTCAAGAGGCCTAATAAAACAAAGAGGTTTATTTGACAGTCCTAAATTTGTCCAGGTTTTTGCCATGTGATCTAGGCTTGTGCAAAAATGTTCAACCTTAAAGGTAAAGATAAAAGTTCCCCTTGTACATATGTGCTATTTGTTCCCGACTCTAGGGGGCGGTGCTCATCTCCGTTTCAAAGCCGAAGAGCCAGCGCTGTCCGAAGACGTCTCCGTGGTCATGTGGCCCGCATGACTAAATGCCAAAGGCGCACGGAACGCTGTTACTTTCCCACCAAAGGTGGTCCCTATTTTTCTACTTGCATTTTTTTTTACGTGCTTTCGAACTGCTAGGTTGGCAGAAGCTGGGACAAGTAACGGGAGCTCACCCCGTTACGCGGCACTAGGGATTCGAACCGCTGAACTGCCGACCTTTCGATCGACAAGCTCAGCGTCTTAGCCACTGAGCCACCGCATCCCTCATGTTGAACCTAGGAACAGGCTATTCTGGAGAATGATGTGCTCTGAAGACTAATCCTTCCATTACGATTACGGGAGGGAGAAAAAAAATAGCCATACCTCTTCAGTTCTCCCTGGATGAAATTCAACCTTCTTGGAACTGGGAATGTAATCAAATCCCGGAGTAGCAGATGGCGGATCTGATGTCCGAGTGGCGCACCAGACCGAGGTAGGAATGGAGAGATCAGACCCGTGCCTCGTAATTGGGATTTCGATAATCCCTATAGCAGGGAGGGAAGGGAGGATTTGAAAGCAATTAATTTCAAATGGAAACACAGAAGATTACCGCTGCGCATACCCCATTTCCAAAAGACACTGTAGTCCTCACGTCTACGTGGTTTAAGGAAAACGATTCTGAAGTAGAACATCGTTATGGAAGGGAACCAAACTGAATAGCTATTGTAAATTGCCCAGAGTCACTTAGGTGAGATAGATGGATGGTGTAAAAATAGAGGCCCCTTTGTTGAACTGGAAATATACAAATGGATGTTTCTGGGCACGGAATTCACTGGTCTTTCTTGTAGATGCAATAGTTGCCAAATATATCGCTCTAAGGCAGGGGTGAAATGCTCCCGGTTTGGACCGGATCGCCCGACCGGAGAACCGATAGCAAAAATCCCTGCCCTCCCCCCCAATGCTCAGCTGAGTCACACGATCATCAGAGGCTTTTTTTTTTTTTACTTTTAAAAGCATTTTTTCTACAACCTCTTCCTACCAAAAAATGCTTTTAAAAGTAAAAAAAAAAAAAAAGCCTCTGATGATCGCGCAGCTCAGGTGGGATCGTCAGAGACTTTTCAAAGCATTTTTTTCTGCAATCTCTTGGCCGAAGGGGTGGTAAAAAAAATGCTTTGAAAAGTCTCTGACGATCCTAGCTGAGTTGCCTGATCGCCAGAGGCTTTTCAAAGCATTAGAAAAAATGCTTTGAAAAGATTTTTTTTAAAAAGAGCTGGCCACGCCCACCCAGTCACATTACCCCACCACCACCAAGCCACGCCCACAGAACCGGTAGTAACACATTTTCCATTTCACCCCTGCTCTAAAGGTAATACAGATAGTCCTCGATTTATAACCAGTCATTTAGAGACCATTCCAATGAACCTACAACCTGGGTTTAAAGTTCCGATGGTCTCACACACAACACACATACACACACACACACACACACACACGAGATCATGTGACTGCACTTCGAGTGCTTGGCAACCCTGCGGCATTTATGGCCATTTGCAGCATCCCATAGTCACATGACCCCACATTTTTGCCAAAAACCGGCATTGATTTCTGTTTTAAGTAAGTGGCTTAAGTGGTTTTTGTCAAGGGAATCAGGAGCTAAGGCGATTCAAATGAATACAGGTTCATTGCATGCTAACAGTCTCTACAAGAAACTGAACTACTAACCGTCAAAAGAAAATTGGCGGTAGATAAGATTCAACGGAATTCAAGGTGAGTTGGATTTAGATCTTTTATGAGTGCAAATGGACTCAAGACTGATAACTTGTTTGACCCCTCCCTCGGGTTCAGCCTGGCCATCTCTTACATGGCCAATTTTGCCCCTTTTTCCACAGTTGTTAAGCGTATCAGTGGAGCTGTTAAATAAATCATGTGGTTGTTAAGCAAATCCGGTTTCCTTTGCTTGTCGGAAGCCATCAGGGAAGGTTACAAATAGTGGCTGCTCAACCCCAGGACAAGGCAACTTTCAGAAGTATATGCCAGTTGTCAAGCGCCCAAATTTTGATCACATGATCGCTGACTATTGGGGGCGAATCGCTGGCCCCCACGGAGAGGGCTCGCAACTTGGGTGTCCTCCTGGATTCACGGCTGTCTTTAGAAGAGCACTTGACGGCTGTGACCGGGAGGATTTTTCATCAGGTTCGCCTGATTCACCAGTTGCGTCCCTTTCTAGATCGGGACTCTACACACAGTCACTCATGCCCTCGTCACTTCCCGCCTGGACTACTGTAACGCTCTCTACATGGGGCTCCCCTTGAGGAGCACCCGGAGGCTCCAACTGGCGCGGAGTGCGGCCGTGCAGGTGGTTATGGGAGCAACATGGCACTCCCGTGTGACACCTCTCCTGCGCGAGCTGCACTGGCTCCCAGTGGTCTTCCGGGTGCGCTTCAAGGTTTTGGTCACCACCTTTAGAGTGCTCCATGGCTTAGGACCTGGTTATTTACAGGACCGCCTACTACCACAAACAGCCTCCCACCGGCCGGTACGCTCTCATAGAGAGGGGCTCCTCCAGGTGCCATCAGCCAAACAATGTCGACTGGGGGCCCCCAAGGGGAGGGCCTTCTCTGTGGGGGCACCCACTATCTGGAACGAGCTCCCCACAGAGATATGGAGGATCCCGGATCTGCGCACTTTCCGCCGTGCTCTTAAGACCCTCCTATTCCAGCAAGCCAGTCTGGCCTAATTTTCTCCCCTGTTTTAAAATTCTTTTAAATCGAAATTTTAATCTGTTTTAAATTATTGGGATTTTTAATTGTCTCGGGCTAAATTATTTAATCTGGTTTTAATTATGTTTCTAACTTTTGTATCTATGTATTTTATTTTGTGCCTGTTCACCACCCTGAGTCCTTTATTATTTATTATCCTTTATTAAAATTTAAAAAAAACAAACAAAAAACAAACAAACAATGGTCATAAGTGTGAAAACTGGTCATGTCACTTTTTTCAGAGGCGTTCTAACTTCGAACAGCCACTGAACAAATGGTTGGAAGCTAAGGACTTCGTGTATGCCTATTTTGTGCATTAAACATAAAGGGGATGAGGGAAGACCCCACCCCCCACCTCTCCTAGGATAATGAAATAATTTAGGAAATATTAAAAAGGAAGAATATTTCCCTGGGTGATAAAAGAAGAAACATGTTTTAAAGATAGAAAGCAGCTCCCTGCCCCCAGCAGATATTTGGTGCCCATTAAGAAAGACTGGGCCAGCCTATCTACAAAACAAAAGACCTCCAGCTCCAGGGTGATGGGATTAAGACATGACTCTCCAGGACATAATAGGATTAACCTATCTAGCAGCAGAGCACAATCACCTGGGGACATTGCATCACCCAGCAAACTTCAACCAAACCTGGGACTCAGACAACCTACGAAGTTAGCTATGACTCCTACAGCAGCCAATAGAATACATGTTCTTGCACAGGAACAGGAAACTCATGTTCAAAGCCCCCAAAAAAGGTATAAAAACCCCTCACTCTCAACTCCATGTGGTCAGCTGCCCAGGACCACCCATGTGCTTCTGCTTCACCATTAAACCATCTTTCCAATCAGCCTCCATGTTTCCAGTGTCTTTCTCATGGCGTGGAACTGAACCAGGTGGATCGTTCTTCCAACAGGGATAATAATACAGCATGCGGCAAGAGAGAAATAATTCCCATAATTATACCTGCTTCTTCGCTAACACTAAAAGCCGCACTTCCGAGCGATACAGTAGAAGCATCGTTGGGACCGTCGATCGTAACTTTAGCGGACGTGATGCTCCCAAGCCGAGCGTTCTCGGATACATCGGTCAGAGCAATTTCAAATTCTTCCTCCTCTTCGTACTCGCTGTCATCAACCAGCTTCACGTCGCAAGTTGTCATTGTGACACCGGGCCCCAAGATGACTCGGTTCTCGTTGGACATTCCCCGGGATTTAAAGTCTGAACCGGACTCCAGGGCATACATGCTGCTGCCTTGGGCACTTTGAGAGACGGTGTAGCAAATGGCAGAAACGATGCTGCTAGAATCTCCTACAATATATTGCAGAGAAAAAGATTATTTTCCAGAATTCAAAACGATCGTCATCAACAAACATACCGTATTTTTTGGAGTATAAAACACACTTTTTCCACCCCTAAAAGAGGGTGAAAATTTGGGTGTGTCTTATATACCAAATGTAGCCCTGCCCACCCGCCAGCCCCTACCTTTTGGCCTCTGCCTTCCAGCAATTTGCCTCCTTGCAGCAAACAGCAAGCAACCTGTTTCAGTTTCAGCTTCAGCACAGCCTGATTATTTATTTATTTATTTGTTCAACTTGTATGCCGCCTTTCTCTGAAGACTCAAGGCGGCTTGAGATTAGCACAAACAGCTGATTGTCGGTTGGATCGGCCTCCTGACCATCAGCTGTTTCAGGCTGCAGGGATTGCCATTGCCTATTGCCGCCTATGCATGTCCCATTTTCAGCCTCCGCTGTTTGCTGCAAGAAGGCAAATTGCTGGGAGGCAGAGGCAGATTTTTTTTTCTTGTTTTCCTCCCCCAAAAAAGTAGGTGTGTCTTATAGTCCGGAGCGTCTTATACTCTGAAAAATACGGTACTTCTTGCAGCGATTCTTTTGCTAAAATGCAATGTTTTTATTTTGAAAGGGATAGTTATTTTATCCGGATCACGGGTATGTTGACAGGAAGCAGATAATTTGGCCTAAAATCAGTTTTTAATGAATTTTCTTTCTACTTTTTATTTGTGAATTGCTATTTAGCTGGGTTTGATATAATACAGGTAGTCCTCAACTTACAACAGTTCCTTTAGTGACTATTCAAAGTTACAATGGCACTGCAAAAAGTGACTTTTGATTGTTGCAGCAGCCTCATAGTCATATGACCAAAATTCAGACGTTTGGCAACTGACTCATATTTATGTGTAAGTCTTCTTTCCATTGGGTGATTATGGAATGTCCATGGGCTACTTTCGATAAAGATGCCACCCGTTGGTGCATTCAGTAAGATAAGCAGTTGAGTTACAACAGCACTGAAAAAAAGTGACCAATGACCGTTTTTCGTACAGCATCCCCCACGGTTACGTGATTAAAGTTTGGATGCTCGGCAACCGATTTATATTTATGACAGTTGCAGTGCCCCCTTAAGGTGAGTCAGCAGTATAAAGTGGCTACATAGAAAGTGAGTAGAATCTTGTGCTATCTTAATGGAAAAACAGTGTTAGGAAATAATTGCTTGATCCTGTATTAGGTGCATTTATTTACTTCTGTTAAGGACAGCGAATGCTGGGTGCTTTCCTATGTAAGATCAAGAAAGGTAGGAAAGGATTCAGGAACCAAAAGAACTACCATATTTTTCGGACTATAAGACGCATCTAAATTTAGAAGAGGAAAACAACAAAAAAAAGGTTTTGGCCTACCTTTTTGGGGGCCTTTTCCAGACTTTTTTCGGCCTGCTTCCAGGGCTTTTTTTTTGGCCCATTTTTGAGGCTTTTTTTTGGCTTGTTTTGGGGGCTTTTTTTGGCCCATTTTTGAGGCTTTTTTGGCCTGTTTTGAAGGCTTTTTTCGGCCAGTTTTCGAGGCTTTTGGGGTGTTTTTGAGGCTTTTTGCAGCCCATTTTGGGGGCTTTTTTGGCCTGTTTTGGAGGCTTTTTTCGGCCAGTTTTCGAGGCTTTTGGGGGTGTTTTTGAGGCTTTTTGCGGCCCATTTTTGCGGCTTTTTTGGCCTGTTTTGGAGGCTTTTTTCGGCCAGTTTTTCGAGGCTTTTGGGGGTGTTTTTGAGGCTTTTTGCGGCCCATTTTTGGGGATTTTTGCGGCCCATTTTTGGGGCTTTTTGGAGCCCATTTTCGAGGCTTTTTTGGCCCATTTTCGAGGCTTTTTTCAGAAAAAATGAACTGAAAAAAGCCTTAAAAATGGGCCGAAAAATGCCCCGAGAACAAGCCGAAAAAAGCCTCCAAAACGGGCCCTAGCAATATTTGGTCTATAACACGCACAGACCTTTTCGCCCCCTTTTGGGAGACATAAAAGTGCGTCTTATAGTCCGAAAAATACGGTAAGCATGTACTGGTAGTCCTTGACTTACAACAGTTTTGTTTAGTGACCGTTCAAAATTACAACAGTACTGGAAAAAGCGACCTCACCATTTTTTACACTTACGACCACTTGCAGCATCCCCATGGTCATGTGATCAAAATTCAGACACTTGGCAAATGATTCATGTTTATGACCCTGGCAGTGTCCCGGGGGTCATGTGATCACCTTTTGCGACGTTCTGATAAGCAAAGTTCTGATAAGAGCCTTGGTGGCACAGCAGACTAAAGTCCTGTTAAGTAGCAGCAGCTGCCTGCAATTACTGCAAGTTCAAATCTCACCAGGCTCAAGGTTGACTCAGCCTTCCATCCTTTTGAGGTAGGTAAAATGAAGCCCTACTAAGCAGGGATATACAAAAGTATGAAGGCTATTGCTTAACGCATTGTAAGCCGCCCTGAGTCTCCGGAGAAGGGCGGCATATAAATAGAACCAATCAATCAATCAATCAATCAATCAATCAATCAATCAATAAATAAAGTCAATGGGGAAGCCAGATTCACTTAACAACCATGTTACTAACTTAACAACTGCTGCGATTCATTTAACAACCACGGCAAGCAAAGTCATAAAATGGGGCTAAAACTCACTTAACCGTTGCCTCGCTTAACAGTGGAAATTTTGGGCTCAACTGGGGTCGTAAGTCGAGGACTACCTGTAGCCTGAATTAAACGCGATTGCATTCTATGGGTGGAGTTAAAAGTTAACTTGTTCCTGTATGTCAACCAACCTTTCCTTTCGATGGGGACAGAGAGGATGCCGGCACTCTCACTGGTATGGTAGACCTTCTTGTCAAACTGCAGGGTGGGCTCATCTTCTACATCATTAATGAAGACTTGGGTCGCAGTGATGTTGCCCAGCAAGGCATACGCTGGCATACTCAACTCAACGGTGAAGCTCTCTACGCCCTCAAAGATGCCGTCATCGTGGATAACAATGGTGCAAGTTTTGAGGTCTTCCCATTCATCGAACTGCACCTACATGGGTTGACAAGTAACAGCAGGTGGAAACAGTCAACGAATACTCCGTCTTTACTAGGACTGGCAGATTTGATCTGGATTCACCACTATTCATGATGAGCTGCAGGTTAGAGTCTGTGGAGATTCTCAGTCATCCAAGGTCATGGTTGTCCCAAAGGTGCTTTTTCAAGAGGCCACTGGACTTTCTGGTTTTTTCTTTGAAGACGTTTCTCTTCTCATCCAAGAAGCTTCTTCAGCTTTGACTGGATGGCGGGGAATGGAAGGGTTTCAACAGTTTCAACAGTTCCAAGAAGGCTCCACACCCATTTGCACCGCTCAGGTGATCCTGAGGACACAGATAAACCTCCAGGTGGCCTCAACGACTCGCTAAAGAGATGCAAATGACCAGCTGCCTGCAAGGAGTATAAATCCATTCCATTTCCCACCATCCAGTCAGAGCTGAAGAACCGTGACCTGGATGACTGAGACTTCAACTCCCAGAATTCCATGGCTGGCTGAAGAGTCTTAAAAGTTGCCAAGTTTGGAGACCCCTGCCCTAAACAGTCAGAATCTTCATCAATGATCTTTAGTGATGGTTGTTGCCTGCACATCACTTCCTGACCATGCTAGGAGGTAGTTTGGCTCATTCTTCCTTAAAGTGAAACAGTCTTTCAAATCCTTTGGTCCTTTGGGGTTCGTAGGGGTTTGGGAGAACCTCTAGCTAAGATTCTGTGCAGTTCGGAGAACCCCCAAATCCCACTCCTGGCTGGCCCTGCCCAAGGGTGGGTTCTACTTATCTTTACTACTGGTTCGCAGCGGGGCCGCGTGCGTGTGCTTGCTTCGCTTGAGCGCGCTCTCTCTCTTCTGCGCATGCGGGGTTGGTGGGCGGGTCCTCCCACTGGTTTTACTACCGGTTCTATAGAACCGGTGCTAACCGGGGGCAACCCACCACTGGCCCTGCCCCCCCCCCCCCCGGCCCCACCCCTCCCAGGAGTCCCCACGCAGCCCGTTTTGGATGCAGGTAAATGCAGGGTGCGTGTGGAAGCTTGGGGAGGGCAAAAACAGGCCTATTGGAAGTTCAGGAAGGCCGGAAATGGGACCGTTTCCAGCCTCCAGAAGGCCTCCGGAGTCTGGGGAGACCATTTTTACCCTCCTGGAGGCTCAAGAAAAGCCTCTGGAGCCTGGGGAGGGCAAAAATGCACACACACCCCGCTGTGGTGTAGGAGACCGACTAGGCCACGCCCACCCAGCAACCAGGCAGAGAATTTTTGAAGCCCACCCCTGGCTATATAGTAAAATGAATTTCCTGCACTCACCTGGCTAGCGTATTCAAGGTAATCCTGTTCCCCTGGTTGAGAACTTGAACTAGAGGTGGCTGTTCCTTGTTCTGTACGGCACAGGACAATAGCGTATTGTTTGAGGTTTCCTGCCCTCCTCACAGCCACACTGACGGAACCGGCCTTTTCACTGATGTTGTAGCTGGAAAGAAAGACAGACAGAATGGGTTTCCTTCAGATCACAGAGTGGGAGCAACCCAGAGTTTGTGAATCAGGGAAGAATGCATTGAAATGAGTCCTCCTCAGTTCAGTATTTATGTTAGACTTACAGTAGTGGCCAAAATTGTGGAAACCTTTTGGGGAAAGTGTATTTTTGAGGTTTGATGGCTAATAAAACCACTTTTTTTTTTTTTGGAATTTCAAGATAATCCTATTCCACTGCTGGAATGGCCTGGGAATAGCCCAGACCTTAATCCAATTGAAAATCTATGGAACCGACTGAAGAAACTTCTTAGTCAGAAGCGACCCAGCAATGAAACCCAGTTAATAGAAGCCATCCTTCAATCTTGGTTTCACATGATAACAGCTGCAGAACTAAAAGACTTGGTTCACTCCATGGGAAGACATTGTAAGGCCATAATTCATGCTAAAGGTTACACAACTATTAGCTGGCATGGTGATAATTTTTGTATATTTCGTTTTTTTCTATGATGATAATTTTTGTACATCTCGTTTTTTCTACGTGTTTCACTTTTCTTCTTTATACTGTAACTGCTATTCTAATAGCAAATCCTTCATAAATATTATTGCATTACATTCTTCATTAAATTATCTTTTCATTGATATATAATGTTATGGCATTACTCCAAAAAAAAGTGGTGTTATCAGCTAGTTTTAGAAAATACACTTTTCCCAAAAGGTTTCCACAATTTTGGCCACTACTGTATATTAGGAGGTTTATATCATGTGTTCTTTCAGTCTATCGTTCCCAGTAGCAAATTAAAAAGTTAACTTGCAATTTATAACGACTTAATTAACTTCAATGTGCTTACTTTCTCTTCTTTTATTGAAAATGTGAAATCTCCCTTCATTGGGGACAATTCAGTCTAATCAAATTGGTTTAATTCAACTCCAGAAGAAAAAAAAAGGAAAGTAAGAAACAAGAGCAACCAATACAACTTGGCAAAAGCCCAGATATACCAAGCAGGTTAAATAAAGCCTCTTGGAGCAGATTATCAACAAATCACACATAAATATACCAGCTGAAGTAAAAACGAATGGAAAAATGCTTTGTTCAACATATGAATGTCCAACCCACTTCTTCATCCATGGTCCACTTGCATTTCTCTTGTCCTGCATAAGATGTTTGCAGTTCCTTGTCACTTTCTTGTCTAATTTAATGAAAAGAAGGACTAGGGGTGACATTATAGTAATATTCCAATATCTAAGGATCTGCCACAAAGAAGAGGGGGTCAACCTATTCTCCTGAAGGTAGGACAAGAAGCAATGGATGGAAAGTAATCAAGGAGAGAAGCAACCTCGAACTAAGGAGAAATTTCCTGACAGAAAAGAGAACAATTAATCAGTGGAACGGCTTGCCTTCAGAAGTTATGGGTGCTCCAACAGTGGAAATTTTTAAGAAGAGATTGGACAGCCATTTATCTGAAATGGTGTAGGGTCTCCTGCTTGAGAAGGGGGTTGGGCTATAAGACCTCCAAGGTCCCTTCCAACTATGTTATTCTGTTATTTCCAGCATCTTTGCCTTCTAGCAACAGCATAAAACATATTCTGTCACATGATATTCCAGAATTTTTTATTTCACTTCAAGGTGATTTTTTTTCATATGTGTTTATTTAACGCTCCCACAGAGAGGGGCTCCTCGGGGTGCCATCGGTCAAACAATGTCAACTGGCGGCCCCCAGAGGAAGAGCTTTCTCTGTGGGAGCACCTGCCCTGTGGAATGAGCTCCCCCGGAGATACGGATGATTCCGGATTTACGTACTTTCTGCCGGGCCCTCAAGACTTTTTTATTTCAACAAGCCGGGCTGGCCTAACTTTTCCAATTGGTTAATTTTAATCTGAATTTTAATGGGGTATTTAAATTGTTGGGCCAAATTGTTTAATATTTTTTAAATTGCTTTTAAATTTTTGTATTTTATGTTTTTTACCTTTGGCTGTTCACCGCCCTGAATCCTTCGGGAGAAGGGCGGTATATAAACTTAAATTAAAAAAATATATATTAGTTTTTCTGAAATAAGGTACATTAAAGCCACCATCCGTTAAGAAAGAAGGAACTTGCTAGCTGCTGACAGTAAACATGCTATGCAGTGGTGGGATTCAAATAATTTAACAACCGGTTCGGCCAGGGTCAGGTTGGCTGTTGTGGGAGGTGTGGCCCATCCCCATCCTCCATGTGGGGACAAACATGTGGGACGAACCTCTCGTGATGGCCAATCTGACCCTGGGTGAACCAGTTGTTAAATTACCCTTCCCCCCGCCTGCTATCAAAGTGGATCCTGGGTGCTGAGCTGCAATGAAGAAATGAGCAATGGAGCAGACAGCGTGAGGGAAGGAGGAGGAGCAGGGAGAAGAAAGAGAGAAACGGCCTCCTCCTTCCCTCGCGCCGGCCGCTCCGTTGCCCATTTCTCCATTGCACCGCAGCGCAGCGCCCAGGATACACTTTGATAGCGGGGTAGGGGCAGAGGTGAAATCTAAAATTTGTTACTACCAGTTCTGTGGGCATGGCTTGGTGGTGATGGGGGTAATGTGACTGGGTGGGCGTGGCCAACATTTTTTTTTTAACTTTTAAAAGCATTTTTTCTACAACTTTAAGAGGTTGCAGAAAAAAATGCTTTTAGATGCCTCTGACAATCAGGCAACTCAACTGGGATTGCCAGAGGCTTTTAAAGGCATTTTTTTTTTTCTACAACCTCTTCGGCCGAAAAGGTTGCAGAAAAAAATGCTTTTAGAAGCCTCTGACGATTTCAGCTGAGCCGCGCGATCATCAGAGGGTTTTTTTTTTTTACTTTTAAAAGCATTTATTCGGCTGAAGAGGTTGTAGAAAAAAATGCTTTTAAAAGTTAAAGAAAACCAGCCTCTGATGATTGCACGGCTCAGCTGGGCATGGGAGGGGGCGCAGGAATTTTTGCTACCGGTTCTCCGAACCACCCGCCACCATCACTACCGGATCAGGCGATCCGGTCTGAACCAGGAGCATTTCACCCCTGTGTGTGTGTGTGTGTGGGGGGGGTAATTTAACAACCGGTTCAGTTGAACCGGTGTGAACCAGCTGAATCCCACCACTGTTGCTATGGCATGGTAACAGTAACAATTCCGTCAAATGGCTGAATAATTACATTCCTGCATTGTATTAAGAAAAAGCTGGTAAGTGGGGTACCTCGTATGTTGAAAGCTGATAACGGACCACTGAATATGGAAGATATTATCAGCGACAATGCTGGGTTTGCTGTCCTTCACCAGAAACTGAAAACTATCCTCTGTCCTTTGAATATTCTCTTCATGTAGCACATACTGGATCAATCCCAAATTCACGTCCTCTGTTAGATAAAGACTTCAACAAATTAATCCAGGAATTAAAGACCTTTTTTTATTTTTTTTACATTCCTTTGCAAACCACGATAATAGCCTCCGTGCTAATCTAATTTCTGGATGCGGAACAATCCCTGTTGCTCAAAAACGATTTCGCCGTATCTCAGCCTATCAATGCAACATTTTATAAAATGATCCATGCTGGGAAACACTATTCATTTCAGCTAGAACCCAATGGAGCCTCAACTGAAGATGACCAAATAAATAAGGTTCTTGGGGGCTGCAGCATTCAATGAAATTGCTTATGACTTAAGCAATCAACCCATAAAAACAAACTTTATTTTGTGCATCATTAGGAAAGGGAATATCAAACTGACCATATTGTAATTATTTTCTAAGGATCTATCTGGCTACCCTCAAAATACTGGTCATTCAAAAAAGATACTTTAGAACTTTAGAAGAAGAAAGAAAAAAAAAACAGGTAGAGAGCATCAGACTGGAATGCAATCAGCTAGAAAAGCAAGTACTGGGATTAGAGAAGAATTGTGTAAACTAAACCTTGATATGGAAAGGAAATGTTTCTTATTTTCTCTGAATCTGGGATTCAGAGCCTTGGTAGTACAGCCTTGGTAGTACAGGGGTTTAAGGCACCCTGTTATTAAGCTGGTTATTAAGACCAGCTGCCTGCAATTACTGCAGGGTTCGAATCTCGCCAAGGCTCAAGGTTGACTCAGCCTTCCATCCTTTCTAAGGTAGGTGAAATGAGGACCCAGTTTGTGGGGGCAATAAGCTGACTTTGTATAAATATACAAAAGGATGAAGGCTATTGCTGAGCACATTGTAAGCCGCCCTGAGTCTTCGGAGAAGGGCGGCATATAAATCAAAATTAAAAAAAAAAAAATTATAGATTTATAGTTAATCTCATGGGATCGAATGGTTAGCATTAAGCCATAGTCTCTGCATGCCAGGTCAATCCAAAAATCCGGGCAGACGGGGTGGGGGTGAGTGACAGGTGGGTGGGGGAAGGGCCAGCCAGAGGTAGTATTTGCCGGTTCGGCGAACCAGTTAAAATTTCCGTTACCGTTTCGCCCAAACCGGTCCAAACCAGTTTAATACCACCTCTGTACAAGATCCCCTCCAACTGTGGCTTGGTCCAACCATTATGGTTAAATAAACCATGGCTCACTGATGGAGTGGGAATACAATCAGTGATAGCAACCAACTTGAGCACAAAACACAAAGATGGCTCTTCGGATGTCTTCCCTGATCGTTTATGTCCTTGAAGAGGTTTCGATTCTCATCCAAGAAGCTTCTTCAGTTCGGAATCTTCTCGGAAGAAGCTTCTTGGCGGAGAAGCGAAGCACTTTCAAAGGAAAAACCAAGAAAGTCCAGTTGCCTTTTGGGAAAAAAAGCACCTTTGGGACAACCACGACCCGGATGAATGAGAATCTCCATAGACGTTTTCCCTGATTGTCAGATTCAGAGTTCTGCTTTGCTATTTTTCCCCAGGTGGGTTTGTTGCCAACAAAATTGGTGGGTCATGTTCAATCTTCTCTGTATTATCCAGGTTCATTCAGCATCTCCTTCCATTCCTCCAAGAGAAAAGGACTACACTCCGAGGTAGGCTGCTGCCGGTTCGGACTGGTTCAGGTGAACCGGTAGTTCCGACCACCGTCTGGGCCCGCCCATCCGCCCCTGTTGTGACCTAGGCTTACTGAGTCATTATAAGACACAATTAGTCCCAAATAAACCTATTTTATTGTAACAGCTGAGAATTGCGTTCATTTCCAGCTGAGTCCCAATTAGTTGCAAAACAAATCCTTCGGAAGAAGTCCTTTGGGATAATCACCAACCTTTATCCTCTTCGACACCCTGCCAAAGGCCTTACTTGGCAAAGCCCCACGAAGTTCAGAAACAAACAAGAGATGCCGACTGGAAACAGAGTTAGCAACGTGGCTTTCCTGCAAAAAGGCCCAAGTGCCTTTGTTTCTCTTTTAAGCCTTATGGGAGGGCCCAATCATCTCCTGGCCTTACTCCCGAGTCGTCCCTTTTGCTTTAGCTGCTCTTGCCTTCTGGCAGCTCTGCGCATGCGTGCACTAGGAACAGGTTTCTCCTGTTACTCTGCCTCTCTGCTGTCTGATTCTGGAGGCTCTGGAGTCCGCACATCACTCCCAGATGGCCCTGGCCCCATCTCTGCCTCCAACACAGAGCCCTCATCTGGGCCTTCCCCAAAATTCCAGGACTGGCCCATTGTCCTCCCCAGCCTCCTCACTGTCCGACTCTGCTGCCAGCTCTGCAGGCTGCTGGCGGACCACACCAGCCCCAGCGCTATCCTGTCCTATATATCTCACTCTCTGGTTTACTTGCTCCGCCCACGCAGCCCAGCTGATTTCCTCGCCTTGCCCGCTCTACTCACCACGGCTGCCTGAGAAGGTATGCTGGAAGCCGCACACAGGAAATTGCCGTGTGTTTGTAGCCACACGCAAGCACTTTTTTGGTTCTGCACTAGGCGAACCGGTTGTTAAATTATGTGAAGGCCACCTCTGACTACACTCAGTAAGAGTAAGAAAATACGACACCAAAGAGCAAATGCCAACATGGCTTATACCTTGCGTAAAGGTAGTCACCATCGTTCCTGGCTGCAATTTCTTCTCCACGTAACCATATTTGGTGCCCGTTGTTATTTCATAGATCAGGAGGTTGTCTTCTGTATCAGGGTCCATAGTCAACAGCTCCTTCTTAGTGATGAGGTTTTTTGGCTAGATGGAAGACCAGAAACAGTGAAGAAGAGTTTGTAAACCCTAAGATTTAAAAACGAAATCCTACTAACATATTTCTTCCCCATCTGGTACCTCATACATGTTTTGGATTACAAGTACCATAATCCCTAGTCCAGTGATGGCTAACCTTTTTGCCGTCGTGTGCCAAAAGCGGGGGGGGGAGTGCTGGGAAGGGTCGAGCATGAGTGTGCCCACACCCATAATGCAATGCTCCCCGCACGCCATGCCCCCCACACATGCGTGCATGACCCCCTCCCACACACTCCCCCTGCGCATGTGCGCGTGACACCCACGCAGCCCATTTTGGGCCTGGCAGGCCTCCCTGAAGCTTCCTGGGACCAAAAATGGGCTGGGGGGGGCGCATGCACACAAAGCCCCCTCCCGCCCTCGTGCATGCGTATGAGATCCCGCTCATGCGCCCATGTCTCCCACATGCGTCCTGCCCCGGAGCCAGAGATGTGAAAATCAGCTGGCCGGCAGGAGGCACGCACACATGCACGGTGGAGCTGAGCTGGGCGATGGCTTGCGTGCCCGCAGAGAGGGCTCTGCGTACCACCTGTGGCATGCGTGACATAGGTTCGCCATCACGGCCCTAGCCCATGTAAACTCTGGAAACTCAAACACAAGGGGCTTGCTCTCTACAGGTAGTTCTCATTTTACAACAGTTTGTTTAGTGATCGTTTGAAGTTACAATGGCACTGAAAAAACTGACTTCACACTTGTTCACACTTATGACCATTGCAGCATCCCCATGGTCGTGTGATCAAAATTCAAATGCTTGGCAACTGGTTCATAGTTATAACGGTTGCCGTGTCCCGGGGTCATGTGATCCCCTTTTGCAACCTTCTGACAAGCGAAGTCACTGGGGAACCAGATTCACTTAACAACTGTGTTACTAACTTAAGAACTGTTAATGATTCACTTAACAACACAAGGAATTTGTCTGCGGTGCATAATGTCTCAGTGTACGCACAAGCAGTAAGTGATCAATCACGATCATAGTCATCGTAAAAATACATTCAGCATCAATCCTAAAATACAACATTGAGTGATAGCCATAGGATGCTAAATAAGCAATCAACATAAATCATACTGGAATACTAAGTACACAATATAAATCGTAAGATACAAGCAACAAAGTTATAGTCATAAGAACATAAGGAGATAAGTAATAGGAAAGATGAGAATAATCATAGAATACAGCCTTACTAGATATTGTAGTTTTCACCTTTTAAACACTATATATCATCTTCTTTTAACGACACCATAATCCCTTGCGGGGTGGAGTCTGGGCAACTGAATGGAGCCAGCAGAGTGATTTAATGGCCGGATGCAATTCCTGTCACCAATGCGGAGTTTTGTTCAGCAGATATATTCTCAGTGTGCCCAGAGAGAGAAATATCTGCCTCTACCTGGGATCGAAATCACAACCTCCTGATTGTGAGGCAAGAGCTCCACCTCTAGGCCACAGCACCACTCTTTTAAACACTATATATCTGAATAGACTAGAGTAGAACAAAACAGAACAGAATAACAGAGTTGGAAGGGAGCTTGGAGGTCTTCTAGTCCAACCCCCTGCTTAGGAAGGAAGCACTATACCAGTGATGGCGAACCTTTTTGGCAACGAGTGCCGAAAAGGGAACGCTTCACACGCGCCGGGCCAGCAAGTCTTCCGGTTACTGCTGCACATGTGCATGCGCCGATCAGCTGGCTGGCGCGCATGCTCACGCCAGGAAACGGAAGACCAGCTCTTCCGGTTTCTGGCACTGCCATATGCAGAAAAGTCAGCTGAGTGTTGCATGCACATGCACGCCAGAAACCCGGAAGAGGAACGGGCAATGCTGCGCGTGCCAGGCGACATGGCTCTCTGTGCCACTTTGGCTACGCGTGCCATAGGTACGCCATCACGGCACTATACCATTTCAGACAAATGGTTGTCCAACCTCTTCTTAAAAATTTCCAGTGTTGCAGCATTTGCAACTTCTGGAGGCAAGTCGTTCCACTGTTTTCTCCAAGACATCAGGATTACGTCTTTCATGGTATCCTCACAACAACCTGGTGGGGTAGGTTGGCCTAAGAGAGAATAACTGGGTGAAGGCCACCCATGAGCTTCCCTGGCCTAGGCTGGGTTTGAACCTCAATCACCCTTGTTCTACAACAACCCCTTCATCCTTGAACCACCCTGGCTCTCTTCAACTTTTTCAGATCTTCTGGTGTTGTGCTATTGCCTATATCCGTGATGGTGAACCTATGGCATGTGTGCCACAGGTGGCACGCGTAGCCGTATCAGTGGGCACGTAAGCTCAGCTCCTGCGCGCATGTGCAGGCCGGCCAGCTGATTTTCAGGCCTTCTGGGCCCACCAGAAGTAGGGAAACAGGCCGTTTCCTGCCTTCGGAGGGCCTGGTGGGCGGGGGGAGGCACGTTTTTCTTTCTCACCTGGCTCCAGGGTCTCTCTAGGAATCTCTGGAGACTGGGGACAGCAAAAAACGTCACTTCCTGTCCAACCGGAAGTTGGGAAACGGGCTGTTTCTGGCCTCCGGAGGGCCTCTATGGGGGTGGGGAAGGCTGTTTTCGCCCTCCCCAGACTCATAGAGAGATCTGGAGCCAGGTGAGACAGAAAAAAGGCCTACTGGGCCATCGCATGCCAGGAGTGGGGGGGGAGGGGGGTCGCTTGCGCATGCGCGGGGTGCATAGAATTATAGGTGTGGGCACACGCACGCATGAACCCTCCCGCCCCCCACTCCTGGCACGCGATGGCAAAAAGGTTAGCCATCACTGGGCTATATTCTCCTAAATCTGGGTCCTTGATGCGAAACCTTTTGATAGATGAGCCAAGTCATGAGCTACAGTGGCGCAGTAGTTAGAGTGCGGTACTGCAGGCTACTTTTGCTACCTGCCGGCTGCCTGCAATTTGGCAGTTCGAATCTCACCGGCTCAAAGTTGACTCAGCCTTCCATCCTTCCGAGGTCTCTAAAATGAGGACCCAGATTGTTGGGGGCAATAGGCTGACTCTGTCAACCTGCTTAGAGAGGGCTAGTATAAAGCACCGTGAAGCGGTATAGAAGTCTTCAGTGCTATTGCTATTTGCTAGATACCGAAGCAGCGGTTCCCAAGGCAGACTTCAGACCTTCCCGAATGCAATCTGTGCAAAAGTCTTTAAAAGTCACTTGCATCCTCATTTGTCACTCTTCCCGCTGTTGAAATGTGTGTTGTGTCTGAGCACCCTACTCAGCTGGCAATTAAAATCTGTTTCCATTTCTCGGCCTCTTCACTGGGTGATGGAAGCACCACTTGATTAATCACAGCAATTAATCCATCAGAGCTCCCCACTTAAGGAATGCAAATGCTATTAGCCAGGAATAAGACATCACGGGCCCGCAGCCTATGGAACGAGAGCATCGGGTGAGGAAGAACAGCAGTGTTATTAGGAACTTTGGCCTTACAGCTTAAGATGGATTGCTTAGCTTCGCCACAACTGCTGATGTAACAAACAGCCAAGGTCTATTCCATTCATCACAGCAGCTGGCAGCAGTGAGAGGAGGGGCACTCTCACAAAACATATACCATTCAGTCTTTTGCTTGGAGAACTTCACTCAATCTTTTTTTTTTATGTGTGTGGTCAATTGTAGCCAGGAATATTTAGCTATGCTGTTGTCCCAGAGCAGTGATGACAAAACCTTCAACCTTTGCACGTCAAATATTCAGAAAATGCTTAAATTGACTTTGGAGGGGTCCCTGGTGCTCTCTGAGCTTGCTTCTTTTTGTTTTATTACCCAACCTAGGTAATATCTAGATGTTACCTACCGTATTTTTTGGAGTATAAGATGCACCTTAGTTTTTGGGGAGGAAAATAAGAAAAAAGCTGATTGGCGGGTGGATCGGCCTCCCGGAATACCCCCAATCAGCTGTTCCCAGAGGTGAATTTTAGCAACAGGTTCGTTGGTTGTGAGCTCTGTGCCTTGCTTTTTTTTTTTCTGCCTCTGAAACTCCTGAAACTCTGTTTCAGAAAAAACTTTTTTTCCTGCCTCTGAAAGCCTCCGAAACAGAGCTTCAGAAAAAAAAGCCTCTGAAGCTCTGTTTGGGGGCTTTTTTTCTGAAGGACTATCTGTACTCTGTTCAATCTCCTTTCTTTGGTATTGGTATATAGATTAACCTCTTCCGATCTGTTGATTAGTGTGTCGTTCTCCAGATTTGTTAGCATAGCTTGGTTAGAACCTTTACTGATTCTTCTTTTGTTGCTTGCCATATTATTTTAGATAAAAGCCTTTCAGAAGCTTTTTTTCTGAAGCTTCTTTCAGAGGCTTTTTTTAGCCTCTGAAATCTCCGTTTGCAAGGCTGGGCGGGGCTACATTCGGAGTATAAATTGCGGCCAGATTTTCACCCGCTTTTTGGGGGGGGGGAAAGGTGCGTCTTATACTCTGAAAAATACGATAGTTGGGTAATGAAACGTCTGCAAGAATACAAGCAAGCTCAGAGAGCACCAAAGACCCCTTAGGTCAACCCCGAGCTACAAATATTCTCCTTTATTGATAACTTGACTTTGCTGGCAAATACAGTCCAATCGTGTTTGACGCTGTGTATTGTATAAAGAAATGTCAAATAATTGCAAAAATGAAGTACAAATAAATTAAACTTATTTTCGGAGGCCCCGGAGGCTGCACAAGATCACTGCCCCCCCTTGCACTAATACTGGAGTGGTGTGAGAGCACAGGCTCTGCAGATTCTAAAATTGTGCGAGAGAGGTGTGTGCTTTTAAAAATAGTTGTTGTCAGGTATTAGGGTCGTATGTTGAGGGCTACGTGTATATCATTTATATACTCCCTAGTGTCATAGAGAACAGGGCGATACATAGATAATATAATAAATAAACTTTATTCTACTCTTGCTTGTTGATTCCATTTATAGTTCTCAGAACACCTCCCGAATGGGCTGAAAGCAAAAAAGTGCATGATTTTTTTTTCATTCATTTCACTGAAGGATGGAGTTGATATACCATATTTTTCGGACTATAAGACACACTTCCCTCCCCTCTCCCAAAAAAAACAGTGGGTGGAAATGTCTGTGCATCTTATAGACCAAATATGGCCCTTTTTTGGCCTTCTGAATCCCCCCCCACATGTCCCATTTTCGCCAAAATCTGTTTTTGCCGAAAATGGGACACGTGAAGGGTTTGGGAGGCCTGCAGAGTGTTCCTGGGGACCAGGGAAGGCAAAAACAGGGCGCGTGGGGGTTTGGGGAGGCCAAAAACAGGCCCATTTTTCACAAAAACAGGAAGCACAGAGAGTTTGGGAGGCCTGCAGAGTGCTCCTGGGGGCCGGGAAGGGCAAAAACCGGACGCACGGAGGCCAAAAACTTTTTTTTTCTTGTATTCCTCTTCGAAATCTAGGTGCGTCTTATACTCCGGTGTGTCTTAAAGTCTGAAAAATATGGTAAGTTATGTGTGAATCATGGCTTATGATAGAATGCATTGTGTAAATTTCACCGTCGTGGTTTAATGATAAAACCATAATTTAAACAATTCATGCTTTAGATGAGTAAGGGGTCTGCTAGAAACATCCACAGTTGCACAGAATCAAAAATGGTATTTCTTTCTGATTCTTCATCTTCCTATTTTTATTTTTTTTTTGCAAATTAAAAAGGACAGAGTTGCCTAATTTTGAAACAAATCAGACATAAAAGCTCACCTTGCCATTCATATATTCCAACCACTGAAGACCTAAATTAGTGACAACTCTTGGAGTCCCGTCATCCACAGGGAGAATTTCTATTCTAAACCATTGGGGTACAGCAGTCACAATCTGAAAAATATATATATATATATTCAGAACATTTGTTTCTGCAACGGTACGGAATCTACCATACTGGACAAATTGCCCTTCTGTTCTTTTGTGTCCCTATGTCAAGTCACTCAAAACAATATTTCAAAATATACAAATGGGTTTTCACTTCTCTTAAGCTATTTAATATGTCAGGCAGTTCCTTAAAGAAAATACGAATCCTATGTGCAATTTTATCAGGCCCCAAACCCAAGAGAAACATGCCGTGATTCTTTCAAACAGATTTCCTTTTTTAAAAAAATATTTTTAAATTGAGTATTTTACATTTTAAAACCAAACACACAAAAAAGAGACAAACAAAAAACAAAAACACACACACATCAGACGTTAAAATACAATACTAACAACAGATATATACAATTTTACAACTTTCCTACAATGTCAGTTTGGTCTAATGGTTAATGGCATAAGGTTAGAAGCCAGGAGATGGTGAGTTCTAATCCTGCTTTAGGCATGAAAGCTCACTTGGATGTCTTTGGGCCAGTTACTCTCTCTCAGTCCAACCCACCTCACAGGATTGTTGTGGGAAAAATAGGAGAAGGAGGAAGGAGTATTAGCTATGTTCGTCATCTTGAGTTCTTTATAAAAGTAATAAAGGCAAGAAAATAGGGTAGGGTAGGATATAGCAGAGCAGAACAGAAGAATGGATAGATGTGAGAAGAAAAGAGAATAATAGATATATGTAAAGCAGAGCAGAACAGAACAGGAGAATATTGCCAAACTAAAATTTTAAATTTCTGGGCATTTATATCTCGAAGGACCTCTCATGGACTATGAATGCTAACATGCTTGTGAAGAAGGCACAGAAGAGGCTGTACTTCCTGAGAATGCTCAGGAAGATAAATCTATCTCAGCATCTACTTCTGTCCTACTATTGCAGTACCATTGAAAGTGTCCTGACATACGGCATTCTTGCATGGTATGGGAGCAGCTCTATAACGGACAGAAAAGCTCTACAGAGAATCATTAAAACTGCCCAGAATATCATCTGGCTCCAGCTACCAGCCCTGGATGACATCTTCGAATCTCGCTGTTTGAGGAAGTTGCACAACATTCTCAGAGACTCTCCGCATCCTGCTTACAATCTTTTTGGACTGTTGCCTTCTGGCAGAACAATTAAAACGCGGACCACACGTTTTCTGAATAGTTTTTGTCCCAGAGCTATAGTTGCACTCAACAATGAACTAAAGGGCCACCATCAGTGAGCTGTTGGACAGCATTACTTGGTCTGTTGTGTGGATGTTTGGGTGGTTTAGGGGTGGAGAATTGTGGTGGGTGGGAGTGTGTTTGGGGATTGTTATGTGTGTTGGACCTGGTCTTTGGGTGTTAAATGAATTTCGTTGTATGGTTATACTATGTATACACATACAATGACAATAAAGTTATTATTATTATTAAAGCACTCTACCATCTACACAAGCATATTCTCAGAAAACTATTAGGGAAGGGGCTGTCTTCACTCTTTCTCTCACCCAAACTAATTGAACTGAGCTGCCTTTTATTCCTCTAGAATTCCACCTCCACTTTCTCTCCTGGGAACCCAGATTAGTAAATCCCATCACATATTTACAGCTATAAAAGACTGAGCCACAGTAATTTACTACAAGAGCTGGCTATGACCTCTCCTTGGTCTCTTTTCCACTGCTCTTCCATGTCAGGGAGCAAAAGCCTTAATTAACTTGTTAACTTTCTGCACCCAAGGGCTAGATAGAGAAAACTGAGGTTGGATTTCTTGGCCTACTATCCGAACGGCCATCACAAGCGGTGAGAAATTGTATCATGTATGTGAAAGTCAAATTCTGAGGTGGAGACCTTTGGCTATCCCACTGTTTCTAACTTTTGTATTTATGTATTTTATTTTGTGCCTGTTCACCGCCCTGAGTCCTTTGGGAGTAGGGTGGTATATAAATTTAATAAAACAAACAAACAAACAAACAAACTGACCTCTTTCCCCTCCTTTGCCACCACAAAAAAGGGATTGGTTCCATCGGACACCGTGAACGTGAAACGGTCTTCTAAAAAATTGCTCCCGTCGTGACTGTAACTGATTCGGTTCTGGAAGACGTCCTCCATGGAGAAGGCATGGGCCTGTTGGTAATGATGGCCATCATGGGTGCGCTCCAGCTGGCCATGGCGTGGGGACTGCACAATGCTAAAGGTAACAGACTTGGCCTGCATACAGAACAAAATGTGTGAGGAGAATAGCAATAGCACTTAGACTTATATACCGCATCATATTGCTTTTACAGCCCTAAGCGGTTTACAGAGTCAGCATATTGCCTCCAACCATCTGGGTCCTCATTTTACCCACCTCGGAAGGATGGAAGACTGAGTCAACCTTGAGCCGGTGAGATTTGAACTGCTGAACTGCAGCTAGCAGTCAACTGAAGTAGCCTGCAGTACTGCACTCTAACCACTGCGCCACCTCGGCTCCCATCGCATTATGATCAGTGGTGGGATTCAGCAAGTTAGGGCGAACCGGTAGTTAAATTGCTGGGTAGACCCTCCCCTCCACACCCCACCCCTTCCAGGAGTCTCCACGTGTCCCATTTTGGTGCCCAGGTAAGTGCAGGGAGGCCTACTAGGCCCAAAATGGGGCGGCACGTTTCCCCCCCCAGGTCCGTTTTTGCTCCCAGGGGGGTGCAGAAGGCCGAGTGCTGCCTGTCACATCCCCTGGCCACGCCCACCATGGCCACGCCTACCCAGCCGGTCATTAGGGCAGAGAACTGGTTGTTAAATTATTTGAATCCCACCACTGATTATGATGGTTAGTTCACAGATGGATAAAGATTCAGGAGATGGTCTAGTAAACTGACAGCTCTAAGGTTCTCCACAGTCTGTAAAGAGGCCCACCTGACCACTTCACTGGAAAGCAATTCTTCTAGAAACCTCTACACCAGGGGTGTCAAACTCGCAGCCCACGGGCCAGATACGTCATGTGATGACTCCATGACGACATGAGTTTAACACCCCTGTTCTACACTACGATGATTCAGGGCATCATTTCATTCTGTCTGAGAAATAATACAGTTGCTGAATTAATTCTGGGACTGTAACTGCATCCTTTCCAGCTCAATAAATCTTGTTAAAGAAGACTCCGCGAGAAACTTATTCTGCAAAACTGTATGTAATGGGATAGGCTAGCCTTTAGCGCAACGTAATATGTAAATGTGACCATCAAGGGACGGTTAAAACAAACTCGACTTACAACCATTCGTTTAGTGATCATTCAAAGTTACAAAGGCATTCAAAACGGTGACTTATGATCAATTTTTACACTTATGACTGTTGCAGCATCCCCGTGGTCACGTGATCAAAATTTGGATGCTTGGCAGTTGGCATATATTTAGGACGGTTGCAGTGTCCTAGGGTTGTGTAATCACTTTTTGTGATTGTACAACAAGCAAAGTCTATGGGGAAGCCAGATTCACTTAACAACCATGTTACTAACTTAACAATTGCAGCGATTCATTAAACAACGGTGGCAAGAAAGGAGGTCAAATGGGGCAAAACTCACTTAACTGTCTCGCTTAGCAACAGGTGGTCATAAGTTGAAGACTACCTATAATTCCTGCCAAAGAATCAGAACAAAGAGATCTAATCCTTAAATCCGTCTCAAGAAACCATATACAGTAGTGGCCAAAATTGTGGAAACCTTTTGGGAAAGGTGTATTTTTGAGGTTTGATGGCTAATAGCACCACTATTTTTTTTTTATTTTTTTTTTTTGAGTTTCAAGATAATCCTATTCCACTGCTGGAATGGCCTGGGAATAGCCCAGACCTGAATCCAATTGAAAATTTATGGAGTCGACTAAAGAAACTTGTTAGTCAGAAGCGACCCAGAAATAAAACCCAGTTAATAGAAGCAATCCTTCAATCTTGGTTTCACATTATAACAGCTGCAGAACTGAAAGACTTGGTTCACTCCATGGGAAGACGTTGTAAGGCCCTAATTCATGCTAAAGGTTACCCAACGAAGTATTAACTGACATGGTGATGATTTTTGTATATCTCGTTTTTTCTACGTGTTTCACTTTTTACACAATGTTGTAACCGCTATTCTAATAGCAAATCCTTCGTAAAAGTTATTGCATTACATTTTTGATTAAATTATCTTTCCGTTGGTATATAATTTTATGGTACTACTCAAAAAAAAAAGTGGCGTTATTAGCTAGTTTTAGAAAATACACTCTTCCCAAAAGGTTTCCACAATTTTGGCCACTGCTGTAATCTTAACATGTCACGGAATCACTGCTGTCACTGCTTCTCTGCAGACAAAACCTAGATCTCATCGCATCCAGTTCTCCGTAGCCTCCAGTAAGTCTTTCGTTTTTCATGCACGAGGAATTTATGAAACTCAGCACTTGAGGAAGGGCAGTTGCTGCCTCAGATGTCTCCGAATAAGAATTTGATAATTTCATGGAAGGTCTATTAGTTCTGCCAACTAAACAGAACCTCTTTGCCCAGAGGTAGCATATCTCAGAATATTAGATCAGCAGAGAGAAAGTGTTCATTTATTCATCAATGTATCTTGTTTATCCTGATTTTCTTTTCTTTTCTTTTTTTTTGAATTTATTTATTTTTTTAATAGTTTTTATTAATAATAAAAAGAAAAAACAAAACCAACATAAATACATTGAAACAACATACAAAACGAACACACATCAATTCAGTCCAATGACTGACTCTTAGAAGATATTACAACGGTGGGTTATTTTTCATATTTCTATTTGTATCAATATCTACAGTTACCTATTTACTTAGTTATGTATGTACATATATAGTTGACTCCTTATTTACTTCTATGCATTTCCATTGAATAGTCGAAAGATCATCTTTATATTCCTATTTTTGCCTCCAGCCAGCTGTACCATCTTTGCCATACTAAATAGTAATCAGTATCATCTTTCTCTTGTATTTCTTTTGTGAGCTTATCCAATTCTGCGCATTCTGTAATTTTAGCTATTATTTTGTCTTCTGTGGGTAACTGTTCAGATTTCCAATGTTGGGCAAAGAGTATACGTGCTGCTGTGAGGATATGGATAATCAAATATTTTATTTCTTTGGTATATTGTGCTGTGATTATTCCCTGATTTTCAAGACGGTTTATGACGATAACAAAATTGCAGAAAAACAATAGAGCCACAGCGTAGTGATGAGCATTGGGATGGCCTGGGTTGTGGTCCACCCTCAGCCATGGAAGGACCACGGGTGTTCTGTCCCAGCTACGGACCCCAAAGAACACAGCATACACAAAGTTTGTACAAAACTTAATTTACTAAAATAATTCAGTCTTTTTCAAAACAAAGGCTGTTAATAAACTTTCTTAACAGCCTACAAGAAACCAAAGATAAAGTAATCACAATCTTACTAAGGTTGGCAGGAAGCCCAGAAGCAATTTGCAGAGAATCCAGACGCGAAGTAGAGTGAACTAAGGTTGTTCCCTACAAATTGCTTCAGTCAGCATTCCTTCTTAAATAGGCTAAGGGAGTGGCCAATTAGGCCCAAGCCTTACTCTCGAGGAGACCTCCTCCTGAGGAGCCACTCCTGCCTTTTGGCTGCTCTGCGCGCCCATGCATCAAGAAGAGGCTCCTCCTCTTCGTCCTCTTCACTTAAAGGAGCTTTTGGAGGTTCTGAAGGCCCTGGCTGAATCCCTGCCTCTGGCACCACATCTTCTCCAGCCTCCTCATTGTCTGACTCGAGTGCCAGCTGCACAGGCTGCTGGCGCAACACCACACCAGCCTCCTCGCTGTCAGAATCAGCTACAATCCACACAGGCTGTTGACGGGCCACAACAATGGGTGACTTTGGGTCAACCCAAAGTATCTCATATTTTTCTTGGTGCCAAAAATAGAAAGGTGGACATGGAGGGCCCAACCCTCCCCCATGAACTTTGCCTCATGTTCCTGACCAAAAAAGCAGAATACAGGTAGTCCTCAACTTACAAAAGTTCACTTAGTGACCGTTCAAAGTTACAACGGCCCCGAAAAGAGTGACTTTGTGACCCTTTTTCACGCTTACGACCATTGCAGCTTCCCTATGGTCACGTGATCAAAATTCAGATGCTTGGCTGATATATTGGTTGATATTTATGATGTTGCCGTGTCCTGGGGTCATGTGATCCCCTTTTGCGACCTTTTGACAAGCATAATCAATGGGAAAACCAGATTCACTTAACAACTGGGTTACTAATTTATCATCTGCAGGGATTCACGTAACAAGTGTGGCAAAAAAGGTCATAAAGTGGGGCAAAACTCACTTAACACATGTCTCACTTAACGACATAAATTCTGGACTCAGTTGTGGTCGTAAGACAAGCACTACCTATACAGAGCTTGTACACAGGGCTCCATATGATTGTCTACTTCTTCAGCAAGGGTGGACAATTATGGCCCCTTTATCACTTGTGGACTTCAACTCCCAGAATTCCTGAGCCAAGCATGATTGACTCAGGAATGCTGGGAGTTGAAGTCCATAAAGGCCTCATAGTTGCCCATCCCTGTTCTAGAGGAACATACCATTGGATGGAAACTATAATTTCCTTCTAAAGTCCTTCACGGAAGAAGAACCCAAAGAGAACTCCTTCCTTCACCTCTGTGTCAGCGTCAGTGGCTTTGAGATCAAATTCCGTGATGGTTTTCCTCACTCCTTCCTGCACAGTCGTGCCCGCGGCCTGCACCACTGGCAAAGAATCGTCAACCGGGTTAATGGTGATTTCGAAATTCTGGGTCACCTATGGGTAGAAAGAACAGGACCCTGAACAAAGCTATTCTTGTGGGATGTTGCCTTTCCACAGACAAAAAAGAACCATTTTGGGGGGAAACCAACGGAAATGGACTGACCTCCTGACGGCCATCTGAAACGGTGAACGTGAACGCGTCAGCGTGTTCTTCAGCCTCGCTTGTATGGATGTACTGGAGGCTGTGGGAGACAAGGTCTTCTTGTTGGAAGGAACTAATCCTTCTGCCTAGAAAATAGTAGCAGAAAAATCCACGTTTGTGCTCTCAAATTTCAAGCGTTTCTTCCAGCTCAAAGAATTCCGTCCCCGGAACCTTCAAAACTTGCTTTCAGAAATTCTCCCCTTGCAACACAAACACCTTTCGGATGCTTTCAAATGTGTCTGGCAGCCTTTTTGAGGGTTGCTCCTGGTTCGGACCGGATCGCCTGATCCAGGTAGCGATGGAGGCAGATGGTTCGGAGAACCGGTAGTAAAAATCCCTGCTTCCCCCCATGCCCAGCTGAGCCGCACAATCATCAGAGGCTTTTCTTTTTACTTTTAAAAGTAAAAAAAAGCCTCTGATGATTGCGGGGCTTAGCTGGGATCGTCAAAGGCTTTTAAAAGCATTTTTTCTACAACCTCTTCAGAGGCATTTAAAAGGAAAAAAAGCCTTTTTTTTTCTTTTAAATGCCTCTGACGATCCAAGCGGAGTTGCCTGATCGGCAGAGGCTTTTTTTCTTTTAAAAGCCTCTGACAATCCAAGCTGAGTTGCCTGATCGGCAGAGACATTTAAAAGAAAAAAAAAAGCCTCTGCCGATCAGGCAACTCAGCTGGGATTGTCAGAGCCTTTTGAAAGCATTTTATTACAACCTCTTCGCTGAAGAGATTGTAGAAAAAATAGTTTTAAAAGTAAGTAAAAATTAAAAAATTGGCCACGCCCACCCAGTCACATACCACCCCCCCCACACACACACACACCAAGCCATGCCCACAGAACTGGTAGTAACGAATTTTAGATTTCACCACTGGCCTTATTTATCCCTTCCTTTATTAATACCGCCAGACTTTAAAAAGGGACACGCCAGGCATCCTAACGTCTTCTTCTTCTTTTTTTTTTATATTTATTTTATTGAAAAGACAGTGCCATGTCAGGATAACAATGCAAATAAAGTACAAGCAGAGAGAGATCAATGATAAATAACATGCATGCTAATAACTATAACTGTACTATGTTAACAGTAATTGCAACAATACAACCAAAAAAAAAAATCCAAAAAGAAAATAAAACTTCAACTACGTTTCTACTTACATTAGCTCATTTACAAATTTCTCCATATCATATCCATAGTTTTATATATCTTTGTTGTCCTGACATTCATAAACTTCCCTCTCATTTCTGCCTCTTGTCTCTATCCAGTCATAAAATGTATTCCATCTCCTGTAATATTTCGAGTCTTCTTTATCTTTAATTTTTAAAGTTAATCTGTCCATTTCTGCACAATCCCGAATTTTCCTAATTATATCATCATCCGGTGGGATATTCACATTTTTCCAATATTTAGCATATGTAATTCTAGTTGCGGTCAATATATGTAACACTAAGTAGATGGTTGAATATGGTGCTGGAGAAGACTCCTGGGAGTCCCTTGGACTGCAAGGCAATCAAACTGGTCAGTCCTAGAGGAGATCAACCCTGACTGCTTTTTAGAAGGCCAGATCCTGAAGATGAAACTCAAATACTTTGGCTACCTAATGAGAAGGAAGGATTCCCTGGAGAAGAGCCTAATGCTGGGAAAGATTGAGGGCAAAAGAAGAAAGGGACGACAGAGAAGGAGGTGGCTGGATGGAGTCACTGAGGCAGTCGGGCGTGAGCTTAAATGGACTCCAGAGGATGGTAGAGGACAGGAAGGCCTGGAGGAACATTGTCCATGGGGTTGCGATGGGTTAGACAACTTCGCAACTAACAACAACAAAGTAGATGGTTGCTTTGTACAGTGGGACCTAACTTCTATCGCTAAATAAATCAGCACGATTCCCTGGGTAATTCCCCACGGATTCCACAAAACAGGAGTCTTTGTTCTCACTTCGCTCCTAAACTAGTAAATATTTGCAAACCTGGTAATGTTGCGTGTTCCAAGTGTCCCAGCTGGGGCTGTTTAATAATCCTGTAGAGGAGATCGCTGGATTCTCCACCCTCCTTCTTGGCTGACAGCTCCAAAGGGGTGATTTTCCTCACCGAGTTTTCGTCCAGGATTAGCCCGGTGTTGACAGTGACGGACAAAGGAAATTGATCCCCTGGGGGGAAAGTGGAAATAAGAGGAAACATACAGAGTCAGATCCTAGATCCATCTTCTTTGTCACATGGTGGACAAGTGGACGGATTCAGGAACTTCACAAGTGTCAACAGGAGGATCAAAACCCATTTCAATATTTGCTGTCTATGATTCAGGAAGTAGTATTTATAACAGGAAAAACAGAGTTGGAAAGGAGGTCTCCTACCCAACACCCTGCTCAATCAGGAGACGCCATGCCATTTCAGACAAATGGTTGTCCAATCTCTTCTTGAAAACTTCCAGTGATGGAGCACCTACAACTTCTGGACGCAAGTTGTTCTACTGGTTAATTGTTCTCACTGTTAGTTCTAGGCTGCTTCTCTCCTTGATTTGTTTCCATCCATTGCTTCTTGTCCTGCCTTCGGGTGTTTTGGAGACTAGGTTGACCCCCTCTCCTTTTGGTAGCCACTGATGGCCCAACCCTCTGTGAACTTTGGAGAATATTTTAAAAACATCCACCTAGCTACCGCTCCTACAACAATTAGCAGTGAATTTCATAGCTTAGAATAGAATAAGAGTTGGAAGGGACCTTGGAGGTCTTCTAGTCCAACCCCCTGCTCAGGCAGGAATCCCTTTATACCATTTCAGACAAATGGTTCACTTAATGACCATAGTGTTTGTTTAACAACCTTGGGTGTTATTTTATGATTGCACAGTTGCTTAACAATGAAATGGGGTCGTTCATGTGTTTGACTCAATTTGTGACCATCATGACCTACGACTGTGAAGGTCAGGAAGGATCAGTGGTGGGTTCCTCCCGGTTCGGCCCGGTTCCACTGAGCCGGTAGCGGTGACGATTGAAGGAGAAAGGGGAACATGTAAAGAGACAACACTTTCAAACCCCCCCACCCGCCCAGCAAACATTTATTAAACCTGGTTTAAGTACTCTTGACTATGTCCAGGGGTGGGATCGAAAAATTTTAGCAACCGCTTCTCTGCCCGGTTACTGGATGAGCGTGGCCATGGGGCCCTGGCCTACTCAGCCTCCTGCACCATGGCAGGGGAGGGGCATTTTCACCCTCCCCAGGCTCCAGAGGCTTTTCTTGAGCTTCCGGGAGGGCGAAAACGGCCTCCCCCGGGCTCTGGAGGCCGGAAACGGGCCCGTTTCCAGACTTCCAGAAGGCCCATTTTTTGTCCTCCCCGTGGGCCCTGCACTTACCTGGCATCCATAACAGGCTGTGTGGAGACTCCTGGGAGGGGAGGGGCAGGTGGGCGGAGTCAGCCAGTCCTTGCAACTACCGGTTTGACAAACCAGATGTAAAATTAGCATCCAAACCGGCTGAATCCCACCCTTGACTGTGTACAATGTTGCATTTTTAACCAGTGCCAATTACAGGACAGTCCTGATTACATTGCTTAACGCATTGTAAGCTGCCCTGAGTCTCCAGAGAAGGGCAGAATATAAATCAAATTTTAAAAAAAGAAAGAAAGAAAAAAAAAAGAAAAAAAACAGTTTCTCTCTGCTGCTACAAAGCTAAACTCAATGTTTTACTTTACAAGCCTAATTTAAAGAGACCTTTTTCAGGTGAAAAATAATCAAGAGAGCAAACGTAATTGTGTACCAATGTTTGTATTAAAAGCATTTTTCAAAAAAATAATTGGGACACATTTTTTTTTGCTAGAGAATCGATTTTAGGTGACTAATTTAACCACTTAATTAAGTTCTAATTTTCAAATAACGTAGTTTCTAAATGTGATCCATTTTTCAGGAAAGCCAGAACAAGGGTGGACTTCTGGTGACTCCTCATTTAACACCTCAGAGGAAATTCCCCTGAAATATAAACCTAATCAGTAGAATTCTATGACAAATTATGTTGTGGTGAACCGTGAATTGTAATATCGGAATATCAATCTGTACCGTTCAGGACGCAGAAGCGAAGATTCTCAACAGTAATTCTCATTCTCAAACCTCTATTATTCCATTGCTAATAATGTGCAGCCCCTAAATTGTTTTCCTAATTGATTCTAACCACCCTACTTCAGAGCTGCAGGCTTTTCCAGAATTTCCTTGATTCTAGCTAATTAAAGCCCTCCACTGTCTTGCTAAAGAAAGGCAAATCTGTGACAAGATTGTTGGCTTACCTGTTACGTTAATTGAAAATGCCAAGTCTGCCATTCTGTTTCCCTCTCCATCTGTCACATCAAAAACAAAAAAGAATGTCCCAACTGGTTCTTCTTTCTCGTGGCTGTATTCGACTTGTCCTGTTAATAGGAAGTCAGAAGGGGGGAAAAATAGAATACTTAGAACATCTGCAAGGGTTCCGACAGATGCCCTAATTAAACCATGAGCCTTGAGCCAAGCTTCAAAAGAAATCCAGTCATTTATTGGGAGCTTCATGTCGCCACGTTCCAAGTGAAGCCAACTCTGACCCCACGTAGTTTACGACCCAATCTTGACCCTGTTTCCCCGCTTCCTCCAGGGTGTGTCATCAGTCACATTCAGCAACAGAGCCATTTCGCGGGTTGTAGAGATCACTCCTCTCCGGCCGCTGTGGGTAACCCTGGGAGACAGCCTTAAGAGAGATGTATCTAGAATGTGCTTTTGTTTTTGGCTGCCGTGCTGCTTTGCTGTTTTTCCATCCCCCTTGCCTATGGCAACTCAAGAGCAGGCCAGGGATGCTTTGTGAGTTGACATTCGGCTCCCCGCATTTCCTAAAGGCGACCTGTACATCAAGCTATCAAAATGGGAATTTCACTGCGCACGGCTAGACTACCTGGACTACCGAGTGTCAAATGAGGGCATAGAGATGAACCCAGCCAAAGTATAAGCCGTCCTAGGCTGGCGGCCCCCTCGCAACCGCAGACAGCTACAAAGCTTCCTAGGGTTCACAAATTTCTACAGGCAATTCATCCTCTCCTTCGTGAAAATTGTCAAACCCATGACAGAACTTCTAAAGACAGGGGGCCCAGGGATGAAACCCTGCCCGGGACAACCCCTGCAGTGGGACCTAACCTGCCAAAAAGCATTTGAAACACTAAAAGAACTGTTTGCAAAGGAACTGGAGGGCAGCCCTTCCTGACCATCAGAGACCGAAGCAAAGAGGGATGAGTATTGCAACAATGATGCAACAATTGTGCTAATTGTGTTTTGCTGAAGTATGTAACCAAGTTCTCTGTGAGATGATAAACTTATCCAGAGATGCTGACACTAATTGTTCTGCCCCAGCTACGGGTCCGAAGAAGTGTAGCACACACACACAGCTCCAAAAACTCCGTTTAATACAAACAGACCCCTTTCAAAATGCAGGCTTTAACCACAAATGTCCTTATCAGCCTGCTATGAATTACAGAGATTAAGCAAAGTCCGACAAGGGTTGGCAATCAGCCCAGAAATCAAATTGGAACAAAAAACTCACTCTCAAAATGCTCTGCATAGGACCAAGCGTTGTTTCCAGCAACATTTGCCAGCTGTGTGCGAACTTAAATAGGCTAAGGGAGTGGCCAATTAGCCCCAAGCCTTACTCTCGAGGAGACCTCCTCCTGAGTAGCCACTCCTGCCTTTTGGCAGCCCTGCGTGCTCGAGCATTGAGGAGAGGCTCCTCCACTTCACTCTCTCCACTTGAAGGAGCCTCTGTAGGTTCTGAAGGCCCTGGCTGAGTCTCTGCCTCTGGCACCACATCCTCTTCAGCCTCCTCGCTGTCCGACGCGAGTGCCGGCTGCACAGGCTGCTGGCGCGACACCATACCAGCCTCCTCATCGTCGGGATCAGCCACAATCTGCGCAGGCCGCTGGCGGGCCACAACACTGATGGGCTCTGGAGCTCCGCTGAACTTTTCTTTTGATGCTATCTTTCTACAAATCTATTTGGCTATTTAACGCATTCCTATCTTGCAGATAATTCAACCTATTCTTTCTTTGTCCCATGGACTGTTGTCCTCATGGGAATGATCAACAAACAGGGGATAGTTGAGTGAAACATTAATTCTGTTAGTTTTGAGATCCCTGCTTATCATTTCTCAAAACCTCCAGTATTGGATCACCCACAACTTCTAGAGCCAAGCCATTCCACACTGATCAATAATTCTATTAGGAAATTTCTCCTTAGTTCTAGGTTGCTTCTCTCCTAGATTAGTTTCCATCCATTGCTTTGTGTCGTGCCTTCAGGTGCCTTGGTTGACCCCCTCTTCTTTGTGGCAACCCCCTAGATATTGGAACATTGCTATCAAGTCACCCCTTCTTTTCATTGAACTAGACATACCCAATTTCTGAAAAGCATCTTACCTTTGTTTATATCTGCCTGGGTGAAGCTTTTGGCTGGTCCCCGTGCAGAGATTTGCATCAAAGAATCTCTTCTATGCAGGTGTAACAACCCATAAATTGGGTCCTTCTTCATGATGTATTTGATAGACAGGTCATCTGAATCAGGATCGGTGGCTCTTAAATGCTGGTTTGTAATGACTGCCACGGACCCTATAGAGTGGAAACGAACAGACGCAAACAACATTAAATGTCTTGCTTAATTATTCTGGGAATGACAGCTTGCTTGCTTGCTTGCTGATTGATTGATTGATTAATTGATTTCCTTCAAGTCAGTGTCAACTCCTGGGGTTTGCCTGGATTAATCCCTGTAATTACCTTGACAATATTTTAGAAGTAGATACCATATGGTGGGACCTAGGGGTGAAATCTACTTACCTTCCCAACCGGTTCGGAAGTGCACACACCACGCGTGCTTGCTTTGCTTGCGCACATCGTGTGCTCACGCAGAACCCTCTGTGCATGCGCAAACCCTTCTGCGCATGCACAGAGGGTAAAAAAACAGGTTACTTCCTGGTTAAAACCAGGGTGGGCGGAGCCTCGCGCTGCCATCACTACCTGTTCTCCGAACCACCGGCCACCATCGCTACAACAGGGAGCATTTCACCCCTAGTGGGACCAGACTTTGTTATTTCCCTCCCACAAAATCAGAGATAAATGAAGCTCCATTCTCACACGTTTGGGAATATTTGTTCTCCAAACCAGAGAGATTGTCTGATATGACCCCCATCTCGGCCCTCATTAAAAGAGCCGAGGTGGCACAGTGGTTAGAGTGCAGTACTGCAGCTACTTCAGCTGACTGCTAGTTCAGCAGATCAGCGGATCAAATCTCACCGGCTCAAGGTTGACTCAGCCTTCCATCCTTCCGAGGTGGGTAAAATGAGGACCCAGATTGTTAGGGGGCAATATGCTATTTAGTATACTGTCTTTGGTGTAAGCCACCCAGAGTCCTCGGAGAGTGGGAGGCATAGAAATATGATGAATAAAAATAAAAATAAAATAAAATCTACCAACTTCTAGCCAGGTTTTTGTTCAACTCGGTTAGAGGAAAGGCTTCCAATTCAATTTTGCTTGCCTGTTGTTTTTTCCTCACGGGGTCTTCTGAAATCACAGCCTCACTAAGCTTCTCTGTAACACTTATTTGACACTTAGTTGAAGGAAGACTTCTTTTGAGGCTTCTCAGTGCAAATGTTAATACCGAAGCTTAGAAAAAAATCAATACCCCCCTCCAATTTGGATAGCCTGTGCAAAATGATCTTTTGCAAGCAACCAGATAGATTCCCTCTCCCCCCCCCCCCCCGAAATACAATTCAATAAATATGTGGATCAGATGCCTGTGGACAAAAGAAAGACACTAGAAATGCATTTGCTTCTTTCTGGAGACGAAAAGGATAAAAGCTGATTTTTAAATCACATACGTTGGATGCTCTAAGGCTGTGATGGCGAACTTATGGCACGCGTGCCCGAAGTGGCATGTGGAGCCATGTCGCCTGGCATGCCAGCTGTCACCCCAGCCCAGCTCAGCTCCACCGCGCATGCGTACGCGCCTCCCACTGGCCAGCTGGTCTTCGGGTCTCTGTTGGGTATGCGCGGGGGGGGGGGGGGCAAGGCGCATGAGGGAGATGCGTGCGTGCATGTGCGGGGCGCATAAGTGGGGGGATGCTTGCATTGCATTTTTGGGGTTTGCACGAATACCCCCTCCCTGCACCCCGTTTTGGGCCTGGAAAGCACCAACTTGGAAGCCAAAACGGGGTGTGGGGGCACCGCACAAGGCTCCCCGTGCCTGGAAAGCCTCCTGCACCAACCTGGAAGCCAAAATAGGGCGCGGAGAGGCCGGGGCCCATGTGCAGGGGACGCATGCACACGGGCGGGGGGGCATGCACATGGGGTGGGGTGCTCACATTGCATTTTGTGGGTCCGGCCAAATGTGCATGTGGGCACTCAGCCCCAAAAAGGTTAACCATTACTGCTCTAAGGCCATGTGGCTAGGGAATTCTGGGAGTTGAAGTTCACAAATCTTAAAATTGCCAAGGTTGAGCAACATTGCTCCAGGGACAGTATTCAGTGACAAGGCAGTCTTAATTAGAAATAATGTATATCAATTGGTTGAAGTCCTCTATCCTCGACTATCGATTAATTTCAATTATTTATAGTCTCTGGGAGTTCCCAGATGACTATTCTGACCTCGGCTGCCTTAAAATGCAGGAAGCAGAGTCTTGGTCCCGGCAAAAACCTCTTTTATTTACACGACTGTGAATTCCTTTCACAGCAAGGTCTGTCCAAACAGTTTTTCAAAGGAATATTTATCAACACAAACCTTATCTTGCTTAGCAAGCTGCCACGTAACTAGTTTCCAAACGTAGTACAAGGCAAAACTTAGCACAGAGTCTCTCAGAGTCACGGAACAAATGAACTGTTTCCTGCAAAAGGCCACTCCCTGTTCGCTCCTCTTTTGTTTCCTATGGGAGGGGCCAATGAGCCGAGGTGGCGCAGTGGTTAGGGTGCAGTACTTCAGCTGACTGCTAGTTCAGCAGGTCAGCGGATCAAATCTCACCGGCTGAAGGTTGACTCAGCCTTCCATCCTTCCGAGGTGGGTAAAATGAGGACCCAGATTTCCTCGGAGAGTGGGCAGCATAGAAATATGAATAATAAATAAATAAATAAATAAATAAATAAATAAATAAATAAATAAATAAATAAATAAATAAATAAATAAATCACCTCCAAGCTTTACTCCTAAGTCGACCCTGCTTTCTTAGTTGTTCTTGTTTTCTGGCAGCTCTGCACATGCGCACACTGGGAACAGGCTCCAGCTGTTCCTCTGCCTCACTGCTGTCTAGCGCCCTCTGATGCAGATCCCTCGTCCGAGCTTTCCCCAGCCCCCAGGAATGGCCCATGTTCCTCCCCAACCTCCTCACTTTCCAACTGTGCTGCCAGCTCTGCTGGCCGCCAGCGGGCCACAACACTGACTTCCATAGAAACAATACCACACTGAATGCATCTGAGATCTCCAGATGGTGGGGACAATTTAGAACGATATGGGTGGGCTTCCAAATGTGTTGACCAAGAAATATAAAAGCTGAAGGCCTGGCAGGAATCTTCAGGAAATTTGGTTACACAGGAATTTTAATAAGGGGACTTCAGAAAATCATATTCAGAATGGATTTACCAGCAGGGAGTTGTAGGCCTCTGTTCACGACTAATGTGGGAAGGTCCATCCTTGGTGAGGCTACCGCAAACTCCACTTTCCCTGTCTCAATGTGGAGGCCGTCTGAGAGTGAAAATTGGAACTCGTCCCTTTGGGCTACCAAACTGTTCAATTTATAAACAATCAGTTCCTCCAGGACATCCTGGTAGGTGAAAGTGGATCCCTCCGAGAGAGCTTGTCCATTCTCCAGAGAATGCTGAGGAGATTCCCTTCTGTACAGGTATCCTGAGAGTAAGCCAAGAATTATGAGTTAGTTCCTCACAGATCGTTTTCTCTCTATTGCATTAATATCTTGATTCGACTTCTAACATACTTATTCTTCACGGTATCTTTTACGAGCGTTTAGAACCCTTCACCACAGAATAAGGACAGTGGCCAATATCAGTATGCACAACTGTAGGTAGTCCTTGACTTACAACAGTTCATTTAGTGACCGTTCAAAATTACAACAGCACTGAAAAAAAGTGACTTAAGAGCATTTTTCACACTGATGACCGTTGTAGCATCTCCCTGGTCATGTGATCAAAATTCAAAATGCTTGGCAACTCGTTTATTATTTATGACAGTTGCATGTCCCAGGATCATGGGATCCCCCTTTGTGATCTTCTGGCAATCAAAGTCAATGGGGAAGCCAGTTTCACAATAATCAAGTTATGAACTCTGGTGGCGCAGTGGTTAGAATGCAGTACTGCAGGCTACTTCTGCTGCCTGCCATTTGGCAGTTCGAATCTTACCAGGCTTAAGGTTGACTCAGCCTTCCATTCCTTCCGAGGTCGGTAAAATGAGAATCCAGATTGTTAGGGGGCAACATGCTGACTCTGTAAACCGCTTAAGAGAGGGCTAAGTAAAGCACTGTGAAGCAGACTTATATAAAGTCTAAGTGCTATTGCTACCATGTTTCCCTGAAAATAAGCCCTCCCTCGAAAATAATAATAATAATAATAATAATAATAATAATAATTATTATTATTATTATTATTATTATTATTATTATTATTATTATTTTATTTATATACCACCCATTCTCCCGAAGGACTCAGGGCGGTGTACAGCCAGAATTAAAATACAAATATACAAACATACCATATTTAGTTAAAATTAATTAAAATCATTAAATAGTTTGGCCGAATTTTAAAACCCAAAATTAAAACCCAATTTAAAATCATAAACCCTCCACGAAAATATTTAACCGCCATGCACAGCCGGTCCCCGCCATTTCCTCTGGTTAGGGTTAGGGAGACAGAGCTGGAAATCAGGTAAGACGGCAAGAGGAACCCCGTCTTGCTCCATGCGCCCCAAAATAATAAGACCTCCTCGAAAATAAGGCCAAGCGCTTATTTTGGGGTTCAAAAAAATATAAAACGAGGTCTTATTTTCGGGGAAACACGGTATTAACTTAACGACTGTAAGAAAGGTCATAAAATGAGGCAAAACTCATTGAAGAAATGTCTCACTTAGCAACATAAATTTTGGACTCAATTTTGGTTGTAAGTCAAGGGCTGCCTGGATCTTTTGCTATAATACATACTGTATAAAAAAACCCACAAATGGGAGATTTCTATATAAATCTAATTGCTAATGCTATTTCTTCAACATTACTACAATAATATATCTCACCGTGAATGGGTATCTTGGTTACCATGAAAACCAGAAGGTCATTCGGAGTATCCAAGTCCCTCAGCCTCAAGGAGGAATTCCGAATCACTACTGCCGTGTTTTCACGCACGCTGATAGGGCTCACCTTTACCTGAGGTGGCTCATCATTCAGGCGCTACAAGGACAGAAGGGAAATCACGGGGAGAAAAATTAAGTTCAACAACCGGCTCTTGAAATGGGAAAGGAAAGGCCACGAGAAGCTACGAAATCTAGAAATAAGATGATGGAAATATAAGAGTCATATGGCTTTAGAGCAGCATTCATAATCATTTTAAATACATTTTGAATGGAAATCTAACTGAAAGCATTTCAAACATCAAGGTATTTCATGAAATAACCAGAAACCTGAATGTGTATTTTATTGTTTATTATTATTGTTTATTGGCCGCCCTTTTCCGGAGACTCAGGGCGGCTTATAATGCATTAAGCAATAGCCTTCATACTTTTGTATATACCTGCTTAGTAGGGCTTTCGGCCCCCCCCAAGCGGTGTTCTTTTTTATACAAAGTCAGCTTATTGCCCCCACAAACTGGGTCCTCATTTTACCTCCCTCGAAAGGATGGAAGGCTGAGTCAACCTTGAGCCTGGTGAGATTTGAACTTGCAGTAATTGCAGGCAGCTGGTGTTACTTATCAGTGCTTTAGTCTGCTGTGCCACCAAGGCTCATTTTCCTGGTAGACATTGTGTATTTGCATTAATCAGGGGTGGGCTTCAAAAATTTTAGCAAGGGGTTCTCTGCCCGTTGCTGGGTGGGTGTGGCCATGGTGGGTGTGGCCTAGTCAGCTTCTTGCACCATGCCGGGAGGCAGCGTTTTTGCCCTCCCTGGGCTCCGGAGGCTTTCCTCGAGCCTCCAGGAGGGTGAAAACGGCCTCCCAGGCTAAGGAGGCCCTCATTTCTGGCCTTCCCAAACTTCCGGTAGGCCCATTTTTTCCCCTCCCTGAGCCTCCGCACATGCCCTGCGCTTACCTGCATCCAAAATGGGCTGCGTGGGGACTCCTGGGAGGGGAAGGAAGGGATGGGCGGGGCCAGCCAGGAGTGGGATTTGGGGGTTCTCTGAACTGCACAGAATCTTAGCTAGAGGGTCTCCCGAATCCCTGTGAACCCCCAGCAGCCCATCCCTGGCATTAATGTGTACAAAAACTATGACTACTACGGGTTAATGTGGTTGTGTATGGTATGTATGTATAGGTGCGTGCGTGCATATGTGTATAGATAGACAGACAGAAAGACAGACAGACAGTATGTGCATGAGAGAGAGAGGGAGGGAGAGAGAGAAAGAGGGAGAGAGAGGGAGGGAATGTTTGTGTGAGAGAGAGTGGGAGGAAGGGAAAGAGAGAGGGAGGGAGGGAGTGTGTATGTGAGAGAGAGGGGGAGACAGGGAAAGAGAGAGTGAGAGAATGTGTGTGTGACAGAGAGAGGGGGGGAGGGAGGAAAAGAGAAAGAGTGAGAGAATGTGTATGTGAGAGAGAGAGGGGGAGAGGGAGGGAAAGAGAGAAAGAGTGAGAGAATTTGTGTGTGAGAGAGAGAGAGAGAGGGAAGGAAAGAGAGAAAGAAAGAGTGAGAGTGAGAAAATGTGGGGGGGAGGGGGGAGAGGGAGAGGGAGGGACACTTGATTCACATTGAGTCGTGATGTGATTTGCTGAGTTTAACTTACTGACTTCTTGACAATTAATCAACCTCAATAACAATTGTGGTTTGTGCTTTGAACTGACCTTGAAATTGTGGTTTGTGCTTTGAACTGAGTCCTTTTTGCCTTGCTCAACAAACAAAGCATAGTTTAGCAATTTGCTTGAACCCAGAGACTATTTCTGCTATCACAACAGTTTTACAAACAAAAACGACACGGTGAATTCAATTACCTTAATGGTAATGTTGACACTGCTGATTTCTGATTGGCTGAAGCCATCACTGATATAAAAACCAAAGCTGTCCATCGATGGCTCAATACTTTCATGGACATTTTGAAAATAATAAATACGGTTCTCCAACACATCTTGAAGTGAGAAAGAAAAATCAGAACTTTCGGCGTTTCCAAAACCGAGGCGTCTGCCTGCAAGGAGAGTGGTATTTATATGGAAAGCGTGTTTTTTTTTCCCCCTTTTAAAAATTAATTTAGATTTTTTTTCTTAAAGCAGGAAATATAACTTGATTCTTTGTCGAGTTTTTGCACATATAGCAAATCAAGAATTTTATGATTTATCACATTTGTTTGCCGCCCATCTCACTTTGATTTTATTAAGCTTATCATGATGTCGAACACAAATAAAAATAATAGGAAAAGGGGGAAGGGATAGAAATGGGAAAGAAAAGTGCAGCGCCATGATGGGCAATCTGTTAAGTTTCCGAAAGATGCCCTAATTAATTCATGAGCCATGATCCAAACTTTAAAGGAAATATAGTCATTTATTAGGAGCAACATTCCGGCAATACTGGGATGCAGTTAGGACTGATCCCACGTAGATTTACGTTCCCCTATGACCCTGTCTCTCCCCTCCCCTCTGGCCATGTCATAAATCACATTCTCCAATTAACCACTTTGGCTGGCTGTGAAACCTAACACCCTCCTTCTGATTGCGGTCAGAAAGAATGTATGGAATTCACTTCAGTTCTCCCTCCCTCCTGCTCATGGCAACTTGAAAGCTTTGCAAGTTGACACAATCTATGGCACGCGTGCCAGAAGTGACACACAGAGCCCTCTCTGTGGGCATGCATGCTGTTGCCAGCTGCACTTCCGGGTTCCGTCCTGCGCATGTGACCAGTCGCTCTCTTCCGGGTTCTGTCTCGTGCATGCATGCTGGTCAGCTGATCTTCACACCTTACCTGTCCTGGTGTTTTCAATGTACCCATATTTTGGAGGACTTGTGATTTTTACAACCAAGCCTTCTTCAGCAAGGCCACCTTCCAGGCGAAGGGTGTGGTGAGGGTGGAGTGGTGTCCGTCCCCCTTCTTCTACCTGGACACAAAAACAACTTTCTGCTCTATCTGGAAATTTGATTTTGAGCATTACTTATCAAAAAACAAAAAATCTGGGTTCTCATTTTACTGACCTCAGAAGGATGGAAGGCTGAGTCAACCTTGAGCCCGGTGACATTTGAACTGTCAAATTGCAGGCAGCCGGCAGGCAGCAGAAATAGCCTGCAGTACCGCACTCTAACCACTGCGCCACCGTGGCGCATAAAGTGTGGTAAATAATAATTTCTATCCCCCAAACTTCATCATGATTCTCAAACCAAAGAAGTTATTTCATTTGACCTCGTGCATGGCTCTAGTTAAGAGGCAGACTCTATTGGCATGAAGCGTGTCTGACGTTATCCTACTGGTATCTATTATTACCTGAAGAAGTATGGACTTCAACTCCCAGAATCCCCCAGCCAGCACTGAGGTACAAACAGTACAACAAACCACAACTGACATATTAACACATGAAGTTTCCCTTGTATGACCCAGACAATCTAAACACTCCTGACAGCCATAAGATTCCTAATCAGGGTTGGGATTCAGCCAGTTCAGACCAGTTTAGGCGAACCGGATGCTACTTTTACATCTGGTTTGCCGAACCGGTACTTGCAAGGACTGGCTGGCCCTGCCCACCCCCATCCCACGTGGGGCATGGCCCATTTTGGATGTCAGGTAAGTAAAGTGCCTGTGCAGAGGCTCTGAGAGGGTGAAAAACGGGCCTCCTGGAACTTCTAGAAGTCCGAAAACAGGCCCATTTCCGGCCTCCAGAGCCTGGGAGAGGCCGTTTTTGCCCGCCCGGAGGCTCGAAGAAAGCCTCTAGAACTTGGGGAGGCAGGAGGCTGAGTAGGCCACACCCACCATGTCCATGCCCCCACCCCAGCAACCAGGCAGAGAACCAGTTGCTAAAATTTTTAAATCCCATCCCTGTTCCTAACCGATATTTTTCCAACATGAGGACTATTTAAAACAAAAGTATACAAGTAGTGTTTTAATTATTTCTTTTCTGGGAGAGAAAAAATGTGTCTTGGTGACTAAATGCATGGTTTAATGAAAAAATATTCCAGGCTTTTTTTGTTAAAGGAGGGATGAAAACTTATGGCCCTGAAGAACTACAACTCTTAGTAATCCAATATCAGTCATCTGGCTGGCACCAGATGGGAATTATAGTTTTCTCTGCTCTGAGTTCAGGAGTATCTGTGGGGCAGGGTCAAAAAATAAGATGGTACTCACAGACCCTGCCTATTTTTACATGAATCATGTAAGACAAGTAGAAAAAGGGCCTATTTCAATCCCTTGGGCATGGCTGCCATATTGACTTTTTTGCCTTTCCCTTTCCCAATTTTTTTTTTAAAAAATAGATATGATTTCCTTAACGACTGTGGCAAGAATGGTCATAAAATGGGGCAAAACCTTTTATTTCAGCAAGCCGGCCTGGCCTGAATAGGTTTTATGGGTTAGTTTTTTAATTGTATAGCTAGGGGTTTTAAATTGGGAGGCCGATTAATTTAATTTATTTTTAATTATCTTAACTTTTATATTGTATGTTATTTTAATTCTCGGCTGTTCACCGCCCTGAGTCCCTTCGGGGAGAAGGGCGGGATATAAATTCAATAAATAATAATAATAATAATAATAATAATAATAATAATAATAATAATAATAAAACCCACTTAACAACTGCCTTGCTTAGCAATGGAAATTTTGGGCTCCATTGTGGGCCGTAAATCAAGGACTACATGTTCCACATAATTCAACACTGAATTTCACGGGTTGCTGACATACCGTAATTTGGTCAGAAAAAGTAATAACCGGAGGCACATTTTGGGCTGCTGTGATAGTAACGGTGAACATCTGGCTATCGAGCTGGTTGTTGTCCGCATCGAACACAGAGAAGTAGAAGACATCGGTGATTGGCTGATCGAAAACAGTTTCAAGCTCGGTGAAATATCTGCAGGATAAAAGAAAAAAAAGGAAGATATTGAGCTGGGGCGGTAGGTAGGTAGGGACACCAAAGTGTGCCATCGACAAACAATTTAATCTCCTCTAATTGCATCTTGTTTGCCTTGGGGAATAAACTCACCTGCTTGCATTTTCGTGTTACTGGGAGGAATGTTAATAGCTATGGGGGGAAAAAATAGTTAACAAGGGAGACTACATTTTATTTCTAACTTTTTTAATCAATCCGCTGCCCTTTCAATCTGCCAGATGGAAGTTGTTGACAACGCAGGATGGGGAACGTTAATAGCAATGCAACCGGGGGGGAAGGGAGCCACGTGGAGAAAGCTGATTCATGCATTGACACGAAATTAAAAGTCGGGGCGAGATGAAAGAAATGTCACTGGGATGGATCCAAACAGTGAAGCAGAGATTTGCAGAGTGTTGTGGGCCGCCAGCAGAGCTGGCGGCAGACTCGGACAATGAAAAGGTTGGGGAAGAACATGGGCCAGTCCTGTAGTCTGGGGAAGGCTCTGATGAGTGCTCTGCGTCAGAGGCAGAGATGGAGCCACAACCATCTGACAGTTAACAGCTACCTTCGGAATCAGAGATAAGTGGGACAGAAGAACAGCTGGAGCCTGTTCCTGAAATCTGAACTGATTTACTACCGGTTTGCTGGCTGCAGACAGCATCCAAACAGAGAACCGATAGTAAAAAAATGCTTAAAAAGTAAAAAAAAAAAAAAAAAAAGTTCCGACGATCGCGTGCCACAGCTGTGATCATTGGAACCTTTTTTTTAAAACCTTTTTAAAGCATTTTTTACTACCGGTTCCAATGATCATGTGTCGCTCAGCTGATCTTCAGAACTTTTTTTTTTTTTACTTTTTTTACTACCGGTTCGGCAAACCAATAGCATTTTTTACTACCAGTTCAGGCGAACCAGACCGAACTGTTAGCATTTCACCCCTGGACTAAAGGCACAAAGGGATGCTGAATGGCCCCTCCCATAGGAAATAAATAGGAGCAAAAGGGGAGTTGTGTTCGCAGGAGACAATTAGTTTGTTTGTTAGTGTGAAGATCTGCTTATCTGAGTTCGTGCCTCACAGAGACTCCTTGCAAAGTATTTCATTGTACAGCATTGCTATCGGCCTGGCAACTATCCAAGGACTGATAAGGTCTGTGGTTGCAATTCACCCTTGAAAGACTGTTTGCCGGGACTTTGCTGGATGTTGAATGCTAGAAATTCACCTTAGCCAAATAAAAAGGGTTTTTTTTTCGGGACAAGGAGTCTGTTTTGTGATTTGGCGAAGCCTAGGTCAGAACACAGAAAATGAAGAAAAAGCCATAATGGAGGTTCTGAGAGATATATTCAACTGCAGGAAAAATGGATTCCTGGCTCATTTCCTGAAGGTCAGCCACATTACTAGGTCTGGATGAAAACTCATTGTTCTTGCTAAACACACATCCCTCGGATAAAAACAAATAAAAATGTCCCAATCACAAACGGTCCTTTCTTTGTGCCCCCAAAGACACCCAATATAACGGTGTCATTGCTGTGTATTCACGGAGAAACGGTACCTGAGCAAATAGGATCTACCTTGTTTCCCCGAAAATACGTCCTACCCCGAAAATAAGCCCTAGCTTGATTTTTACACGCATGCCCAATATAAACCCTACTCCCAAAATAAGCCCTAATTAAGACCCTGCCCACTCCAGGGTATACGGGTAAAAATTAAGCTAGGATGGGAATGTGGGGGTGGAGGTACCCTACTACTTACCTTCGGACAATTGCAATCAGGCCTTGCACACCCCGATACCTGCCTTGTCAGCCTATTTCTTCTGCAGCCAGCAATGCCGGCAATACTTTCCTGAAGGCCTCTGCAGCTGATAACAGCGCTCCACATCTGGAGCTCTGTTATCGTCTGCAGAGCCCTTCAGGAAAACCTTGCTGGCCGCAGAAGAAGTTCCTGAAGGCCTCTGACAAAGAAAAGGAGGCTGGGGGCGATGCACGCAAGTGAGGTGAGTCAGTGGATGGCATCCCCCAAAATAAGACCTGGTGCTTTTTTTTTGGTGGCAAAAAAATATATAAGACAGGGTCTTATTTTCAGGGAAACACGGGTAGTAGGCGATGGGGCCTTGAGGATTGATGGAGAATCTCATGGCCACCAAACAGGAAAGCCCCCATTCCTTCTTATAACATAAATCATAGGTGTTACATCCGGACGGCAAGCACGACGGCCAATAGAGCAGCCGATTGGTCCGTGTGCCAGCAGGCAGCCAGCGGGAAATTGGTGGCTCCTGATTGGCCCAGCTTCTGACAGCTGAGTATAAAAGAGCTGTCAGTGCCTCAAACGCTGCTCGCTCTCCATGGTAGTTAGCTAACTAGAGCGAGTCACTGTTAGTTGTTATTGTTAGCCAATAAACATGTTGTGAAGTGTTTATCCTGCCTCGCCTCCCTTCTTTAGCCTTTGTTCCGTGAATAGAACAATAGTGTTCTGTATTTAGTGTTCAGCTGTATTTGTTCAGGCTAGAACCCAGAAGAGTGTAAGTTCTAGTTTTCCTTAGGTATTGAAAGGCCGTTGGGTTACTTTTAGTCAATCTCCAGAAGACTGTGAGCTCTAGTCTTGCCTTAGGCGTGAAAGTCAGCAAGGCCAATCACCAGGAGACTGTGGGTTCTAGTCCCTTCCTGAGGCATGAAAACCAAATGGGTAATTTTGGGCTAATCTCCAGGAGACCAAATTCTAGTTCTGCCTGAGGCATGAAAGCTGGCTGGGTGACTTTGGGCCAACCACCAGGCGTCTGTGAATTCTAGTCCCCTCTTAAGCATGAAAAGACGGCTGGATGACTTTGGGCCAGTCGTTCTCTCTCAGACCCATTCCACCTCACAGGGTTGTTGTTGTGGGGAAAATAGGAAGAGGATGGAGCATTAGGTCTGCTCGCTGCCTTGAGTTATTTATAAAAGTAATAAAGGCAGGCTAAAAAAAAAAATATTGAATCACTCACATTGGAAGTCCATGCCTTTCATGTACATCCGTGCTTTCCTGTTCTTTATGAAGGTCACTGATTTCAATTATTTTTTGGGGGGGTGGAAAAAAACCTACATTTGCCTCTAGCATTAAATGATACATCAGAGAATCTCAGAAGAAGAATAGCTTGGGGAAAAACTGGAACCTTTTCATATCTCTGCCTAATCTTTTTTTTTTTTCCAGTCCTTAAGGTCAGGACTCTTAAGAAAAAATTTCTTAAGAACTGATGTCTTTTCTTTCAGGAAAATATTTTTTTCCCCCATTTCTATAGTTGTTGCTTCTCAGTTTCATTCGTTCCAACCTTCACACACACCCTGGCAGAATATCCAATAAAACCCTGGTTTGAGACCTGCATATTTTAATTGCCAACTCACAAACTATTCAAGAGAAAGTGCTAGGCAGGGGTGGGCTGCTACGGGTTCGGGAGAACCTGTAGCTAACGTTATGGCCAGTTCAGAGAACCTCCAAATCCCACCCCTGGCTGGCCCCGCTCACCCTGCCCCTCCCCTCTCAGGAGTCTCCTCGCGGACTATTTTGGATGCGAGATAAGTGCAGGGCCCGCGTTGAGGTTCAGGGAGGGGGGGGAAAGGGCCTCCCGGAAGTTCCTGGCCTCTGGAGCCCGGGGAAGGCAGTTTTTGCCCTCCCAGAGGCTCGAGGAAAGCCTTCGGAGCCTGAGGAAGGCAAAAATGCACATACACCCCGCCACCGTGGTGCAGGAGGCCGACTAGGCCACGCCCACCAAGGCCATGCCCACCCAGCAACCGGCCAGAGAACCCGTTGCTGAAATTTTGGAAGCCCACCCCTGGTGCTAGGGCTGTTTCTGAAGAAGGCTATACATCATACACAGGGAAACAAGCCTTGTGACGTTCATAACAAGAAAACTGGAGAAAATTCTTGGGCGCAGCTGCAAACATTTACCTGATTGTTTGATGGTTAATGTCTTCCATTGTGAAATTATAAACCTCCGAAGACTCATCCGATTGCCGTCCAAAGGCTGTCCGCATAAGACTGCCATACATCGGAAGAGAAATTAGCTGAATCCTTATCTCAGAATCTGGGGAATTGTTATCCTAAGGGCAGAAGTGAGATTAAGAAAAAAAAACAGTTATATCCATTAAGATAATCATTGAACAAAATATGAAGGATGCAGAGGGTTTTTTTTGGTCACCACATTACAAAAAAAGATGTTGAGACTCTGGAAAAAATGCAAAGAAGAGCAACTAAGATGATTAAAGGCCTGGAGACTAGAACATATGAAGAACGGTTGCAGGATTTGGGTCTGGCTAGTCTAAAGAAAAGAAGGACTAGGGGGGACAGGATAGCAGTATTCCAGTATTTGAGGGGCTGCCACAAAGAAGAGGGGGTCAACTTAGAAAGCAGGACAAGAAACAATGGATGGAAACTAATTAAGGAGAGAAGCAACCTGGAATTAAGGAAAAAATTCCTAACAGTGAGGAAAATTAACCAGTGAAACAGCTTACCACCAGAAGTTGTGCGTGCTTCATCACTGGAGGTTTTTAAGAAGGGACTGGACAGTTACTTGTCCATAATGGTATAGGGCCGTGATGGCGAACCTATGGCACGCGTACCACAGGTGGCACATGGAGCCATATTGGTGGGCACGCAAGCGTTGCCCTGGCTCAGCTCCAGCATATATGTGTGCACTGGCCAGCTGATTTTTGGGCCTTTTGAGCCCACCGGAAGTCGGCGAAGGGCTGTTTCCGGCTTCTGGAGGGCCTGCAGGGAGGTGGGGAAGGCTGTTTTCACCCTCCCCAGGCTCCTAGAAAGTCTCTGGAGCCTGGGGAGGACAAAAAACGGGCCTACCAGGCTCATGCCATCACATGCCAAAAGCAGGGGGGAGCATGGGGGGGGTCACACACACACATACGTGCGGGGGGCAGAACCAGTTCGGTAACATCATATCGTCACCGTTACCGGCTCAGGAGAACCAGGCCGAACCGGGAGAAACCCACCACTGGTGGTTACCCCTTAACAGCTACTACTAGCATGATTTATAACCATAATTTTTTGCTCAGTTATGGTTATAAGGACCTGCAAGGTACATAAATTGAAAACAAACTTGTTTCTATGATGTTATTCTGTACTATTCTTTTTAAATTCTGTTGCACTGATTTTAAAGTTAAAGAAGAAGAAAAATATGCAAAGTATGATATATTGCAATTCTAATTCAATAAAACGCTTTTTAATCAGTTGAGTCAATGGATTAATTGGCCTGGTGAGTCAATTGATTGACTCAATCAATCAATCAATTTTTTTTTGCCAATTAATACATTGATTTAAAAAGCATTCAATTAATTAAGAGAGGTACATCCAATTAGTTAAGATTTTTTTAAAAAAACTGCTGATTATTTTGATTTCAGCAATGTGTTTATTGGCCGCCTTTAATTGAGTACAAATATATCGAATCATTTAAAAAAAGGTATCAATTAAGCAAAAAGGTTCTTCAAAACTGCTGATGACTCCAGTATGAAAACATTACAAAATAAAACAAACCTACGGTGGTAGCTCATTCATCAATAATCATTCAAGCATAAATATCACAAAATCAATTGTAGCAGTAAAGGTTACGCTTATACAAGATGTTATTCGAAATCAAGTCAACCCTTAAGAAACGCTCAAGTCTCCATTTACGCTAATATGGCTGCGATCTTTAGAAGGGGAAAAAATATACATAAATAATGTCAGGCGTTTAAGAATCAGGACCAAATCTGAAGTTCCAGTCAAGCTGATTTATTGCTCGTGCCTATAAACACGAATCTAGTCAACTAACCGTCAGTATTACATTGGTGCTAGATAGGAGTTAATAGAATTCAAAAGAAATTGGATTTAGACCGCTTGTGATACCATAGTGACTCTAAACAGGTAATTCTGTTGTGTCCTGTCAGCCGCAAGCCCCTCCAGCAGCCAAATCAGAAGAGGAGGAGGCATGGGAGTCAGAGTCAACATCAAGGCAACCTGGGAGCTCCGAGGGGAAAGAGGGAATGGAGCTGGCAGAGAGAGAGAGAGACAGAGGCGGAGTCTGGGCCGTCCGTCAGCCCTCAGATGGAGAGTCAACAGCCCCCAGGTCTGGAGGTGGCTGATGAGGAAGGGGAGGAACAGCTGGGTCCAGTGCCTGATGTGCGGAAGCGCAAAAGGCAGAGGAGAGGAGAGCAGTGGAAATCTATGGGCCAGTCCTTGGGATGGAAAAGCCACCGCTGCAGTGGTGGGTTGCCCCCGGTTCGCACCGGTTCTATAGAACCGGTAGTAAAACCAGCGGGAGGCTCTGCCCACCGACCCCGACGTCATCAAATCGCTTCTACGCATGTGCAGAAGCTTCTGCGCTTGTGCAGAAGAGCATGGGCACATGTGAGCGAACTGAGCGCGTGCACGCGGCCCACTGCGAACCGGTAGTAAAGCAGTGGTGGATTCCTCCTGGTTCCACCAAGTTCCGCCGAACCGGTAGCGTTGGCGATATGATGTCACTGAACCGGTTCTGCCCCCCAGGCCAAAGAACCGGTAGTAAAAAATTTTAGAACCCACCCCTGAAGTAAACCCCTGTAGTAAAGGTAAGTAGAACCCACCCCTGCACGGCTGATAGCGAAACCCCACCCTAGGTCTGAAGATAAAAGGCAGGGGGCGGAGATGAATAGATGTGGCAGACAACTACTCATCTCCCTGCCGGACAGACTTGTTAGCCTGCGTTGAGAGAGAAGCTTTTTGCCGGGGCTGCTGGCGCTCCTACTAAAGGAATTGTTAATTGTACAGAGGGGTTTGTCGTGTTTGGGGAGCTGGGTCAGAACAAGTTCTCAACATACAACGATTCTTTTAGTAACTGTTCAAATAGACAACAGTACTGAAAAAAACTGACTTATGACAGTTTTTCACACTTACAACCACTGTAGCATCCCCATGGTCATGTGATCAAAGTTTAGATGCTTGGCCAACTGGGATGTATTTACGACGGTTGCAATGTCCCGGGTTTTGCGACCTTCTCACAAGCGAATGGGGAAGCCAGATTCCCTTAAGAACCGTGTTACTAAATTAACAACTGGAGCGATCCACTTATTTATTTATATATTTATTCAATTTATATCACCGCCTATTCGCCCGTAGCGACTCAAGGTGGCTTACAGAATACAAAACCTCATTTAAAACAATAAAACTAATAAAAAAAAATCAAATAAGTTAATATAATAAAATAAAATCAACCCCCACCATGCCCCCCCCCCCAGCTCCATTTTTGCTGGCAGAGGGCTGCAGGAGGCCATTGCAGCCAAAAACTGGGAGGGCTGTCATGTCTGTCATGTGTTGTGTGATTAAGGAGTTTTTAGTATATGCTGACTTCTGTTTTATGGATGTACTCTGTTACTCTCCTGCCTGTCTGACTTACAGAGTAGCTGTTACAATCCTTACGCTGTATGTTGTAGATAACACTTGTTTTTATTTCTTGAGCTATCGGGCAGGGGTGAAATCTACTTGCTTTCCCTACCGGTTCAGAAGTGCACGCACCGCCCGCGTCACGTGAGCGCACAGATCCTCTGTGCATGCACAGAGGGTAAAAAACAGGTTACTTCCTGATTAAAACCAGGAAGTAACAACAACCGGGCGGGTAGGCGGAGCCTCGCACTGCCATCGCTACTGGTTCTCTAGACCACCCGCCGCCATTGCTACCAGTTCGGCTGAACCGGTCCGAACCGGTAGCATCTCACCCTTGCTATCGGTTCTTTTAGTTAATTTATAAAGTTTCGGAGTGCTTTAGTTGATTTGTGTGCTACGGTGATGCTGTGTGATTCAAATAGTCTGTTGGTTCTTTCTGAGATATTTTTGATGTATGGTAGTATCTTTTTCATAGCTCTGTTGGTTGTGCTATAGTGCGGTGTGACGTCAGGCACTTTTTGATAATGATTTTTTGGGAGTAGTACCATATAATTATATACCAATGGAAAGATAATTTAATCAAGAATGTAATGTAACAAAGGTTGTTCAATTATCTGTATTCTATGAAAAATTATGGCCAAATAACCAGAAAAAGGAAGCACAACTTGCTTATGTTGATATCAGGTAGCCTTCCTTCATCTGATTGTAGCCAATGAGCATGAGTGTTTAGAGAGCCAATCAGGTGTCATCTTGTTTTGGCAATGAGCCAATCAGATCACAGTAGGATTCAGTTATTGATGTCATGTATTGAAGCTGAGAAGAGGACATTTGTCAGTGCGTTATGACATCGCTATCAAGTTGATTGGGGTTTTTTTGTGTTCTTTCATTTAGTGAGCTAGTAAAATGTAATAAAATTAAAGTAATGGTGCAAAGAGTTGACTGGTCGCCCAGAAAGGGATGTAAAATAGTATTATTAAGTGAACAAGGCTACAGTTATAAAGAAATTAGAAGAAAAATTGGTGGAAACTCAACCAAAGGTGGCAATTCTAAGTTTTTGGAGAGGTATAAGGAGACTCAGTCATCTTCAAATTTCTAGGTTCTACCAAATCTCAAGACCTAAAATGGACACCCAACATCAAAAACATCATCAAAAAAGCACAAGAAAGAATGTTCTTTCTGTGCCAACTCAGAAAGCTCAAACTGCCCAAGGAGCTGCTGATTCAGTTCTACAGAGGAATTATTGAGTCTGTCATCTGCACCTCTATAACTGTCTGGTTTGGTTCTGCAACCCAACAAGACAGACACAGACTTCAGAGGATAATTAGAACAGCAGAAAAAACAATGGCTACCAACCTGCTTTCCATTGAGGACCTGTATACTGCACGAGTCAAAAAGAGGGCTGTGAAAATATCTACAGACCCCTCACATCCTGGACATAAACTGTTTCACTGCACACCAGAACAACTAGACACAAGAACAGTTTTTTCCTGAACGCCATCACTCTGCTAAATAAATAATTCCCTCAACATTGTCAAACTATTTACTAAGTCTGCACTACTATTAATCTTCTCATCGTTCCCATCCACTCCACTCCACTCCACTCCACTCCACTCCACTCCACTCCACTCTACTCTACTCTACTCTACTCTACTCTACAAAACCACACTGGTAAAGGCAGGAAAAGGTGCACAACAACAAGTGATGACAGAAGAATTAAGAGACTGTGCCTACATGACAGAAGAAAATCATATAGGTGTATACAAGATGAAATGGCGCAATGCAATGTGAAGTTGAATGCAAGGACTGTTTGGCGCAGACTGCAGGAATTTGGCCTAAAATCTAGAATTCCACGGAAAAAAGCCACTTTTATCTCTCAAACAAAGGTTGAAAAGCATTATATTGGTTATATTGGTTAAAATATCTTTCCATTGATATATAATTTTATGCTACTAGTCCAAAAAAAAAAAAAGTGGTGTTATTAGTCATCAAACGTCAAAAATACACTTTTCCCAAAAGTTTCCCACCGTTTTGGCCACTAATGTAGGAGGAAGAGCAAAGGAATTTTAGTTTCTTTTATTGTTTGAATTTTAATCTGGACTTGATGTTGCTTATTGCTGTGAACCGCTCTGAGTCCTTGTGGAAAAAGGGTGGCATATAAGTCCGATAAAACAAACAAACAAACAAACAAACAAACAAACAAACAAACAACAAAGGAGGTGGTTTTTCTTGGCTTCCCCTTTTCCCTTCTATCTAAAATGAAAAACCCTACATTTTGTATCTCCTTAACTTTATGACTGCTCTGAACCCACCAAAGATACCCATATACCAGTGGTGAAATCCAAATTTTTTACTACCGGATCTGTGGGCGTCGCTTGGTGGGCATGGGGAGGCTTGGTGGGCATGGCAGGGGAAGGATACTGCAAAACCTCCATTCCCACCCATTCCAAGGGAACAATACTGCAAAATCTCCATTCCCACCCCACTCTGGGGCCAGCCAGAGATAGTATTTGCCGGTTCTCCAAACTACTCAAAATTTCTGCTACCAGTTCGCCAGAACCTGTCAGAACCTGTTGGATTTCACCCCTGCCATATACTATACTTGAGGGATATATATACTTGAGGGATATATAAAAAAAAGATTAAATGCTTACAATATAAGCGAAGTGGGATCGAGTGATGATCACAGAGTTTTTACCAGCCACAGTGATACTCAGCGAGCAGCTAGGATCCAACCTTGGCCCGTTAATGTCCACTGGAGTTATTTTCACTTTGAGCAAAACGACGTCTTTGGTACTGCCATCAGTGACTGAAATTTCCATGCTGTCTTCTCCCGAGGATGAGCCATCGTGAAGATAATGCAAGGCGTTCCTGGTGATTTCCTCATAGGTGAAGCTATCACCTTCCCAGAAAGACATGGTAAAAATCAGAATTTTCTCCTTGACATAACAATGAAGATCTCTCTTACTCCTCTACGTAAATCCAGAAACGTGCTTTGGTCTAACTACAGACCTCTCTGTGAATTTACCATATTGACTCTGAATGAAATAAGGAAGCACCAATTTTGTTCGAAGTTGGAATAATACAGTAGGTACAGAAAGGATTTTCCTTGGTTATCCAGAAGTTCGGCTTTAATGGCTAACAATTGAGAAGATTCTCGCTTCATTCATGAAAGCCAGCTGGGAGATTTTGGAGCAATCACCAGGAGACTGTGAATTCTAGTCCGCCTTAAGCACGAAAGCCGGCTGGGAGATTTGGAGCAATCACCAGGAGACTGTGAATTCTAGTCCCGCCTTAGCACAAAAGCCGGCTGGGAGATTTTGGGCTAATCACCAGGAGACTGTGAATTCTATTCCCGCCTTAAGCACGAAAGCCGGCTGGGTGATTTTGGAGCAATCGCCAGGAGACTGTGAATTCTAGTCCCACCTTAAGCACGAAAGCCGGCTGGGAGATTTGGGCTAATCACCAGGAGACTGTGAATTCTAGTCCCACCTTAAGCACGAAAGCCGGCTGGGAGATTTTGAGCTAATCACCGGAGACTGTGAATTCTAGTCCCGCCTTAAGCACGAAAGCCGGCTGGGTGATTTTGGAGCAATCGCCAGGAGACTGTGAATTCTAGTCCCACCTTAAGCACGAAAGCCGGCTGGGAGATTTTGGGGCAATCATCAGGAGACTGTGAATTCTAGTCCCGCCTTAAGCACGAAAGCCGTCTGGGAGATTTTGGAGCAATCACCAGGAGACTGTGAATTCTAGTCCCACCTTAAGCACGAAAGCCGGCTGGGTGACTTTGGAGCAATCACCAGGAGACTGTGAATTCTAGTCCCGCCTTAAGCATGAAAGCCGGCTGGGTGATTTTGGAGCAATCACCAGGAGACTGTGAATTCTAGTCCCACTTTAAGCATGAAAGCCGGCTGGGTGATTTTGGAGCAATCACCAGGAGACTGTGAATTCTAGTCCCACCTTAAGCATGAAAGCCGGCTGGGAGATTTTGGAGCAATCACCAGGAGACTGTGAATTCTAGTCCCGCCTTAAGCACGAAAGCCAGCTGGGTGACTTTGGGTGGAAAGAGGAAAAGAGTACGCAAATTCAAATTGCTGGTTGTTATCTTTAAAGCCACATCAATCAGATGGCTCAACCCACGTTTCACCATTCTTTTCTTACATCAACCCAGTACCTCAGGATTGGAAGAGTTTTAATATTCTTGAGTGAAGGAATGGAATGGAATGATCCAGTGGTGAAATTCAATTTTTTTTACTACTGGTTCTGTGGGCGTGGCTTGGTGGGCGTGGCAGGGGAAGGATACTGCAAAATCCCCATTCCCACCCCACTCTGGGACTAGCCAGAGGTGGTATTTGCCGGTTCTCCAATCTACTCAAAATTTCTGTTACCGGTTCTCCAGAACCTGTCAGAATCTGCTGGATTTTACCCCTGGAATGATAATAGGTTTTACCCATGTCAGTTGGAAATTATGGAAGCTGAAATCTAGGTTTTAGATTTTAAATCTAAATTCGATCCTCTAAGTACCATATATCTGAAGATCTTCAAGTTTGGGAAAGTTGAGTGATTTTTAACACCATTCCATCACTCACTACATAAATAAAACATTTGCAAGTAAGTACAAGTAGGACTTACTTAATGGACACTCTGTTTAGCAACCATTACAACAGTGCTGGAAAAGTAACTTTACAACTAGTCCCCACATTTATGGTGGCTGCAGAATCCTACCGTCCTGTGATTGCCCTTTGCATGCTTTGCAACAGCCTTCTGATAAACAGAATCCATGGAGAAGCCGACATTAAAATCACAAGTCATGGTCATGTGATGTCTCACTTAATGACCTGTGGTGACTCACTTAAAGTCAAGACGGACTGGCACTTTCATCTATATTCTGCTTCGCTTGCAGCTTGACAAAATGAGGGAGGGGATGAAATGGAATGCAAGGGTGGGAGGAATAGCATCCGAGCATGGTCGGTTCCTGGGAGACACTGCTCTCCCCCTCAAGGACACCCCGAACAGATGTCCCAGAGTGGCCGGCTGGTTCCCATAACAAAATGAACAGAAGTGATTGATGGATGTAATGGTCTGTGGGTGGCCCATAGGGAAATGGGGGGTGGGGGGTGAACTATGCTTGCTTTTGCGCGGGAAGCCCAGAGCTGGTTTCACTTCTTCTGTGCCAATGTGGTTTATTCAGTAAAGTTTATACTCTTACTAAAATAATGTCCCAGGAGTTTCTTTTTCTGGATTCTCCAATTGGACAGCTGACACTTAACAGAAATAAACCTATTACGGTCAGCTGATGCTTACGACCATGGCACTTTGTGACAGAACTTGCTGTTCCTCATTGTGGTCATTAAGCAAAGACTACCGGTTCGTACCGGTTCAGGAGAACCGGTAGTGGAGATCGTGCCACCCACCTGCCCCGGCTCTATGCCGTCCTATTTAGGGATGTTTTCGAGGCTAGGCGCATGCACGGAAAGCTGGGCGCATGTATGGAAGGTGCGCACGAAGCGAGCATTTGCATGCAGAGCGAACCGGTGGTAAGTATATTGGAAACCCACCACTGACTACTGGTAAGCATTCGTGTTGCACTTCAGTGGATTTTTGCTTCTTCTTAACGGGCGTGTCTTTTCACCTAAAAGGTCCCAGACAAAACAGTACGAGAAACTTCCCCCAAACTTACCTGTTGCCATGTAGACTGGGAATCCGGAACCGTGTCTGAGAAGAGCTCCGTGGTGAGGAGGTTCTACCACTTCAAAGAAGAGATCCTCAGCAGCAATGGGCCCGTCACTCAGTGTCAGCTTTATTCCTTAACCATCCAAATATAGAGATGGAGGAAGCAAAATATATTTAGATGTATAGCCTCTGATCTCCAAGGGAACTGCAATTTGTAAGCAGGTGAGGAGAGCGTGGATAGGGGAGTCGGTGGCATTTCAGGTATTTAAAAACGCATTTAAAAACTTGGGTTATAACGTTGATCAAAACGTCTGGTATGCTATTGAGCAATAACGGTACAGGTAGTCTTCAACTTATGACCACTCGCTTAGTGACTTTGGGGTTATGACAGATCCCCCAAAAGGTGTTAAGCCCTGGGGAAATCAGGAGATTCAGGCAGTTCAAATGAGCATAATGATTTCTTGCAAGCTTAAACTCTCTACAAGAATCTGAACTACTGACAGTCAAGGGGAATGAGCAGGAGATAAGAAAGGCATAAAAGGTGGGCTGGACTTAGATCATTTGCAGGCACGTAGGGAATCGTGACTGATGATGCATTTGACCCTTCCCTCAGGCTCAGCCTGGTCATCTCCTATCATAGATACATACAACCTGCTTCCAAAATCCAACACCAGCCTACCCCCCCACCCCACAATCATGTGACATTTCAGGTGCTTAGAAACCAGCTCATATGTTGTGACTCCGACTCCCGAGCCTGTCCTCATGGAGGAAGAGGACTCAGAAGGTGAGGGGGAGGAACTGACAAGGCCTCCCTCTCCTCTCTGGCAATGCCTCAGGTTCCATCCGAAGGCCAGGAGGTACAGCCTGGGATGGGCCAGGAGGAAGGCATTTCGGAGCACCCATTGATAGAGAGTGATAATGATGAATCCTGGCTTGATCCCAGGCAGCGTCGAAGGGAGAAGCGTGCGCAGCAAAGGAAGAGGCGTGGGCCATGGATTGAGCTGAGTCACTGAGCCACGCCCCACAAGGGATAAAAGGGGGTGTGATTGCTCGGCAGGCTTTGTGACGGACAAACGTTTAAACTCTAAAGAGTCACATCGTGAATTTCGGCTCAGATATATTTTGGCTAAACTCTTGTGGATAATTTGTCGCTCTGGAAACGGACTGCAGATAAGGCCTCTCCTGCTTTTTGGGAGTACTAATTGGACTGGGCAGGCATTTTACAGTTAGCTGCCAGAACTCTCGTCTGCCAGGAATTCTGGTCTGTTTATACAATAAATTATTGGCAGGAGTGTTTGATATTGCATTTGTCTGTGTGAAGACAGGGGACAGAACATCATATTTATGGCTCTTTACAACCTCCCACAGTCATCTGACTGCCATTCATGATGGTTTTTACGACTGGCATTTACTTCTGGTTTTAGCAAATCAGGGGTTTGTTTAACAACCGCAATGTTTGCTTAAAGACTACCACCAAAAACAACAGGTTGCAAAATTGGATCAGTCTGTTGTGGCCCCGCCCTCTGAGCCTGTCCCATCGGAGGAAGAAAGCTCCGAGCATGAGGAAGAGGAGTCAGCCAGGCCTCCCTCTCCAGGCCCCTCCCTTCTGGCATTGTCTCAGGTGCCGGCCGAGGGAGAGGAGATTAGCAGGGAGACAGGTGGCTCGGATCAGAGTGACGAAGAAACATCATTCCTGGACGCACGCCTCCGAAGGCGTGATAAACGATTGCAGCAGCTTAGGAGGCGTGCTAGGGATTAGAACTGAGTCACTGGACCACACCCCAGAGACTATATAATAGAGGGTGGTGGTCAGGGATCCTTGTGACGAACAAAGCAAACCTTGAATAGTCACTAAAGCCTCGTCTGGAATTGCTGAGAGAAAGATTTCTTGTTGGACATTTGGACTCTTGAGTATTTATCTTTCTGTTTTACTGTGAAAATAAAGGCACTTGGCAGACGGTGTGTCTATCGCTGCCAAGTGGGAGATAAAGAAACTGGGTGCGTTCCAAAGTTTTTCCTTAACCCTCGGCTGGCTGTGTTTGTGTGTGTGTGGGTACGGGGACAGATCACAGTCATGGGGGTAGTCCACTTTGCAATCATCTTGACTTAAGACCATAATGGGAATGTATCATTACGGTCATTAAGTGGAGGACTACCTGTAGAAGGGCAGATTTCCTAATAACAGAGTAACAGAGTTGGAAGGGACCTTGGAGGTCTTCTAGTCCAACCCCCTGCTCAAGCAGGAGTGCCTATACCCGTGATGGCGAACCTATGGCACGCGTGCCACAGGTGACAGGCGGAGCCAAATCTACGGGCACACGAGCATTGCCCTAGCTCAACTCCAGTGTGCATGCACGCGCTAGCCAGCTGATTTTGGGGCCTTCTGGGCCCATTGGAAGTCGGGAAAGGGGCTGTTTCCAGCCTCCGGAGGGGCTCCGGGGGTGGGGAGGTGGGGAAGGTCGTTTTCACCCTTCCCAGGCTCCTAGAAAGCCTCTGGAGCCTGGGGAGGGCTAAAAATAGGCCTACCGGGCCCACCATGCCATCGTATGCCAAAAGCGGGGGGAGTGCGGAGGGGTCACGTGCGCATGTGTAGGGTGCATTGAATTATGGGTATGGGCACATGCGCGCACAACCCCCCCACTCTCCCCCTGCTTTTGGCACGCGACGGCAAAAAGGTTAGCCATCACTGGCCTATACATTCCAGACAAATGGTTGTCCAATCCCTTCTTAAAAACCTCCAGAGCACCCACAACTTCTGGACTCGTTCCACTGATTAATTGTTCTAATTGTTAGGAAATTTCTCCTTATTTTTAGGTTGGTTTTATCCTTGGTTTGTTTCCATCCACTGTTTTTTGTCCTGCCTTCAGATGCTTTGGAGAAGTTGAGGCGAAAACAGCCTTTCTCACTCTCTCGGAGGCCCTCCAAAGGCCTGAAATGGCCCATTTCCCAACTCCCAGTGCAACAGGAAGTGACATTTTTTGCTGTCCCCAGCTTCCAGAGCCTCTTTAGGAGTCTCTAGGAGTCTCTGGAGGCTGGGGACAGCAAAAAACATCACTTCCTGTCCCACCGGGAGTTGGGAAATGGGCCCTTTCAGCCTCCGTAGGGCCTCCAAGGGAGTGGGAAAGGCTGTTTTCACCCTTCCCAGATAAATAGAGAGGATCTGGAACCAGGTAAGAAAGAAAAACGGGCCTTCCCCACCCACTCACCCTGGCCCTCCAGAGGCAGGAAACATCCTGTTTCCCTACTTCTGGTGGGCCCAGAAGGCCCGAAAATCAGCTGGCCGGCGCGCGCATGCGCCCCAGAGCTGAGCTGGCGTGCCCACTAATATGGCTCCGTGTGCCACCTGTGGCACACGTGCCATAGGTTCGCCATCATGGCCTTAGCATATTGCTGCAATTAATTGATTGATTGGTTTGAACAGTCTGAATGAACCAATCAGAGCATAGCTTCCTGGCTCTGAGTTTCCCGCGCTTTCCAACGGTCAGTTGAGGCGCATATAAGCAGCAGCAGCAGATCACTTGCGTAGACGCTGACCAGATGATGAAGCAGAGATGCCTAGCAGATGAGGAAGAGACCACTTCACTCACACACGCAGCAGATTGCTGAGAGCTGATTACTTCTCCTCCCTCTCCTCACTCCGAGACCAGATGGGACTTTGATGAGAACATGCTGAAGTCACTACAAAGAGCTGAGTCACTGCCTTGCTCCTGAGAAGACTGACAAAGAACCGAGAGCCTCCCACGCTTGGGAAGAAGATAAGAGCTAATGGACTTTGCTGAGAGGAGAATCTTGTAGGCCGTTGATGCCTTCTTGTAGTTTTGTTTTTATGTGTTTTTATTAAAGTAATTTTTCAAGACTCCTCTGTCAACTTCCATGCTTCAGTGCGTTTGTGTGCGTATTGGGCCATGGTCCATTCGAACCCAGAACCCCTTCTTCACAGAACATTTTTATATATATATATATATAAAGTAAAGGTAAAGGTTCCCCTTGCACATATGTGCTAGTCGTTCCCGACTCTAGGGGGCAGTATTCATCTCCGTTTCAAAACCGAAGAGCCAGCACTGTCCGAAGATGTCTCCGTGGTCATATGGCTGGCATGGTCATATGACTAAACGCCAAAGGCGCACGGAACGCTGTTACCTTCCCACCAAAGGTGGTCCCTATTTTTCTACTTGCATTTTTTTGCGTGCTTTCAAACTGCTAGGTTGGCAGAAGCTGGGACAAGTATAAGGGATAAGGAGCCTTGGTAGTACAGTGGTCTAAAGCACCCTGTCATTAAGACCAGCTGCCTGCAATTACTGCAGGTTCGAATCTCGCCAGGCTCAAGGTTGACTCAGCCTTCCATCCTTTCTAAGGTAGGTAAATTGAGGACCCAGTTGTGGGGGCAATAAGCTGACTTTGTATAAATATATAAAAGGATGAAGGCTATTGCTTAGCACATTGTAAGCCGCCCTAAGTCTCCGGAGAAGGGCGGCATATAAATCAAATAAAAAAAAAAAAAATGAAAAAAAAAGTAACAGGAGCTCACCCCATTACGCGGCATTAGGGATTCGAACCGCTGAACTGCCAACTTTTAAATTGGCAAGCTCAGCGTCTTAGCCACTAAGCTACCGCGTCCCTTTATATATAGTGGTGCCCAAACCGGATGATAATGAACATCACTATTCAAAATCATTATATAAACATGTGAAGTTGGATTCATTGATCGAATATTCCCTTGGGAAACCAAAGAGGGTTGCATTGGTTGATATATTTCTGTTTAAATATGACCTTCCTGTGTCAGCCTAAAATAAAAACTATCTTAGGTAAAAACTAGATCACCCATTATGCTTCCACGCAAAAGGATTCAAAGTCACAAAGATCCCATGCAGAGTTATGTCTCCAGGTGGATTTCTTCAATTACGTTTCATGTCTTCCTCTCTTCGCCGATGTCCACAGCAAAGTGGGTTCCCAGACCCTTTTTTATCAATGTTTAATTCCTCTACTGAACATTCGGTTCCTGGACTGGTGCCAAGTAATTTATGGGAAGTCCCCTAATTGAACTGCTACTGTTTATGAATTATAAATATAGCGTAGTGGGTACCTGAAGCCCATTGATGAACTAGTCTTTTTTTCCCCTTACCAATAGCAGCTCTGCCTCCTTGGCTGACCTCGAGCACCGGAGTAGTAATCTGGAACAATGGAGGCTCTACATCAGTGGAAAGTAAGTGGATGGTAAACGCCATCTCGGGACTTATATGTTCTCCATCCGACACTGAAAGAAATGACTGGAGTGAGTATGTTGCATAAAAGAATCAGGCTTAAAATTATTCCTTCCTTATATGGATGGGAAAGATTAGCTGAACTCTAAAATGTTGGTGTTGTGGCCTGTCGGCTGCCGGCCCCTGCGGCAGCCGAATCAGAGGAGGCGGCGGAGTGGGAGTCGGGGACAGCATCAAGGTAATCTGACAGCTCCGAGGGGGAAGAGGGAATGGAGCTGTCAAAGATAGAGACAGAGGCGGAGCCTGGGCCATCCATTGGCCCCCAAGTGGAGAGTCAACAGCCCCCAGGTCCAGAGGTGGCTGATGTGGAAGAGGAGGAACAGCTGGGTCCCGTGCCTGACCCACGGATGCGCAGAAGGAAGAGGAGAGGAGAGGAGCGGGACTCTATGGGCTGGTCCTCGGGACGGAAGAGCCACTGCTGCTAGTTAAGCCCCACTCTAGCTCTGGGAATAAAAGGCAGGGGACAAAGACGAATAGGTGTGGCAGACAACTATTCGTCTCCCTGTCGGTCAGCCACTGATAGTCTGAACTTCTGTATCCTGTCTGGAACTGTATCGGAAGTCTTTCTTGGAATCTGCGGCGCTGAGAGCCGAGTGCGCCTTCGGAGTGTGTGTATGTATGTCTCCGCTGCTGGAAAAAGAGCGGGCGCACCTTCCATAACTTCCGTTACGTGTGTGGTGAGTGAGAGAGACTCCTGGTGTGTTAGAGCCATTTGAGGGGGAAAGGGAGCGAGCTTTGCTTTCCACAGACACTTAAAAGACTTCGTTAGCCTGCTGAGAGAGACTTTTTGATGGGGTTGCTGGCGCTCCTAATAAAGGGAACGTTTAGTTAAAAAACCACCATGCTTGTCATGTTTGGGAACCTGGTAAGAACAGTTGGGCTTGACTCATAAAGCCTCAGTGTCAGCCTTCCCAGGTAAACCAGACAGGAAACACGGTAAGGTGAACTAATTCTACTTTATTGTTAAGGCTATATCCAGAGGTGGTATTCAGCCGGTTCGCTCCAGTTCTGGTGAACTAGCAGCGGTGATCGCGGGTGGGCCTGCCCACTCCCCCGGCTCCAAGTCATGCTATTTAGGAACATTTTGGAGGCTGGGTGCATGCACGGAAGGTGCACGAGCGAGAAAATCGTATGCGCGGACGGCTGGGTGCATATGCAGGCAGCGGGCGCGCGCAAAGCGAGCAGGCGTGCGCGGGAAGAACCAGTGGTAAGGGTAAGTGAAACCTACCCCCGGCTATATGAACAGAATCTTGCAAGTCTGAAAGTACAGATCTCCCACCGTCACTTTTTACCGCCTGATAAGTTAAGATGGGTCTTTTCTAAGTTTCTTTCTCTGCCTCTTATTCAGTTGCAAGCTCCTTCCCTATGTAGCTGATCCTTCTTCTACTTCCTTCTTGCAAGGCCATTCTCATATTCCATTATACCCAATAACATTAAAGGAGTTCTAGGCAAGACCACCCATAGCAAAATTTCCAGGTTTAGCGACTAGGTTGTAGTCCTGCCTTAGGTATGAAAGGTGACTTTGGGTTAATCACCAGGAGATGGTGAGTTCTAGTTCCACTTTAGGCATGAAAGGCAGCTGAGTGACTTTGGGCCAATCACCAGGAAATGGTGAGTTCTAGTTCCACTTTAGGCATGAAAGCAGCTGGGTGACTTTAGGTTAATCACCAGGAGATGGTGAGTTCTAGTTCCACTTTAGGCATGAAAGGCAGCTAGGTGACTTTGGGTTAATCACCAGGAGATGGTGAGTTCTAGTTCCACTTTAGGCATGAAAGGCAGCTAGGTGACTTTGGGTTAATCACCAGGAGATGGTGAGTTCTAGTTCCACTTAACTTTAGGATGAAAGGCAGCTGAGTGACTTTGGGCCAATCACCAGGAAATGGTGAGTTCTAGTTCCACTTTAGGCATAAAAGGCAGCTGGGTGACTTTGGGTTATTCACCAGGAGATGGTGAGTTCTAGTTCCACTTTAGGCATGAAAGGCAGCTAGGTGACTTTGGGTTATTCACCAGGAGATGGTGAGTTCTAGTCCCGCCTTAGGCACAAAAGCCAACTGGGTAACTTTGGGCCAGTCACTCTCTTTCAGCAAAATTCACCCCTCTTATTTTATGGGGAAAATAAAAAGAGGAAAGAACACTGGGTATGTTCGTTGCCTTGAATAATTTATAAAAATAATAAAGGTGGGATAAAAAATAAATTTAATGTTATCTAGTTGGGTAATGAGGTATCTGCAAGCAAATAACCAAGCTTAGAGAGCATCAAGGACTCCGCAGTGTTTGATCTATCACCAAGCCTCCTATTTCAACACTACATTTTATGTTTATTAGGTGGTCCCGGGGTCTTCAAAATAGATAAAACTAAGTATAAATACACACTTTGAGTGATGTGCAACCAATATCCACATACCTGTAAAACGAAAGTTAATCGATTCTGGAAGACCTAGAGGAGATAAAAAGATTAGGAAAACACAATTGTTTGCAGCATGGAGAATCATACAAAATAAAACGAAATCGATTCACTACCCAGGTATGATGTCACAAAGAATTTTTGGAAGGGAAAAGACAAAAGCCCAATTTCCAGTATTTGGAAATGCTGACTGCATTCTCAGTGGATGTGAGACCACAGTTTTTAAGATATCGTATTTATCGGAGTATAAGATGCACCTTTTTCCCCCCAAAAAGAGGGTGAAAATCTGGGTGCGTCTTATACTCCGTATCAGTGGTGAAATGTAAAATTTGTTACTACCGGTTCTGTGGGTGTGGCTTGGGGTGGGTAATATGACTGAGTGGGTGTGGCTAACTTTTTTTTTTAATTTTTAAAACCATTTTTCTACAACCTCTTCGGCTGAAGAGGTTGTAAAAAAATGCTTTAAAGCCTCTGACGATCCCAGCTGACTTGCCTGATTGGCAGAGACTTTCTTTTTTTTTTTAAAGCCTCTGACGATCCCAGCTGACAGGGAATTCTGGGACTTGAAATCCAGAAGTCTTAAAGGTCCCAAGTTTGGAGACGCCTGTATTAGAGGAAGGTGAAACATTTGGATTGTCATAAAAAGACAGTCAATTAACACAGGTAGTCCTCGACTTACAACAGTTCATTTAGTGACCGTTCAAAGTTACAACGGAAACTGAAAAATGTGACTTACAACCATTTTTCACACTGCCATTGCGGCATTTTGGGGGTTTGGGCACTTGGTCCGGAAAAGGTTAACCATTACTGCCCTATACCATTTCAGAAAAATGGTTGTCCAATCTCTTCTTTAAAACTTCCAGTGTTGGAGCATTTACAACTTCTGAAAGCAAGTTATTTCACTGGTTGATTGCTCTCACAGTTAAAAAAAACTTCTCCTGAGTTCTAGGTTGCTTCCCTCCTTGGTTAGTTTTCATCCATTGTTTCCTATCTCGCCTTTTGGTGCAAGAAGTGTTACGGCATTTAGTCTTAAGTTATAGAATGCTAAAAAATGTTAGTCTTAGGGTAGAAATGTCATTTAGATTCATTTTTCAGGGATGCTAGGTGAATGCAGATCACGATGCTTCTGTTGACCCCCCTCTGTTTGGTAGCAAAGGTAATGCCAAGTCCAATATCCTGAAATTTAGGACTCCACAAAAGGAAAGAATGAAGAATAGTTAAAACACCAGCATCTTCGTGACGTGGCAAACCATTCTAGTTTGTTAGGGGACTATTAATTCCATCTTGCAGTGCAACCCACTCATAATTTTCCCGTTCTGTCTAATATATGGCCCTCAGTGATTTGTGGGGCCCAGTGTGTTTCATAACGAAATTTTACAGCAATTATACCACTAATCATCAGATTAGTATCAGTTCATGAATTAACATCAGCTCATGAAATTCCCCGGGCTCCTATCAAATTGCTTGCACCGTTAGGCATTGCTTAGATGTTACACCTTATATGCGTTACAGTCCAAGAAGCTGCTATTTCTACATCTGCAAAAGGAAGAAACATACAAAGCCATCTTCCAATAGGAACTTGCGTGTCTTACCTGCTGTGTTTAGCCTGCCAGCGCCAAATCACAGGGCGCATAATCCATCAAAATGAATGAGAACTCCTCAATTGTTTTTACTGGGTATAGTTAAGGGTTTTTCAGTAGGCGAAACAAAGTTGATATTGTATATGGTGACAGCAGCTAGGTTATTGATTGGTCAATATTGGAAAAGGGATGTTATGCCTACAATTCAAGAATGGACTTTAAAGGTGGCCAGTTTTGCAGAAATGGCGAAGATATCAGCATACTTAAAAGACCAGACTCAAGAGACTTATGCATGGGAGTGGAAGAAATGGATAGATTATGTGCAGAATAAATACCAAACTAGGAAGTATCAGATAGCTTTTAGTTGAATGTTGTGTAGAAATGTATAGTATTTTTTTTTTTTTTTTTTTTTTGTTATGTGGAACTGTGTAGTACACAGGGGAGAGAATATAAGGGTGGTAAAGTATGATATAATATAATGTGGACGGATTTCACCTTGGGGAAGTCATGGGAGCAGGGGAGGGTTAGGGAGGGAAGGCGGGGGGGGGGGAAATGGGAAAATTTGGACTTGTAAAACTTTTTCAATAAAAAAAAAAATGAATGAGAACTGTACTGAAACGAGCTGCCAAAAGCCGGGCATTTTTCAAAAGTACTCCTTTTTTTTTCTTTCATATTTTAAAGATGTATTTTATGTCAGCCTTTGCTATAAACAGGCCTAAGGTACTTAAAAAGAGTTTTTTTCCCCATTGTTAAAATTGTTTTTAAATAAGATCCCCAAAGATCCTGAAGCTTGGACCAGAGCTGCATTTTATCTCCCGTCTTCCTGTTGTGACCTAGGCTTAATGATTTTTAAGACGTCATAGATCCTTACTAGGCATTTGACCTAGCATTCTTCCATGTGCTTCATTGGTTTTCTTATGGCTGGGATCTTAGACCCTTCAAATATTGTTAAAATCTATTGCTCAACCTTCCCACCATTGTCTAGATCAGGGATGTCAAACTCAATTTCATTGAGGGCTTCATCAGGGCTGTGGTTAACCTTGGGGGGCCGGGTGGGTGTGGCCACTTGACGCCACTCACTGGGTGTAGCTGACTGGGTGGGTGTGGCCACCTTGATGCCACTCCCCAAACTGCTGGCATGTTTCGTCTTCGCACTGGGTAGACCGGCCGAAGCCACGCTTCTTTGCATGCACACCTGCCGGGAGGGGATAGACCAGGGGTGAAATCCAGCAGGTTCTGACAAGTCCTGGACAACCGGTAGCAGAAATTTTGAGTAGTTTGGAGAACCGGCAAATATCACCTCTGGCTGGCCCCAGAGTGGGGTGGGAATGGAGATTTTGCAATATTCTTCCCCCAGGAGTGGGGAGGGAATGGGGATTTTGCTGTATCCTTCCCCTGCCACACCACCAAGCCACACCTTACAAGCCACGCCCACAGAACCGGTAGTAAAAAAATTTGGATTTCACCACTGGGGTAGACTGGGACAAAGCGATGCGGGCCGGCCCCTTACATTTTTCAGGACGGCCCCATGGGTCAGATCCGACCACATCGCAGGCCGGATCTGCCCCACGGGCCTTGTGTTTGACACCCCTGGTCTAGATCCATGTTTCTCAACTTCAAAAGATGTGTGGCTTTCAACTCCCAGAATTCCCCAACCAGCCTGTTGACCTCCACTCATCTTCAAGTTGCCGAGAAACACTTTTTAAAGAGAAAGTTAGGGAGTTATGGAAGGGAATCTATGAATGAGTGCTAGTCAGCAGGTTAAATTCTTACCAGCAAAGGAGAATTCCATGAGCTCCTTAATATGGGATGCAGCACTAGGTGGACGATAGACAATTTTGCCATTGTTGATGTCCGTTTGGGTAAAAGCGGCTACCGGGAAGAATGGTTTGTCCCTGTGTTCCACCATGCCTGTTACAATGGAAAGAGAGTTTATTTATTTCTTAGCTAATCTCTGTTCTGACCTAGGCTTCCTTAGAAATTAAACAGCACAAACTTAGTCCCAGCAAACCTCTTTAATTCATACAGAGGAAGGTTATCAACACCCACCTATCTCACGTGGAACGCTGCCAAAGAGCTAATTTTCAGATGCAAGGCAAGGCCAAACTTGGCACAGAGTCACAAACAGAAGTTTCAAATCTTGAATCGTTTAAACTAATTGCTTCCTGCAAAAACACACCTCCCGTTCACTTCTCTTTTATGTCTTATGGGAGGGGCCAATCATCTCCAAGCCTTACTCCCAAGTCGACCCTTTTCCTTAATTGTTTCTGTCTCCTGGCAGCTCTGCACATGCGTGCACTGGGAACAGGCGCACACTGTTCTTCTGCCTCGCTGATGTCAGACTCTGGAGGCAGCAAAGAACTAGCAGATGGCCTTGGCTTCCTCTCTGCCTCCAACTCAGAGCCTTCGTCTGAGCCTTCCCCAGACTCCAGGACTGGCCCATGTTCCTCCCCAACTTCCCCACTGTCCAAATCTACTGCTAGCTCTGCTGGCCACTGGTGGGCCACAACTATTTCAATAGACTATAAACAATTTACAATTGTTAGGTAAGTAAATACAGTAATCAAATATTATACATGAATTCTAACAAATGTGCTTTCTGTAAGACTGCAGTTATGTTCTTCCAATGTGCTGCTGATGTGTCCACAACTTCACAGTGGCTTTGTCCAGAAAACTTAAAACTACATTTGCTTAATAATTGTTGAACCTTCAACCAGCCATTCCATCTCACTTAACATTTGTTGATAAATGAGGCTGATTAACCAGTCAAGATTTCTATGGACTTTAGATGAGGCTAATCAAAACTCAAGGCTTGCGGTGCTCATGGTCACCGAAATCTCTATTACGGAGCTTGTAAATATGAATCTTTGGAACTTGTAAAGTTTGCTTCAAATATGATACGATTAATATGCCCTGCCATTCTTTCCCAATTCAGATTTTAATCCCAGCCATAGCATTCTCTTCCATTCAGCATCTGACACTCAACAGTTCTGCAGAAACCACCTATAGTCCTCCATTCACCATTCTGAGAAGTGCAAAAAGGAGGTATGTGAATTCAAATTTGTGCTCTATTTCCCAGTTTTGAAGGGTAACCATTTTGCTTAATCTGATTAAGATGGAGGCAGACACTTAGCAATAGCAATAACACTTATATACCGTTTCATAGTGCTTTACAACCCTTTCTAAGAAGTTTACAAAATCAGCATATTGCCTCCAACAATCCGGGTCCTCATTTTACCGGCCTCGGAAGAATGGAAGGCTGAGTCAACCTTGAGCCGGTCAGAATCGAACTGCTGGCAGCGGCAGAGTTAGCCTGCAATGCTGCATTCTAACCACTGTGCCACCAGGGCTCCTAGGAATTGCACTTAGACTTATATACCACTTCATAGTGCTTTACAGCACTCTCTGAGTTGTTTACAGAGGCACCATATTGCTCTCAACAATATCGGTCCTCATTTTACTGACCTCGGAAGGATGGAAGGCTGAGTCAACCTTGAGCCGGTCAAAATCGAACTGCTGGCAATCGGCAGAGTCAGCCTGCCATACTGCATTCTAATCACTGCACCACCCCACCTCCTTCGACACTTCAGCTTTGACCAAGGAAAGTTCAATGATTTCCCAAGAATGTGTTAATTTATAAATACTTAATTTATAAATACTTTCAGTATCCCTCAACTGATCCTCCCGGCTGCCTGATTGCCAGCCTACCATTTTCAGTTATAAAAAGAATCACACAGGAAAAAAAATTATATATGAAATGATCTTGCCTTGATTTGGAGGCAAGGGGACAGTCACGTTGTACGTGATTTCTTCACTTGGAGTTTGCGAGTTGACGAAGGACAGTTGATGGGGTTGAATAGGTGTCACACGATCTTCTAATGCCTGAAAGACAGATATTTAGATAGATAAATATGTACTTATACACCATCTTGACTTTTTTGACTATCTTCGCTCTATAGATGGCGCTGGTCCATTTCAATCGCACTTGTGTCGGAAGCACCGAGGCCCTTACAGCAGGGGTGAAATGCTCCCGGTTCGACTGAACTGGTAGCGATGGTTCTCCGGTGGTTCGGAGAACCGGTAGCGAAGGCAGAGCAAGGCTCTGACCACCCGCCCGGTCTTCGTTACATCCTGGTTTTAACCAGGAAGTAACCTGTTTTTACCCTCTGCGCAGGCACAGAAGGGTTTGCGCATATGCAGAGGGTCCCCACGCACGTACGTGGCTTGTGCACTTCCGAACCGGTTGGGAAGGTAAGTAGATTTCACCCTTGCCTTCCAGGTTGAAAGGGTCAGAAGGTGAGATCACTGTTGCCTGGGGGATGCACAGTAGGGCCCATCTTTCATGTCCCTGGCAGGAACTGGAGCGAAGGATGGGAGCTCACCCCTCCCTACAGCAGTACTTGGGTCTCAAACGTGAATTTGCTGCTTGGCAACCCAGCGTCCAAACCACGCGAGCTACGATGCTCCTCAGCTGGTCCATTAAATATACAAAGCTTGTATATACACGAAGTTTGTATAATTCTCTAATAAAAGCATATAGTGCAGCTCTGTTATCAGTGACCCCCAATAAAGAAACATGCATTCTTGGAGAAATATAATTCTGGACTTACCGTCATGTGAAAAGAAGACCTGGAGGAGGACACAGGTGACGCCAGGTGTGGTGGTAAGATGGCAATGTTGAACAGGTGGGTCTCAAGATGGGTCTGTGGAAAGCCTGCACCAGAGACCTGCAAATATGACATTACACAAAGGAAACAGAGGCAGTGAGAATGTATGCATCATGACAGTGCATGTTCCTAGTGCAGTTATGCAGATTATTATGCCACGGTGGCCCAGATCTAAGTACCCCATGGGCCAGATCCACACTCTGGGCCTCGAGTTTGATACCGCTGTGTTAGACCAATAAAATTATAACATCTATAACAGGAACTATTTTATTACAGAGGTGGGATGAAAATTTGATGTTCTGCTGCTCAAATAAATACATAGATAACAAGGCAAAAATAATATTGGCCCTGTCTTTTTTGATATAATTCTTTAAATAATTCGCTTTCTTCTGAAATGTGTGCAATTGATTAAATCAACTCCGCAATATCAGATATCTTAATATGCCGGAGGCGTTGTGACTTCAATTAGGATTAATTTGGAAGTATTTTTAGAACTGAAGCAAAAGAAAAATATTTCTCTTCCCCTACCCTCCCCCCCCCAAAAACAAAGATTTCGTTTTAAAAGCGCTTAAAAAAAGAAAAACCACAGTGAGAAATATAGCTGGGGATGGGGAAACCTTATTATGCAGATTGCTGGCATAATGATATTATGAATTAGAATTAGATGCAAATAAATTATACAAGACAATAATTATGGGATCAATCTTTATATATATCCAATTTTGAAGCTGTAAACTATAAAAATTTCCCACAGAAATCAGAAATATTAAGAAAAAACGCTGCCTATTTATATGATCCTTTACTGTACATTTGTACACAAAAAGAACAGAACTGAAAAGTAAATAAATAAAATTTCCTTCAAATTACACATTATGTCAAACAAACTTGTTAGAATCATCCCCTGTGTACGTTTGACTGAGATTTTAAGGTATTTCTAAAGCTCTCTTAATCTAGCACATAAACTACTAAAACATATACATATTTTCATCCCCATTTTTCCTTCTTGGACATTGCCAAAAATCAGAAAACTAAGGTAAACCACAGCATTACTGATTCATTACTAATTACTTGACATTACTAATTTATGACTATTACTAATTATGATTGGTTTTATAATATTGTGGTATTGGTTTTTAGAAGATTTATTTCTGATAGCATATCAGAATTCAAGAATTATCGTGCCTGTGGCGGCCCGAGAGCTCTGCCAGCAAAAACGGGCTCCTGAGTTCCGTTTTCGGCTGCGACAGCCTCCTGCAACCCTCTGCCAGTGAAAACAAGAGGCAGACCAGTCCTTCACTGTTTCCAGGGTAGCCCCATGGGCCAAATCTAAGAACCCCGCGGGCCGGCTCCAGCACCCGGCCCTTGAGTTTGAAACCCCTGGTATAAACCACCCATAAACCATCCTCTGGAGTATGTGGCTACAATAAATGTAATACATGACCAATAAATAAATAAACACCACCGTAGTGCCTTATCAGAATGCATCCTACAACCCACACACGTCCCACAGCAGATACGCGGCTATGCCGATAGAAGAATTGATAGAAGATTTCAGAAGGGCTTCCCCAAGGAACGACAGAGAAATCAATAAATGGCAACATGGAGAAACCATCCTCTTACGCGATGTGAAAGAAATGTAGCACGGAATATTTCCTCCCTCAAAAAAGAAGCGAGAGATCTCAACCTATAGAGTTTCCTAGACCGTTGTCAAGATTCGGTCAAGCGGACCCTTGGGGGAAAGGGAAAGTAAAGTAAATGACAGATCTGTAACTGAGCTTGGGGAAGATCTATTCTGCGAGCGGTCGCTGGAAACGCAGTTCCCAGAATATTAATTTTTAAAAAATCATCCATCTGCATTTTCTCAGCAGTCACTAGCTATTCATCTGCGGCCTGACAGATAGGTTATTGTTTTGTGATACACACAGCTTCACTCCAACTCCCTACACACACACACATACATACACACCAAGAGCCTTGATAGTACAGTGGTCTAAGCACCCTGTTATTAACACAGCTGCCTGCAATTACTGCTGGTTCGACTCTCTCCAAGGCTCAAGGTTGACTCAGCCTTCCATCCTTTCTAAGGTAGGTGAAATGAGGACCCAGTTTGTGGGGGCAATAAGCTGACTTTGTATAAATATACAAAAGTATGAAGGCTATTGCTTAATGCATTGTAAGCCGCCCTGAGTCTCTGGAGAAGGGCGGCATATAAATCAAATTAAAAAAAAAAAACACACACACACAAAAGTTTAACTGCATAATTATTTCCACAGTCGCAATATGGTTCTTCAGAAAAGCCCAAACTTGCAACCTTCTCTTCCATCGTGCTACAAACTGAAAAATGCATACAGGACAACCACAAGTCCAAGATCTTAAGAGTAGCACAGAATTGGGATTGTTTATCTGGGAAACTGAGGAACAAAAATGTCACAAGAATATTGTAAAATATAAGGCTATATCCCGCTCCATTTATTAATTGACTGTAGAAATTACAGGTAGTCCTCGACTTACAACAGTTCGTTTAGCGACTGTTTGAAGTTACAACGGCACTGGGGGAAAAAAAGACATAGGATCGGGTTTTTTTACAACCATTTGCAGCATGCCTGCGGTCATGTGTCCAACATTTGGGGGCTTGGTAACTGGCAATGGTTGCAAGATCCCGGGGTCATGTGATCCCCTTTTGTAACCTGTCATCGTTGTTAAGCGAATCACTGCAGTTGTTAAATTAGTAAACACGGCTGTTTAATGAATCTGAAGCCAGATTCACTAAACAGCCGTGTTTACTAATTTAACAACTGCAGTGATTCGCTTAACAACGGTGACAATCCTAAAATGGGGCAAAACTCACTTAACAACTGCCTTGCTTAACAGCAACATATTTGGGCTCAGTTGCGGTTGCAAGTTGAGGATTACCTGTACAGCTGCACACAGCTTTTCTCCAACTCTCTACACAGACACGCATAAACAAAAGTTTAAGTATGTAATTATTTTCCCAGTCGCAAGATAGTTCTTCAGGAAAGCCCAAACTGCAACCTTCCTTTCCATCATGCTGCGAACTGAAAAAAAATGCACACCGCAACGCAGCTATTAATTTTAAAAGGATCTGGCTCAACATCTAGCTCTTCTATATTAGCTCTTTATTATCTATGCTAATTACCTCAGAAATTACCTTAATTGCCCCCTCAGTGCCAGAATGACAGGGAAAGCAAACATACAACATGCTGGAGGTACAAGCCAGATTAAACTTTCTGAGAAAAGAGGATGTTTCTGAGGAGACAAACCCAATTTTTGCACTTTTATGGATTCCTGTCATGTTGTGCTGTTTCTCAGGGGCGACTTCTACACAGAGAAGAAATCTCAACAGTTCTGCAGTTAACAGAGCAACAGAATAACAGAGTTGGAAGGGACCTTGGAGATCTTCTAGTCCAACCCCCTGCTCAAGAAGGATACCCTACATCACTTCAGACAAATGGTTGCCCAATCTCTTCTTAAAAACCTCCAGTGAGGGAGCACCCACAACTTCTGGAGGCAAGTCTGATTAATTGTTCTACAGTAACTGTCAGGAAAGTTCTCCTTAGTTCTAGGTTGCTTCTCTCCTTGATTAGTTTCCATCTATTGCTTCTTGTCCTGCTTTCAGCTGCTTTGGAAAATAGGTTGACCTATTTCTTCTTTATAGCAGCCCTTCAAATATTGAAATATTGCTGTCATGTCACCCCTGGTCCTTTTCATTAAACTAGACCAGGGGTGTCAAACTCAATTTCATTGAGGGCGGGATCAGGGTTGTGTTTGACCTGGGGGGGGGAACGTGGCCAGGGTAGGCGTGGCCAGCTCGACATCACTTAATGTTCGGGGCGCCTATGGTGGCCTGAGCACCCTGCCAGAGAAAACGGGCTCCTGAGCTCCATTTTCGGCTGCGACTGCCTCCTGCAACCCTCTGCCAGTGAAAACGGAGCTTGGGAGGGCCGGGAGGGATCTGTTTCCGCTGGCAGAGGCATCACAGGCCAGTCCTTCACTGTTTCCAGGATGGCCCCATGGGTCAGATCCAGGGGTGAAATCCAGCAGGCTCTGACAGGTTCTGAAGAACCGGTAGCGGAAATTTTGAGCAGTTCGGAAAACCAGCAAATACCACCTCTGGCTGGCCCCAGAGTGGGGCGGGAATGGAGATTTTGCAATATCCTTCCCCCAGGAGTGGGGTGGGAATAGAGAATTTGCCGTATCCTTCCCCTGCCACGTCACCAAGCCACACCCACCAAGCCACACCAGGCCGACCAAGCCACGCTCATAGAACCAGTAGTAAAAAAAAATTGGATTTCACCACTGGTCAGATCTAAGCACCCAGGAGAGGAAGTAGAAAAGGGAAGGAGAGGAGGAATGAGGAAAGTAGAAAGAAACAGAAGAGGAGAGAGAAGGGAAGAAAAGGAAAGGTTGTATTAAAATAAAGGAAGGAGATGGTAGAAGAGCAGACCCAAACAACTAAATAGCCAATGGAAGTCAAAGAATAAGATGAATGAATAATGATTAATGATGGACAAAAGACTGTACATTTGAATATGTTGATAAAAAAATAAAAAACTTTTTTAAAAAAAGATCTAAGCACCCTGAGGGCCACATCTGGCCCCGGGGCCTTGGGTTTGACACCCCTGAAGTAGACATACCCAATTCCTGGGCTGAGCTCCAAACTTCGCAATTTGGTTGCAAATGTTTCATCACCATTCAAGGAGACATCATCAGTGTGCATTGAATTGTACCCAATTCCTGCAACCGTTCTTCCTATGTTTTAGCCTCCAATCCCCTCATCATCTTTGTTGCTCTTCTCTGCGCTCTCTTTCTAGAGTCTCAACGTCTTTTTAACATCGTGGCGATCAGAACTGGATGCAGTACTCTCGGTGTGGTCTTACTAAGGCATTATAAAATAAGACCAAACTAAAGCACTTGTTACACTTAACGATGGTGTAACGTACCTGGAAGCGGAATGAGTCACTCTCCGTCTCGGCTCCAGAGTGCCTGTACCAAATGACACCTTCGTTGATGTCCTGTTGGGTGAACGTGGTTGTTGGGGTGGCTCTACCTCCATTGGCCAAAGGCTGCCATCCTAATCCAGAATCATCGGCGGGCATGGGAACCAGAAACACCACTTCACCTAGGAAAGCGCAGAGCAAAAGTCAGGAGGACACTTTGAGGAGGTGAAAGTTAGGAGTTTTCAAAATTTTGATACTTTGACGGACCACTAAAATTATGACTTTGTGATGTGAAGGATCCTAATAGCAATAGCAATAGCACTTAGACTTACAGTAGTGGCCAAAATTGTGGAAACCTTTTGGGAAAAGTGTATTTTTGAGGTTTGATGGCTAATAACACCACTTTTTTTTTAGAGTTTCAAGATAAACCTATTCCACTGCTGGAATGGCCTGGGAATAGCCCAGACCTTAATTGAAAAATCTATGGAGCTGACTAAACAAACTTGTTAGTCAGAAGCGACCCAGCAATAAAACCCAGTTAATAGAAGCCATCATTCAATCTTGGTTTCACATAACAGCTGCAGAACTAAAAGACTTGGTTCACTCTATGGGAAGAAGTTGTAAGGCTAAAGTTCATGCTCAAGTTTACCCAACTAAGTATTAACTGACATGGTGATAATTTTTGTATATCTCGTTTTTTTTCTATGGTGACCATTTTTGTATATCTCATTTTTTTCTATGTGTTTCGCTTTTCTTCTTTATGCTGTAACTGCTATTCTAATAGCAAATCCTTCATAAAAGCTATTGCATTACATTCTTGATTAAATTATCTTTCCATTGATATATAGTTGTGAATCTTCAACCCCAGATTTTCCAAAATAAGAAGAATGTCCTGTTTCAAAGAAGTCACCTTTCCCTGGTAGCATCTACCATGAGTAAGGTGGCTGTCAGCCTCCATGGGTCATTTTTTGTTTCCTTATTTAGTTTTTTCTCTCAATATCTTCCACTGCAAATCTCCCAGAAGAAGAATCCGATGCATCTTAGAAGCTTTATAAAACCCGAACGTTTTTAAGAGACATTTGGACCGCTCTCCACAGTCATTCGGATCAAAATAGCAGTCATAGTGAGCTTCAGTATTCATGTCGCGAGGGGGGTGGGGGGGAGGGGGGGACGGGGAAGGGGGGGGAAAATTTTTTTTTTTTTTAAAAAATTTTTAAATAAAAAAAAAAAAGTATTCATGTTGCTGCCTCCAGAAGTCCTCTGGGCTAAAATGGGATTCCTGCTTTTAATCTGTTTTGACACCGGAGTTACAGATTCTATTACCCTGACAGTCTGGATATGACTGTTTTGTCTCTATGATTTGTGCTCTTGACAAATCAGTTCCCGGAGGGGGCTTAATACCGAACGCCTGAATTATGTAAAACGCATACATCTCAATTAAATAACCTCACACACCAAAGTTTTCTGGCAGATAACGGATAACTCTTCTTCCTCTTTATGTTTCTCTCCAACTCTCATTCATGCAGCAGCCACTAAACTGCGCTTTGAGAGTATCAAGAAACATCGAGTCTGAGCAATAAATATTGAGGGTTGGTTCCAGGCAATTACGAACCCCAACAGCAGAACCTCAAGTTATAGTCAAGACATCTTGGAAACTGATGAAGGAGCTTCAATTATTCCTAGCTTCAATTATTGATTCAATTATTGGAGGTGGACCCTTTGAGAGCTGCATGCAATGAAATTTCATTTTAATGTACAGGTATGCCGATTACTGTACATCAGGGGTGAAATCCACTTACCTTCACTACCGATTTGCAAATGTGAGCACGCGCACCTCCTCCACGGATGCACAGACCCTTCTGCGAATGCGCTGAGGGTCAGAAACGGGACGTGATGACGTCCGGGCGGGTAGGCGGAACCTCCCACCGCCGGCGCTACCAGTTCGCCCGAGCCAGATAGAACTGGCTGCATTTCACCTCTGGTGTACATTCAAAGTGACAATAAAGTTATTGTTCTGTTCTGTTTTGTTCTGTTGTTCTGTTCTATTATTATTATTATTATTATTATTATTATTATTATTATTATTATTTACATATTATGAATTACATTCATTAAGATGGAATTTCTTGGACTTGTTTGAACCTCTTTTTCCCACAACGATTCCAGATAAGTCTAGTATTGCAATAGATGTAGTCCTTACAACCATTCATTAAATGACCATTCAAAGTTCTCGAACGGTTATTCTCTTATGCAAAGGACTGAGTGGCATACAATTTTAGAGCGACAGTTCATTGTAATTCATTTATTTAATGATCTATCTCTTCATTTTTTTACCTATTAAGAATATGTGTATCTATCACCAGACCTTCAAAAAATTTAATATAGAAGCATAATTCTCTTCCTCTTCATGGCATTCTTAGAACAGGCATGGGAGGTAAAATGGGTGAAATTTATTGACTAGTTCGTATTTACCTACTGAGCATTTGCTAAATAACGCTAGGTTTCATGTAGATAACAGGCAAAGTTGCTGGAGTTAGGTATGTCTAGTTTAATGAAAAGAAGGACTAGGGGAGACATGATAACAGTGTTCCAATATCTCAGGGGTTGCCACAAAGAAGAGGGAGTCAAGCTATTTTCCAAAGTACCTGAGGGCAGGACAAGAAGCAATGAATGGGAACTATTGTATTTTTCAGACTATTAGAGGCACTTGACTATAAGACGCACCTAAATTTAGAAGAGAAAAGCAACAAAACAAAGTTTTTGGCCTCCCTTTTTTCGGGCCTTTCTTCAGCCCTTTTCCAGGTTTTTTTTCGGCCTGTTTTATTGGATGTACCATATTGGCACAGACTGGTGAAAACCGACTCTAAAGCTTCCCGTGGTTTTCACCTAATTAAAAGTAAAGTTTTTTTTTTCCCCTTTCCCAAACAATCAGTCACATGGTCCAATCAAAGTGCTTTCCGGTTGCTTGGAAACTTCACTCCTCCTCTTTTCAGCCACCTGTGGGAATGTCCTTGGTTCTCAGGGGAAACTATTTTGTTCTGGCTACAAAACTCCAGCTATCTCTATTCCCCCCTCCCTATCCCTCAGGACCACTGTGGCAGCACTGAAGCCTCCAAGATGGCCTCAGTCCGGTTAGCTTCAGAGTTGACAGTCGTAGTATCTGTACTTAAATCACAATCCCCTTTTACACACTGCAGCAACCGTACAGCTCAGCTTCACGCAGTCTTCCTAGCTTTTTTATAAGCCTAGAATGGATCTCCTGGGAATGGCCCAGTCATTCAGTCTTCCTTCTCTTCCTTGACTGAGGCTGTTAAAACAGTCTGGAGCCTGATCTTAGCATTAAGTGGGATCCTGGATGCAATTGTTTCCCTTCTGGCAATGCTTTATGAGAATCTGCCGGTGCTATTTCCAGTGATCTGCTCAACTTCTGTGCTTTAAAGCTGATTTGAGACTGACAATCTGTAAGCTGCTTCGAAGCAATCTTTGGTTTATGTGGATCATTCCATCATCTGCCTTACAGAAGAGCAAGAGGCAATTCTTTCTCTCTATGGGAAGGATTCCGATGCACAGAGAACTACAGCCACCCATGCATCTATTTTTAAGATTACCTATTAACATCAGACCAACAATCAGTGGTGGGTTTCAAAAATTTTTACTACCGGTTCTGTGGGTGTGGCTTGGTGGGTGTGGCATGGCCTGGTGGGCGTGGCAGGGGAAGGATTCCCTCCCCAATCCAGGGGAAGGTTACTGCAAAATCCCCATTTCCTCCCGATCAGCTGGGACTTGGGAGGCAGAGAATAGATGGGAGGGGGGGCAGTCAGAATTTTTGCTACCGGTTCTCCGAACTACTCAAAATTTCCGCTACTGGTTCTCCAGAACTGGTCAGAACCTGCTGAAACCCACCTCCGCCAACAATCAAGAAGTAAACAATACCCCAATCAAGGAACTGTCAAACAAGTTAACAGTAAACAGTCCAATCAAAGACCCACACCAATAGGACAAGCCTCTAGAACAGGGGTGTCAAACTCGCGGCCCGTGGGCCAGATGCATCAGGTGCTGGCTCCGCCCCTGCCCAGTTTAGCGAAGGGAGGAAAAGTCCCAATACGTCACATGACCTCGCCATGACAACGCAACTTTGACACTCCTGCTCTAGTACAAGGGTGTCAAACTTAAGGTCCAGGGGACAGATCTGGCCCGTGGGGTACTTAAATCTGGCTTATGGGGCTGCCCTAGAAACAGCGAAGGACCAGCCCACAGTGCCTTTGCCAGTAAAAACGGAGCTCGGGAGGGCCGCCCGCGGCTCTCCTGAGCTCCGTTTTTGCTGGCAGAGGTTTGCAGGAGGCCGTCACAGCCAAAAACGGAGCTCAGGAGCCCGTTTTCACTGGCAGAATGCTCGGGCCATCATAGGCACCCCCGACACAAGTGACATTGAGCTGGCCATGCCCACCCCAGCCCCCAGAGGTCAAACACAACCCTGATGTGGCCCTCAATGAAATCGAATTTGACACCCCTGCTCTAGAATATAGAGGACAAAACCCACTCCCTACTACCACTGATGATGTTACCTAGTTTGGTTATGAAATGTCTGCAAGAAAACAACCAAGCTCAGAGAGCACCAAGGATGCCTCAGAATACTATTTCATGAGTGTGCACGCTCTGAGGCGGGCTTAAAGAATTGTACCGTGCATTGTAGAGCATTTCCAGGGTTGCAAAAATGAACAGGATATTCTCATGTTTCCCTCCTCTTTATTTATGTTTTATTCTACTTTATTTTTTAAATTTTTTTAATGGGGTTTAGTCATAACAAAATTTCCCTCAAATAAACTGCAGCTCTTTTTGTCATCAGTAGGGGGAGCAAGAGCACTAAAGTAGTGTTATAATTAGTGTTATAGCTCCCTCTATATGGTTTGGCTCGGAAACCCAACAAGACAGACACAGACTTCAGAGGATAATTAGAACTGCAGAAAAAACAATGGCTACCAACCTGCCTTCCATTGAGGACCTGTATACTGCACGAGTCAAAAAGAGGGCTGTGAAAATATTTACAGACCCCTCACATCCTGGACATAAACTGTTTCAACTCCTACCCTCAAAACGACGCTATAGAGCATTGCACACCAGAACAACTAGACACAAGAACAGTTTTTTCCCGAACGCCATCACTCTGCTAAACAAATAATTC